TGCAGGCGGAAGATGGGGATGGGTAAAGTGGGAACTCTGTCGATGGCACACAAGGGGAGGAAAGATATAGGGAGCGGGAAAACAAAGTGTTTATATAGCGAGAACGCCAAGCTTGAGTGGGCGCGCGAGCTAAGGCTAGTGTACCGGGTGTACGGCCATACTATTGAAACGAAAACCCGCTTTTTTTTTCGTCCGTGTGCGTGACCGTGACTGTTACCCGCTCAAGAGGGGCCGGGGCGCGGTAGAATATGTATCGAAGCCCGGCCTCCAAAGCTCGAGTCCTTTGATAAAATAACGGTGAATCAGTCAAGCAACGATAAATCATGGCGTATCACTTACCTAACATCTGCCTCGTACGGTTTCAGCTCCCACGGTACCGTGGGAAGTCATCAATCTCCAAGACGGTGTCTCCAGATTCTCAGAGTAGGTAAAAGTCCGAAAAATTTAAAAGGTCCGCTGTATTGTATCCTCCGTCTGCGAGCCCCCAGTCAACCAGTCATATCATGGGAAGCAAGAAGAGATGTCCTCCCCCGTCTCCTCAGCTTGGGCTATGCATTCGGAACCGAAGTACTCACTACACAGCCTAGCCGTCTTCTCCCACTGGCATGAGTACCTAGAACCACCGATGAAGTTCGCCGGGTATAAAGAGTTGATGTAACTCATGCTTCACGTATAAGCTACCATTCATTCCGGCTAGGAGTTATTCATACTTAAATCTTTCCTACCTAGATACGTACTGGGTGTGGTATGATTTATGTCTCTTTTTTGCCTAAGGGAGTTATATGTACATGTACCCACAAGCATTTATCCACGGCTGTGTAGAACCATACCTGTATATCTAGTTAGAGGGCGTGGAAGGATGCCCGCTAGGTTGATGCCGCGTCTATTAGCTTTTTTCTACCTTATACGAGAGATCGATTCGTTTCTGTTGTTGCGGAATGTAGCCGGCGTGGGTTCGATTAATTAATATATGTATGATACCGTTGAATTTTACCTTTCTACCCTCACTAGGCGGGATAAGGTGCTTTGTGCGGTGGTGATGGAGAAGCATAAGAATTCAGCGTTTTGAGGTGATATGGTTATTGATGGAGAAGAAGGGGATGAAGGGAGATACGTAGAGACTTTGCGGATGAGGTCGGGGCGGTTTATCGTTAGTAGGTTTTGACCTGCACTACCCCGCCATTGCCGTGCCGTGTATGCGATTTTTGTGAGTTGTTTCATTTGGTGAGCCAGACGGGCGGCGGGCTTTCGGGGCCGAATATGACGATCAACACACAGTTATTTCTAAATGTCGCGTGGGCAACAATAACCAGAGATATGTGGCCAGTTCTCTTACCGACTGCAGACAATAGCGGGAGCCTCTAAACCAATCCATATTTAGGGTGGTGGCATGGCGCGCAGCCCGGACGTGTGCGAAGAACACAACTGTACGGGTACCTTTTCACCTTACAAGCACGCATGCGCAGTCCCCATGATCTGGCGTTCTTCACCCAGTGAAGTACACGAGGACTCCAACCCGGACGCCATGTCCACACCGCAGAACCATTATTCGAGTGATAATCTATGATTATATGACGCGGAACGTCATTCGATGCGCTAAACCACCCGGGAGTCGGGGGTTCAGGCGTGAGCATTCAACCGCATTTATTTAAATTCTTATGAACGATGGAGTCTTGTTAGACAGAATTACGAAAACCAGCCGGAAGAGCCAGGAGCTTAAGGTGTTTGGCTTTGACAGTCTGCCTTAAGTTCCTCACTGTGCACAATCCAAGGTTTTACAACGCATTCTATCCCGGATCTAGCACCATCTGTCCCTTCCCATTCTACAGGACGTACCACCATTTTCAATGTCCTAGTTACACTCCATCCAAACCTTGATATCCCGCCCAAACCATGCTTCTTTCAAGCCCGGTTAGCTCAGTGGTAGAGCGTGACTTTTACACTGTATGCTTCGGTATGCAGTGTGGTAATCACAGGGTCGCGGGTTCGACCCCCGCATTGGGCTCTTTGCCATACTCCTGGGTGTTCTTCGGAATATCTAGGATGCTGGCTTCTCCATTTTTCGTTGCCCCGGGCACTTGTTAGGCTTATTCAGTTTGTACATCTCCCTGGTATTGAAAGTATCATCTTCCGGTCGATATTTAATTTTTCATACTTATTCCTCGATCTCGATCGACCTTTCTACATACTTACTTCCCAAAGACGACTAACCCGACCGCAATGCGTTATGGGCATGTTAGAACACTATTATCCTATTCCCTTCAGTGAAACAATCCGACGCCTAACTTTGTACGAGCTAGACATTAAACTCAGAAAATATACTAACCATCTTTTTAGCACCCTTCCCAATTGCGGAAACATTAGTGCCAACGGTAACAGAGCTAGCAGTTCACAGAATATCACTCGATTGATGGGTTAGGGTTTGATGTCCAGTATGGGCATAAGGCGGTGTTTTTTTTTTGTTTAATTCATACTCGCATGCAACCTGTCAGTTATGGCGGAGCACTCAATCTACAGTACAAGTACAGTGTTTCACCCTTTATGCCTACTAGTCACTCCTTTCAGCAGGATGTGGAATACCCCAACCGGCTCAAGGCCAGCACTCATACCTAGCCACACTTCACCAGTCCGCATGCCATTTAGGCGCCAGGTACATAGAAAACTCTCCCCAGGAGCAGAAACCATCCCACATGCCAAGCCAGGAAAAAAACCCATGATTAATATCCCCTGGCTCACCGCCCCTACAGGATTCGAACCTGCGACCTCGTCCACCCTCGGAAAATTTCCTCATCGGGAGAACTCGGCACCTAGAAGCCATAAGGCGGTGCTAGATGATGGCAGAAAAGCATCGATAGTGAAATTTTATTTTGATGGTATCGTAAATATCTAGAGGATGAGTATTCATGCGCTCTGATACAGTCTCTGGATCCTACGAAAGTACTGGTTTCCCCCCCCCCCTCTTTTTTTTTTTTTGGAGGGGGTCCTGCCTTAATATTCCCCTACTAGCTGCATGTAGTAAAAAAAAAAAAGAGAGATTAAGAATAGGCTGGTGGTGAAAAGACGTGATTCGTGTTGAAGTATCGAAATTTATCACTGCTTTTGTCAAGAAAAAACCCTTAAGGGTTTAATTCAGACCTATCAAAGGGTTTCCTCCGGAGACACCGACGAGACCAAGACTAACTTCTGCAATATTTGGGCAATTCCTCCCAGAAACCCAACCCAACATAATCCCCACAAGATCTCCTCACAGTAATTTCCGGGCTATATACACGAATGAATTATCAATAAATCCTCACAATAATTTCTAACTATGTTGAAGCACGTTCTCGCCTTCGTTTCCCTCCCCCTCCTCGCCTCCACCGTCCGGGCCTTCTCCTTCAAATACTAGAATTCCGAAGCACCAGGTGCATCCACATCAGCGAGGGAAGTTACCAGATTGAGCCCTTTAGACCTCCTTCCTACAAGTGGATCACCAATGCACCCCAATGCGCCATCATGCTCTAGCTGGGATCTAAGCAGATTAAGATCATCATGCAAAGTTCCCAATTGCAAAGAACGAGGCCTCCTCCCTTACTGTGAGCGATCAGTACTTTGACATCCTCGCTATCTCCTGTGGTCCATGCCTTGAATTCCCTCAGGGTGGTAGGGTATGTTGAATTCTTCTTGTGTTTTTGGTGTCTTGTGTCCGTTTTTCGCTGGGTGCTAACTATCTTGCTTGCTCTATGTTCCAAATGTTCAGTGTGATTGAAAATCTTTCACTTTATTTATAAGTTATTTGTTTTCTTTGTTAGTGATTTTTCGCCAAAAGAAAAAGAAGGATACATGCCTTGATATTTGCCACAAAAATAACTCCTATTCCACTAGTTGTCATGTTCCATCTCCACATATATTCAAAACCTTTGACATCGTTGTAATTGTGTGAGAGAAGCTGAGGTTGCTTTATCCAGAGAATGGTTCCAAAGGGAAAGCAAATTCACTATACAGTTTCCGACGTGATCAGTGTGGTCTATGAGGTCGAGCGTCCTTGTGACCTTGCCTCGAGAACTTCTAAGACAATTGTTGACCTTAATACGCCCGACTGAGATGAAGCCAAAGATACAGACAGTTATTGTTTCGAATAATACCGCTTTTATCATCCTCAAGGACAGAGGTCAATGAGAAAGAATACCTGAACACGTTCGAATCTCGCTGGAGTGCCTCGGGGACCACACTATCCAAGGCCAAGACCAGCACTGTGGTCTTTTTTTTTTGTTTAATTCATTGATTGCAGCACCGTGGTCTCTTATTTCGACACATGGCAGGAAAGGAACAAAAGATTTGTGTTTTTAGTCTTTAGCGACCGACTCCTCGAGACAAAGATACAGCCAATATGGAGGCAATAGTTCTATACCGTCGATCATTCAACTACATTATCACTTAATTCCTTTTTTTTTAAAAACAAGGCTTCCGGATTGAACTAACCGAGTGATATTTCATGATAAAATCAACGACGGGTGAAGGCTATTAGAGTGGAAGTACACAGGCCTCAGACAAATCCCTGAGGAGGTTATGTTGCTTTTAAAACAGAATTATACATGAACACAAATTCAAGGTCACGTCAATCGACAACCACGTGTGGAAATTTAAAGTTTTGGTAGCATCCACCAGTCCTACCCCTAGCCCTACTTTCCGGTAATCTTGGCAAACTTTACGACGATAACACCGCTTCGGCCTCTTCGGCCTCACCGTTCTTGCTTCCTCTTATTTGCTTTAAATCACAGATTTGACAGGCTTCTTACTTTAATGACCAGTCCTCTGCACATAAAAACCTGGGACTCCAGATGGACTCGACTATCATATAAGCCTCATGAGCTGGTGGCCTAGATTCTCTCTTCCGCCGCTAGTAAAACTCAATATATTTCACTAATGATGCGTGGCTTCAACTTAAGCTGACTCGTGCTCTCTGAATATTGACGCCCTAGTATCAAACAAATCTCAAAAAAAGACACAAGCTTCGGCACCTACATATGTAACTCGCCCTTCTCTCTCCTTCTTTCCACCACAATCTCCCTCCCTTTTACCGTAGCCCATGTATGCCACAAAGCCGCCACAACACCTCCAAAACACGCCCACCTCAGCACAAGAGCAACCATACATACGCCCCTCTCCTCCTCCTCGACCTCCTCCTCAACCACAATATCAACCCATTCCTTCACGGGCACATATGGCTTAACCCACTCGACCTCTTGGTCCTTTCCCATGCAGTCGTCTACTTCCCCGATAGTCGGGACATTGATATGAACTTCCAGATCTGGCCGCCAGTTGAAGCATTTATCCTGGATCTGGCCCTGGAGCATTAAAGAGAGGCAGGGGCGGCTCATAGTACACGTGACTGATTCGAGAAACTGGGATACGGAGATACAGAATGCACGGCGGCATTCGAGATTGCACGCGTTCGTCGTGGCAGGGTTTCCGTAGAGGATAACTGGGGGAGGGGTGGTAGCATGGGATAGGCTTAGGAGAGAAAGGATAATAAGCGGGAGAGGCTGCATTTTCCTGGCGAGTGTTAGTCGTAAGTACCATAGAGAAAGATGATACTGCTTACTTTGGCTTAGCGGGTCGGTATTGAAGAGATGATTTTAGTAATTGTGGGAACCTGTAAGCGATATTGATATAGGATGACACGCGAACCGCACGGACGAGCGAAGAATAACGGATCTATATATACGTTGACAGGGGACATTATTTGACTGGCTACCTACAATAAGAATGTAGAAGGTATGGTTGATGCAGGAGCGCATTTTCTCTGTTTTGAAATGTTGATCATTGATGCAAGGGCGACGATACTTTCAATTCGGAGGATGCACCCCGTACATACAGACGTAGATTCCGGTATAGGTTTACATTCTTGCAGATAACCTTAAACCGGATTGTAAGGACTTAGAAAACCTATGGGTACTTGGTAATCGAATATAATGATACCAGCGACACCTTTATAGGAATATCGATTGCATGTACTGTGTAACACGATGGCGATTGAGGATCTGAGCAAGCACGAGATGAGAGTCCATCTATATATGAGATATCAGATACTTATTACGACAAATAGATCTTAATAAGATCCCCCAGTAGGACTGCAGACTACCACATATGAATGCACATAGTAACCAATTACCGGCCGTGGCCAGATAATAATTAGTACGTGATTAGCTGACTAACCAGTACCAATTGTAACTGTCGATAATGTAGTACCAAAAAAAATTCTGCGTCAGTTCTCACTTCCTTTCTGCCAAGCATGACACCAGACATCCCACTAACACCCCACCATCCAAAGCCATTATCTTTCGCACTATTATATTCGCTCACAGAGTAACAGTCCCTGTGATGGCGGACACTGGACAGGGTCTCAAGCCAATGCTGTAAAATTGCCTCTAGCTCTGGAAACATCAAGTCAATTATACTTCAGGTCCACCACTAGGCAGGTCCGCCATCGCCCATGGGCGAGTGTACATACATGTATGTACCTACTCCTCAATGTTCACCGCCCACCAATCGGCGTTCTCTCCGAGATAGCGACAACCTTAAACCAACTACAGCTTCCTCCCCGAATTTTCCAATCGCCGTTCAAACCCCACCACCACCTGAGCTTTTTAATCACCACCGTTAACTCACATACAGTATCTGGTAAAATTATTGCGAAAGTGGGTTCTCCGTGACCCGATAGTCCTATTGGCCCTTAAAAGGTTTTTTGCTGCGAGCACAGACCAACAAATCCACTCTTTTAGCCCTGACTTTTGCAATAATTCTACCGGATACTGTACTGCAGCTGTGACCAGTCGCCAATGGGTTGTCTTGATGAACGAGACTAGTTAGGACGCAATTTAAAAAACGAAACTCCCCGTCAAGTAAGCACATAACTCCAACGTCATTTCAACAGTGTGCAAGTTAGGTACTCTACTACATGTAGTGATATACCCATACATGTGGTAGCTTCGACCTAACTAACGTTTCATCCCGAGATCTACTAGAGCACTTTATCCTATCCCAAAACTTCACTTCACGAGCATGCACAGCCTACGGCGCAGATCACAATATCGCGGACGCAAGGAACCGCGGAATTCCCCAGTTTCAATCATATCATTTACACCCGTCCTAACGCAGGGAGAAAATCTAAATCTAGATAAAGCTTTGTTCAGAAAAAAAGAAAAGAAAAAACGCCAGACACAAGCACCTTCACGACATTAAAAGCGATTAACTAGGTATGGGGGACAATAAATCAATAAGATGAGCACTATACTATTTTACACACTATACTTTACATTTAACGATCGGGAAATACAAATAACAACAGAAAGAAAAGAAAAAAGAATTACTGGACAAAAGAAAATAAAAAATAGAAGGCAAAATAACTCCAACCAAAGCCAGCCAAATATTTTATCCCCTAAGACCCAGCCAGAAGAGAAAAGCTAACCAATAACCATGCACTCCACATTCTACAAGTACGCCACACCCACGGTTACCATGCCTACAAACCCTGCTAGTGCAAAGTTGGCAATCACCACTGAAGACCCGCCAGTAGACAAGCCGTTAATATCATCTTCGCTGCTGACTGACTCGGAGTGTGCTTTGGCGGTAGGCGAGATGGGAACAGGGCCAGTAGAGGACTTTCCATCCTTTCCATCCTTTCCATCCTTTCCCTCATTCGTGCTTAAAGTACCATTACTAGTAGAGTTATGCCCGTTACCAAGTGTAGAGTTTCCGTGCGTGCCGTTTCCGAACAACGATGACCCAAGAAGAGTTGTGTTGGTACGGTTACCAAGGAACGGGTCCAGAAGAGTGCCATTAAGAAGCTTTGTAAGGTCTCCAAAGAGGCCATTAGTCAGGTTTCCGAGGAGGCCATGTGTAAGGTTTCCGAGGAGGCCATGTGTAAGGTTTCCGAGAAGAGCGTTTGTGAGATTCCCTGATAGCAGGCTGCCCTTAAGGTCGCCCGTAAGGTTTTCGGCAACAAAGAAGGTGGCTCCAGCAGGCTGCCCAAGCTTGTGCTTTGATGCGAAATTAACAATGTCAAAATTCTCTCTGTCAAAGTCGTGACTGTCACTCATGCTAAAATCCTCCGGTTGATGCATCAGGAACGTTGTGTATCTGTGGAACCCGGTGCCTAACGGAAGAGATGGACCGGCGTATTCTAGTATTGGCGCAACAGCTGTTGAGAGAGTATTCTTTCCGCTGCTTGAAGAGTTATTAGATGTGCTATTGGAGCAGCTGAGATCTGTTTGGAGGTAGTGAATGTGTTGGGGGTTGACCGCGTCCGGGTCAATCATGATAAGCATATAGGTGCCCGTGAGGAATGATGAGGTGGAACAGGCTGGTGCAGAACCAGCTTCTAATCGGGGTTTAGTCACTCCAAACTTTCCACCGAAACTCATCACTGGAAGGCCATACCTTTAGAGGGAATCCCAATTATGTCTACCAATCCCGAAGCAACAGAATCGCCGTACTTGCAAGTCAAAATGGTACCCGGGAAAAAGCCCGGGAAAATGTCTGAAGGAAATCCCTTTGAAATCTTAAGAACAGCAGCATCCGCGGCCGAAGCAGCACCCGAAGCAGCTGCTGATACAGAGCTAGTAACTGAAGAAATCTTGCTTGCCACCACAGACTCCTCCTTAGACGCCTTCAATTCACTAACTACCTCACTCGCCGCATTTCCAACATTGGAAACTGGGTCACTGGATACTATGTCAGTTACTAGTGTGGGTGGCGCTGATCCCAGTACTAGTGCGTTTGATGTAAGGTCGCTGACGAGATCGCTGACTGTGTCGAGTGGGAGTGCTGCTGCCGAGATAGTGCTAATAAGTGCGAGGGCGCAGGCGAAAGTTGAGCCGTAGGATCTCATTTTCAAGGTATGTTTTTTTTTTATATGTCTGTTGAAATAGACAGGGGTATATAAATATTGGAGAGCTGAATATGGCTCCTATAAATCTCAACCGTCCGGACGGAGAAGAAGGACCAAATGATATAGAGAAAGAAATAAAGAAAGAAAAATAGAAGGAAGATAGGAAACGAGAGATAGTAGTTTATATGAAGATTAGGATGAAGATGGAGATATTGTGGGATATATAGCGACCGACACACAAGAGTGAGTATAAAAAAACGAATGTGACAAAAAGAAATAGTGACCCCTAAAGACACAGATAAAAGGAATACAAAATGGGGTTTGATAGGGTATAAGAGGGGAGGAAAGAAGAGAAGAAAGAAAACAGAATAGAGGGGACACCATTCACTGATATAACTCACCAGAGACTACATGATCCGCCTACTACCCACCAGAGTGTACATACCCACGGCCAAATGGCGTCGACTTCATTTTCATTCGAGTCTTGCCAAGGGCGGGAAGGTAGGAAAAGAGTGGGATCACAGCCACAACCGGCAAAGCGCAGGGATCATAGCGGGCATCAAAACGCGGTCTTGGGTCACGGTCGGACCCAAGAGGTCTGGGCGTCGAAAGAACATCCAGTCTTCCATCATAATTGCCTTCTACGAGGTCCGCAAATAGGATTTGATGGACGGTTGTGAAACGGTGATAGCTGAAGATCTTGAACCTGTGGTCCGCAAAGCGGGAAATAAAAAGTAATTTAGCAACTGGGGCTGTCAAAGATGATCATCAGGAACTGATCATGTACAGCATGCAGGTACCTAGTCTGCGCACGTGGGTGTTCGGAGAGACCTGAGGACCTCAAGCTCAGTTTTGGAATCAAAGTCGCCTCCTCCATATGTAGGTACAGTTTTAAGGGCACCCACTGGCTTCTAGAAAATAGACAGCTCACCGGAAAAACCTTTCCCCTATTCGCAGTAACTGAACTATCAATTTTAACCTCTAAGTTGAGCAATTGAATTCAGAGTATAACACGCAATTGACATTCAGAATCGAATCACTCATTAATCCTCAGTCTAACTGCCTCATGGGACTTTTGCTCCAGAATTACATGCAGTAAAAAAACACCGCCTCACATACTGCAACTCACGGTAGTTCGGCTACACCAATTTCAATTGATTCCAATTCGTTACCATTGTCATTTCATAGTTCCAGGGTTAGGGTTGGTCTCCTCCCTAGACTGACTGACCTATCGGTAATTAATCACCTTGGAAATCTCGGCAGACAGTCTATCTCGATAGGTATTACGCCCCGATCTGTTTTTGGAACTATGCCGGCAGAGGTTTGAGTAATCAAGATTCAATTCACTAATTCTTCGTTAGTTCAGTGTGGGTTTGTGGTCACGTCCCATTGGCTATGGCCTGTTATGCAACGCTTCTTAGTTCTCCGGTTGTGCTTCATATGCTACACATCTGAGCGGAGGATGGCCAGTGAGGTGGTTTATTCGCTCAGAGATTTTCTTCTTCTAGCTCGATAAATTCTGCTAGGTAGTGGATGAAATGTTTATCGCAACTTAAGAAACCCTGGTGATAGCGTATCCCTTAACTAAGACTGAGACATACATCTAAAGAGTTAACTCTCATACGCTCCCAGTGCATGGACCTACCACTTATACTTTCGCTTTGACAGTTCTAGTTTCACTATGTGGGGCAGTGCTAAACAAAATCTTGATGTTAATCAATCGATCAATAATTGTCACTGATTTACGGTCACGTGCGGTGTTTTAAACGAGTGATGATGTATGAATTGAAGACGGTTGTTTATTTATCCGGATCACCCATAAAAGTCTCACAATTGGATAATAAATCATCATGCATATTTGAGATATTATGTCATTAATAATGCTTCTATAAGAATAAAGGATCGCCACCGCCGCACAAAGAGAAGATATGAGTGCCGACTCAGAAAACAGTGTCACATTAAATCCTAGAATCCCATTAACCCCCGAATACCTAATCTCCAACATAAGAAATAAAAAATGCCCTGAGATAGAGATTCGATCCCAGTGTCCCGATAGTGGTGGCAGAAGTAAGAGTTTATATTAAAAATCTAAGAGTTCATTAAATTAATTTGTATAGATAAATAAGCTGGAGTTAATGTTATATACCTCGTGTCTGTCATTCACCGCGCGCACCGTGGATGCTTTGAGACATCTCTGCAACCATGGAACCTTCGGAAATCCTTTTTGTAGTATTCCTTTTTCCTCCTATGTTATCGAGGGGGGTTGAAGGGACAATGAGTTTTTCCAATCGACCGATCCCTGAGCCTTCTAGGAAGCGGCCCATAGGCGTACAGAATAAACTAGTTTGTTTACTAGTTCGAATGTATTCGGTGAGATCAATACCAGATATGACGACTCTGTGGGTTATGTCTTAGATATTGGAGCTATATGTAAAAATAAAAGGAAGGGAACATTACCTTTTATCGGTAGTCCCTTGAATTATTGCAGTCATAATTGATTTTTAGAATATCTAGTGATATCGGAGGTGGTGATGGTGATATCGGAGGTGATGATGGTGATAATCTCGACAGTGGCAGTAGTACTAATGATGCTCATAGAAGTTATGTGAGAATACTATTAGTGGATACTAAAGTGTGTTTTGATATCCAAATTGGGATTTATTCTTTTTTTTTTCGTCGTTGTCTTTTTGAATCATCCGTGCTGTATGCCGGAATATATATACTATATACTCCAGCTAGTTCTCAGCTGCGATACACCTCAGAGCATGAGCGCACGCCCAACAATTCATCGTGACTGATGCTGCCTACGGTAATAACTCGGGTGATATCGTTATAGGATGCTGTCCTTCCAATCCATCCATCGTACGACACATAGTTTATCTTAGTGCAGATTTCCTTTTCCCACAGAACATATGGAACATCAATCTGCCTCGAGATTTAGCCAGTGGCGCACTGAGGTCTATGCCCTTACATGGGCATCTGATATGGGGGGAAAGAAAGAAAACGGTGGGAAGATGTCTGCGAAGACCTACGGGGAGGTAGGACGCATGGTTCTCAGGCAGTATTTTCTTCTCGGCGGCGCCCATAAAGGCCATGCACAAGGTAAATAGGGCAGACTCTTGACAAAATGAAGAACGGATACCACGTAGGATACCAGTACGAGAGCCAGTGGCCTACTTGTCAATGCGTATGCAGAATTGAAATGCTTATTTCTGCGCACATCATTCAGATTTGGTGACTTTTTTTTCGACCCCCCTCCTACTACCATTCTAATCTTGATAGTACCGAGATCTACTATCGAAGGAAACCAAGAAAGTATGGCACCACTTCGAGGTCATCGTTGGAAAGCCGGTTGAAGCACTGCCGTATTATGCTGTACTCGCTTCGCCTAGACTGCAGTAATCAAAGGTGTGTAAAAGAAAGTCTTTCGTGCTTGTGTTTTCGTTTCTTTAGTTTTTGGTCGTCGTCTGAACTGTTTTGGAGCTGCATGCGGCTGAGAATTAAGAATCGGCCGGGCCAGTGTGCTTGCAAAGGATCATATCCTGGAGACGTCATTGTGCGGTGGTTGTGGTGGTTTCAACTAACAGGATAGCAATGCCCCAACCCCAACTTAACGACGACATCATGCAGGAACAAAGCACCGGTAGACAGGGCAGATACACAGGGACACAGGGTCCGCCGCTAACTCGACTACTCGCGACAGTCCTGAGCATCGGTAACCGGCCCGTAGCATTTCCTGGAACATAACTTTGCGCGCGGCGTGTTTTAGACTCAAACAGAGAGAGCACCACCCCCACTGCCTCCTCTACGTTACCTCCTCCTCTACCTCCCCACCCCACCCCGCCCCGCCTCCTCCTCCTCCTCCACCACGAGAGACCTCCAGGCTACAGTTCAACCAGACAAGACGATCATTACCTGTCCCCTTTCAGTATGTATGTACCTATCTATCGGATTACCCTTGAAACATTCTTCAACCTCTCGGCTGGCCTCCGTCCTGGCACGCGACCAAAATCATATTGGGACATAGGATGTATACGTAGCGTGTAACGAATAGGTACAGATCCTCGGTCTCCAGAATAGGACAGGCGTTGGGAGCAACGTTCGCCAAACAACTGCTTCTGATCCTCTTACGGCTTCGAGAAACACTTTATTTGCACTTAGCTACCCTTTCTCTCGTCGGCATTCGGGGATGGTCCCTACAGGAAACCTAGCGACGTCACCTTACAGCTAGAAAGAACCCTTTCCCAACAGGCACAAAGATAGTCGGTTTCGCGTCAGCACTAAGTACTTGCCACTACCACATATCACCCTCCGATCTCGCTGCCGAGCCTTGCCTTTTCCTTTCCTCTTCCGCCCCCCCTCCGGTTCATTCTTCCCTACTACAAACCTTGTTTCCATCATCATCATCATCATCATAACCTGTTTTCTGAGGTGAAGAAACATGTGCAGTTGCGTAGAGTGGAGGGCGGCCAGCCCCGAGCAGCAGTGTAGTTCCAGATGATTTACACCCCGCAACATCTGCATAGGATCTCACGATCATTCGAATCTGAGTCAACAAACGGGAACTCGAGGAGCACGTGGCTCTACAGAATAGCTTTTTGGCATTTCTACACTGCTAAAAAAAAAAAAAAAAAAGGGAAGAAAAAAAAGAAACATCCGCGGGGAGATGGGAATGAGGTGGGATGAACTACAGGATGAACAGCCGACGAAAATAAGAAGTATAGACACCAAAGGAAGAGTCCAGGAAATGCGTCATGTTCCTAAAGGGCTCAATGCTGCACCGGAAAGGCCTAGAACTTGTTGGGCCTGAATATATTGCTGTAGGTAGGTACACTAGGTAGCTATCCTCCACATAATCAATATCACGATGCCTGAGTTTCTAAGATTCTTCCCTAAAGCTTACAGAGGGCGCCTTGCAGATCTTGATAACGCCTTTGGGCGAACCTTTCAGCCCACTCAATTCGGTCATGGGACAATTTCGACAAATTGACAATTCATTACTCCCCCCCTCAAATAGAAAATATCAACGGATATATCAAACAAAAAAGGGAAAACACAACGCACAAAGCGCAAAGCACCGGGGGGCTCCGGTAGAACGGACAGCACAATATCCTAGGGTGTCAAAATTCTTTTATATTGATCGATTAATCACTTGCACTTGGGGCCAGAGGCAGACCTCTGTACATCAATGTACCCTTCCCTAATTGACCCGAATACTAAGTACTCATCGTCATCGCCCTTCATCTTTGGCCCTTGTAAGAGGACTGATGGCTGCCTACTGGTCTATCTGTACTAGCTGAGACGGCTGAAATATCGACTTGGGACTTGGCTGCCTGGCTTAAGCATCACGAGTGCAGAAAAGAAGCAATGAGTAAAGTTAGGCTCACTCGGGCCCACGTTCGTGTCGGTCTCGAGAATAGACTCGCCGTACCGCCGGCGTACATACAGATGTCTGCAGGCTGAACATGCCCTTTCCTTTGAAATGACGCATCTGAATATGTGTCGTTTCCTCAGTATTCAATTATCTCCCTATATCATGGGATAGACAGCCGGGATAACGACCGAGAAAGTACTACTCAGTTCACATATCGTCACTCGGTGCGACGTTGAAAGCATTGCCCAGGAAAAAAAGCGTTGAGATGATAAGGGTCCAATGCACCCAGATTCGAATATTAATTTAATCCTAACGTAGTACTGATAGAGAAAGGTGGGGCTGGCTAGTCAGATGAATCCATCAATTTTGTTTTCTTTCCCACACAAAAGACGGCACCAAGCTCTCTGATAACCAAATTCAATTGTCGAATCAAAATACGTACAATAAAGGGAAAATAGAACTGCACCACACTTATTTGAACAATGAATAGAGTTCAACACGCCGAAGCAAAGCAAAGCAAGTAGTAAAACAAACGCCTCCCAGGACTCCTCGGCTGCTCAAGTATGCTCAAGTAGAAAAATAAGACCAAAAGACCGTAATAACAAGATATTGCCGCCGCAGCAACCCCAAAAAATAAAAATAAAGATCACCTAGAAAGTAAATAAACCTTATAACGTGAAAAGGAGAGATAAGAAATGAAATGAAAAAAAGAAAAGAACTCCCATCTACCTATTCTACCAACCAACCACCCACCCACCCACTATTGTTATGAATAGTAAAATCGTGCCAAACATTCCCAAACTCGATATTCCTGTGCGCGCCGTAGTCCTTCTCCAAATGAATAACCCCAGTAAACGAGTAACTCCTCTGTTGCTCCGTTAGGCCGTTAATTCATTGTACTGTTTTTTTTTTTTTTCCTTTTTTTTTTCCCCTTTTTTTATCCGCATTACCATATTCCCATTGGCCTACCACAAGCCTTCGTATCTAGAGACAACAAATGTTTCAAGGTGAGGGCGATGAGACCGGCTTCCATCCTGGGAAAAATAGTTGGGAGCACCAGTACATGGAGTCTTCGTACATTTCCTTCTCTTTAAGTAACTTCAATCCGCTCTCTGTAATTATAAGATTAGCTTTTGTTATTGCTAAAATAATTGATTCACCCAATTGGCAAATAAATACCTTGTTGTTTTGTAGCTTGGATAACATCTTTCATATATCTGATCTCATCCTCATTGGACTTTGCCAACACAATAGTGTCACCAGACTCCCAGTCCACAGAGAACGGGGCGTACCCCTTGCTGACGTGGTGAAAGTGGGCCAATAGGATATTAGCACCCTGGAAGACCGCATCGATAAGATGATAATTGGAGAAACGATTCTGCAACAAGGCAGTGTTAATATTTGGTACTTGCGATACGTGTACAGGAGGCGATAAGGGGGCCAATAGCAACCTGTAAACTATAACGCATCGCAAACCAGCGATCGTGCGCAATCGTGAGTTCCATATTATGCAACAAGATAAAAATGGTGAGGTAGATCTCCAAAAAGTCTTCCGGCTTATTATTGAGAACCTTCTTTTGCAACTCTTGAAGAAGTTTCTTTCGTAGTGGGATTAAAAGCTGGTGGATTGTAATATTATCGATCTGAAAATCCATGATTGGGGTAACCGGTGTTTTGCCGTAATACGGGCTACCTTCATCCATGGTAGGTGTCATACCGAACGTTTCGGTCCCGACGATTGACCATGGAGTTTCGATGATCCGACTGGCGACCCAGAGTTTCAAGGCATTCCGCAGTAGCGAGGACTATGAAGCTTTTGGTCAGTAACAACATAAAGTAAAAGTAAGCGGTACGTACCCCCTTAGAATTGCTCATTCGCAGTGCCATTGAAAACGATTCCCACAAGATCAAGTTTGAGCTAACGTGTTCTTGGATGTATCTTATGGTGTTGTCCTCGACATAACGGTTAATAGTTCGTTGGGCATCATCGATATCAGAGATGGCAAAGGGGGGGCAAGACAAAGCTCCGACGTTGCCGCCGTTAGCTACCCAAGTATATGTGTCTCTGTCATCAGGCAGAGGCTTGTACTGCTTAGCCATTAGGTTCAATGTAAGGCCCATCCCTTGCGTGATAGTGAAACCCTTGGCTGGCGAGGCCCAAACACTTCGGTCGTTCGGGGAGGCTTTAAGCCATCGTCTACGAGTCCACAAGAACTCTTCAGTTGGACCTTATTGACATCGAAATTATAGGTTAGCGTCATATTGGTGATCATTTAAGGCTTTGTTATCAACAAGATAAGGGCTAGGGCCAGCCTGTCAGCCCAGTTTTGATGGTTTATACCTCTTCGGAAAAGCTCAGATTCTGTCATACGGGCTCGGAAACATGGTATGTTCGGAATCTTGGAGAAGATCGATTCACAGTACTTGCAGCAAGCCTCAGACACTCTGATGCACTATATGACGTTAGTCCGGTACTTGAGAAACCTAGGGTGTGTGGTCGTAAGGGGCCGTGTGGAAGACAGGGGGGATAAGTACCCTTTTCTTATTTTTCCAGCATGGCAAACAAGCACCAGTGATTCTTGTCATATGGGTTTCCTTCTTCAATTCAGGTGTGAATCTTTTCCTTTGTCTTTTCTTCTTGCTGCTTGATGAACTCGAGCTATGCGCTGGCTCGCCTGTTTCGCCGGGTTCGCCATCACTACTATCTGAGGTGCTCTATAGATACCGAACCGAACATGATTGTTAATCACAGTGTTTCTTATGATCATGAAGAGAGAGTAAAAAAAGATGAAGAGTACATGGAATGGAAGTAATACAGATTTTCTCGCTGGTGCGCTAATAACAAGTGGCTCAGGAGCCTCGCTGTCACCCGAACTGCTGCCAGGTGTGTTGAAGCCGACCGAGGAACCCGACGTCTCAACACCCGTGTGTCCACCACTACCCGAGCTCGAATTATAACCAGAGCAGTCTGAGGCGGGTTGCCATGCGCCGGGCTCGTCCCACGGGCCCTGGTCGAATAGTTGTACAGAGGGGTCGAGCCGAAGCAGCTCCTGATAGATATCAATGTTTTGTTCGATGGCTACTGCATCTTGGTAGACGGCTAAGTCGAGGTTGGGGTCCATCTCAGCCATCTCGGGCGCGTAAGGGTCGAACTCGTGTAAACCAAAGTGAGTGTTGTTTTGAGCCCACCAGTCATTAGCAGCAGTGATATCTAGACAGCCAAAGAATCCATCCGGAGCGGGTATGTTCTGAGCGGCACATGGTGGGGTGGGAGTCTGCGGTAACTTAATGTTGGGGACTGATGCATTGTAGTAGGCGTGTAAGTGTTCTTCACCAGTATAGTCGCGAGGAGTGAGGGGGTCGAAATCCCACGAGGAGAATGGAATCTCAGAACATGATTTCGGTGAGTTCAGCATGATTAACCTCGATTAACTGGGGAGAATATCGAAAGTCAGGAGGAGGAAGTGCGGGGGAGAACGGGGGGGGACGGGGTTGGAAGGGGAGGAGGCTGCAGGGCAACAAGACGCAACAGACTCAGCAACGGTGAGTAGGAGGAAGTGGGGACCCGAGAGAATTAAAAGAATTGAGAGATGGTGAGGTCTGACTAGGTTCTCCGTGACGGGACGGGGGTGGGTGGGGGGAATGGGCCTATCAGAGAAAAGGAACGAGTAGTTACAAGGACCGAGTGTTTCTGAGGGTTGGTCGTGGAGACGATGTATGTCGGTATGTACCAATCCTACATACACGCCTAGCTATGTCTACAACGATAGTAGGAGAATGATGTAGAACGATTTGGAGTAGTGTATGTACCCAGGAGGAAAGGGAAATAGACTGTAGTGGTGACGATCCAGCGAGAGCAGCAGAATTACATGTAGGAAGTAACTTTGTGGTTAGGTACAGGTAGAGTTCGCATCAACAAATAGGTGTACCGTGTACCACTACGTGACACTTACTCTGAATGGAGTACTCTACTGAACTGTACCGTACCGTACCACTCCACCTCCACTCCCACTCCACCTCCACCATCGCACTCCCCCAACCCCAGACAGGAACAATGTCACGGACGCCAACTAACTATGATCGACGATTGACAGAAGATCCGGAACTTAGGAGCCAGAGAGAGCTAATACCATCCACTATCCACCGGCGAAAGAACCGTAATAATCTTCGCGCTGGATCGGGCCAGTTTGCATGCCAAAATTACTCGTTTTCTACATATTGTGTCATCATTATCATGCACATGTGCAGCTAATACACTACATGAAGAAGGTGGGCCATGGGTGGGAGAGCAGCTATCTACGGATTTGAGGCGTTTGGGGTTGGCGAGAGGAATCGACAGAATTCTTGTGTTGACCCGACCACCCTGATGGATGCGAGATGCGAGTCGAGTTGCGCGTATGTAGCACCAAACGCCTCACGCTTCACCACTTCTGGATTTCTTTTCAGCCCACGTTTACGATAAAACCCCAGTCGAGACCACCACCCTTGGAGCCTGGCCAACACAAAAGTCAGCACATCAACACTTAAGCACACCTCCCCCTCGTTACAACGTTACAACGGGCGTTGGCCCCAAGACAGCGAAGTTTCCCCAGACATTCGAATTCGTACTTGCACGGAAGAGATAAAGAGTACATAGTCGACCTAATTCTACAGGAGTGCCCCTTCACTGTCCACGCCTGCTGAATACATCATACCTCTTGGGGGAGCCATATGCGGGGCTACACGCACGCACGTTCTTGCTCTTGCATCGCGTCCTGTAACGGTTCTTGTGATCATCCGGTCGAACCACTCTAAACTAGCACACCCTCGAGTACATAAGGCCCAGCAATCCAGGCGAATGTTCATCGATCGTTGATGGCACTCGTCTCTTGTTTGTGCAGTTGTGTTTCAATTTATTGCGGGGTTTTATTTTATGGATCTTGATGGATTCGATGAGTGGATCGCTTTGATAGATTGAGTCATCGAAAGGGAGGATTACGGGGTCATAAACGACAATGGGGCGTTTATTTACGACGTCAGAGCTAGCGGCAATCGCGGAAAGCGCTTCATACCACAACATCCCCTAAAACCCTCTAGCGTGTGTGGTTATGATGAGGTCAAAAGTCAGGGTCCAGGGCTCTATGTTTTTTTTTCCATAGCTACTATAAGTACCTGAAGATGCTTCTGAAATTACGCAGTAACCAGGACTGCTGCTCTAAAATACATTTAGCTAATGTAACAAAAAGAAAACCATAATAAAAATACAAAAGTACCAAAAGAAATCAGACATAATAAACAATACACAATACAATAACTTTTTTGGATAAAAGGAGACCACTGACAATCTTGCAGTTATCTCAGCTTTTCCCTTTGACTAGCTTGCTAGCCGCCAATGATAAATAAACTAGACGTACAAAACATTACCTTGAAATAAATAAATAAATAAACCCGGTATTCGCCATCAAACTTTTGTAAACAGAAAAGAAGGAAAATAAACCCCAATTTTAGGAAACCTCTATAGAAAAAGTGCTGGAATGTTAGGTAAGTAGTCAATACGGTAATACAACAAATAGGAATATAGAGAGAGTAAGAAATTAAAGAGTATAACCAAAAAGGAGTAAAAGGGTAAGAAGTAGTAATAAAGAATAAACATTAAACATAAAAAACGTCAAACATCACGCAACCGCCTGGGACTCAGCTTAACCATGGCCCGATGAGCGACGTTGAGTGGTCACATGATCCCGATCTGTTATCGGCTCTATCGGCCAGAGCTCGGTCGAGATATCGTTGTCCCCATACGCAACATTCCAGGCAGATTTCAAACAGTCTGGAGTTTCCCACGCATGCTCTTCGCTCCTCAACCATAATCTCAACAGATGCCTCTTCTGGTCCCTCGAAGTGCCGTCCGTGAACCCTTCCCGGGCGTGCAGGATGCTCATGTTGTTCCAGAACAGGATATCCCCACGTTTATTATCCAGTGTTAGCGAGTGTTTTTCTGCCGTGAAGTGGAGCGCATCAAGCGCATCGGCTTGGGCGTCTGTCATCGGCGGGATGGTTTTTGAGCGTGGTGACACCTTCGAGCCTGTTAAGATACGCCGTGAGAACGCGAATATTATCTTCCCTGCTTGGTTAAACAGTAGTGGGCGTTGGTAGTACGGTTCTCCGGGCCGTCCAAATCTAAAAAAAGCATGAAACCTTGTGAGCCCTCTTGCCGCTATGTCTCCCCACACTGACGCCACGTACTTAGAACAGAGGAGAGAGGAAAAACTTACGTATCAAAGATCCAATCAGGAGACTGGAGGGTATCAATATGATCTGGCCTGGATTCAGCCAGGTCATTATAGATAGTCCATGAAGATGTGATTTTGCTCTTTCCGCCCTTTTTGGCTTGGCTGAGGGTATAAAGCGCCAGGATATCCCCGATATCTGTATGGTAAGGCTGAAACAATAATAATCAGCATATGCCCTTCCATTACTGGCCTCTCCGAGCCGATAAAAATCAAAAGGCACAATTATCTACCTGTTGGACGTTCGAGTATGGTGCTTGGCGGAGGTTATCCGGCGCAACTTCCGAAGTGAGATCAATTAGGTGAACTAAGGAAATCGTTCGTTGTCAGTTTGATGCAATTGACGTGTAGATGAACCAGATAGAGGATTACTACTGGGGAAAGGGTAACTAACGGAGCATGTTGTTGTGTTCATCCTGTCTTCCACGCTTCTCGGCCACATAGCTTGAGAGCCCCACATAAATAAGGACATTGTCCTCACTGGAGTACTTTTGTGGTTCGAGGCCTCGCAAGACAAAGAACCCTCTCCCGTAGTACAGCGTAGCTCCCAGAGCAATAAGCCTAGGACCAAGAGTTGGCAGGACAAAGTTTTGTCGACTTATGCATGAGATCGAAATTCCTTTTGCTGTGATAGGTGTGAGCCTCTATTCGTACGCTGCAAGGGCAATTAAAAGGATGTGGAAAAGGCGAATGGAACAGCGCCGGAAAAAAGTGTTGTTTCAAGAATGAAACTGCAGGGTAGAAATCCTGAAGAGGGTGATAACCAGTCAGGAAAAACTTACATTTAAAGTCTCTTAATGCCTCCTCGGTCTCTTCTATCTCCAACGCCGAAAGCTCCACAATGTACTCTTCCTCCCTCAATTCATCTCCTTCCCACGCAAGTGGGGACTCCAACTTGGTTGGAAATCCTTCCGGAAGTGTTTTTTTGAGTCCGCCATTCCTCAATCGCCGTAAATTTCTATCGCGATAGGACTTAAAACTCGGGATCCACTCGATATCGGGTTGCTGTGGTGTTTGCGCAACCGCATCTCCGGCCGCCGGCTTTTGATCAACGGCCCTTGGTCGCCTTCTTCGTGCCGGCGTTGCGGGGGAAGTATATGCAGGGTCCAGGTCAGGTGAACGTATTTCGTTGGCATATCGGAGTGGAGTCGGCGGGACCATTGTAGCCATACTTTATGGGTTTCGGGGTTGTGGTATGTGATATTTGCTTTTTCTGCTCTGAGACTCTCTCTGACGGCCGTATGTATATCTTTGCTTTTTCCCCCTTCTTAATTCTTGTATCTCTCAACTCAATCTCCGCTCTGGTCGCAAAGTGTGATAAAGAAAATATAATAGAAAAAATTAATAAAATAAATTTCAAAAAATAAAATGAAGGAACGACGAGAATGAAAACTTTCAACGCAGCGGCGATAGGTCGAGCGCGAATAGTGGGGGTGCTCAGGAGTTATTGGAGTACTCTCCGGCCGGATAGGATTAACCAAAGAGCTGTCGCTGAAACATTCAAATGCCGCTTTATAACCGAATAGGATGGTAGTAGACCGGGTTACCCAGTGATGTTTTTTTTCTCTTCCCGGGTGCTTGAGCGCTGGCTGCAACTGAGCACAAGCAGAAAGTAGAGTGAAAATAACGACAAACGTCTTCTCTTCCAACCTATCCAGTGTTGAGAAACGAAGATGAGAGTTACCACCTAGCCCTATCTTATATATAAGGTATACGGTATGGCGGTATTATCCCTGCGAAGAGAACGAAAGAGAAAAAAAAAGCCCTGTGTGTTAGGGATTAGCACTCAAGTAACTGTTTGTAAGAAAGCAGCTATAGCGCTAGCTATGCCTGTCTGTCTAGGTAAGACTTGAGGGCATGGGGGTGAAAAGTAGAAACAACAGCGCCACCCAATGATGATGCTGCCAGAAGGAAACAAATGTTTGATCCACAACTACCGAGTAATAGATGATCCTCCACTGTACTAATGCAATACCATGGTACGTACCTGTTAAGTGAGAGTGATTCGTTCACGGATGAGTACGAGAGTAAAATCAAGTAAACGTCGGTGGAACGGTGTAGGAGTAGCAATTAGGTATCGATTCGATATGTAGAGGAACGAAAACCTGCCGTTTAGCTGGAACAGTCGCGATCGATACTTGTTACTTTCAAATTCAGACGGATGGGTTCCCGTACGGTATTTCTATTGCCCTCAATCCTCCCACCCACCCTCCAATGAATAATAGGGGTTTCGACCTAAGGCTTGAATTTTGTACCTGTAATATATATTTTGATATGGGAGAGGACCTTCAAGGACCCTTCATTGTTGTTAGCGCAAGCCGTGGAAATTCGGTCCCCTGCTAATGTTTCATTCCGCGGTGTCACATCGAAGGGTAGCTTGCATGCACGCAATATCGTTGCAAGCCCGTTCATTCCAGAACCCTTCTATCTTCTATTCTCCTCATAGAGCACATATCCTTAAATGGTTTTTTTTTTCTTCTAGAGTAGCATTAACTCTTTTTTTTTTTTTTTTTTTCTTGTCCGGGATTCGGGAATGCCATGACGGCTGCTACTCTTGACTAGTGATCCCAACATTTGACGTCGGTACGTATCAGGATCAGTCTTGTTCACAAAAGCGGTGCCTTGCAGTGAGGGAGTGACTGACATACCGAGGATCCCATCCCTACTCTGGATATCCCCTTTCAAGCAAGCAGGTCTCTCATAGATTGGTGATCTCAATAGATAATGTATCGCAACAAAATAAAACAAGACAATAAGCAAGCAAGATAGGGAGAACAATACACCTCCATCCTAGCTGAATATTAGAAACAGGAACAAAAAGGAAATAAAAGCCCCACAGCATGCCAAAAACAATTAAGCATAAAAGTCTTAAACGGAAAGAAAAAATAAAAACCAAAAAAGCCACATTTTTTTCCCTCTTCTTTCTTCCCGTATTTCCAAAGTTGTGGCGGATGAGATGGTTAGTTAGATTCCATTACAGGTAATGCGGATCAATGCATGAGAGCACTAATGTCCAAAATAATTTCAGATGAGGTCGCGTTTGCATCGATCCGCATTCCTTGCGGACTGGCCCTGCATAAGCTCTTCGCAGAAACAACAAGGCCCTCTTGAAATGGAATGGGGGAAGCTCGGCAAAACAAAACTCTAGACTAGATTAGTACATTAGCCAATGTATTATCGTAGCGGGAAAAAACCAAATCTCTAGCTAGGCATGGCAGACACCGTTTCCTTTTGTTTCTCGCTACCTACTTAACCACTTACATATGTAGGTATCTAGCATCTATGCTCATAAGGTTGCACACCATCATGCAGTTAGTTGCTCATGGTTTCTTAGAAACGCGGGAGCTGAACTGGGGAATTTTGTCAAACACCTGTTTGAAGATACGGACACACAACGGCGCAGGTCTCACCACAATCATAGCCAACAAATTTGAAAAATATAGTATAGATAATTACTTAGTATGTACATACGTACCTCGAAAATGTCTCTTTTGTCTTAATAATCCTACGGGTAGGCATGTAGTACCACTGTGCTTATCATGAATAAAATAATCATCAATTTTAACCTTTGTGGTGCCGTAGTAGTCACCATTCATATCTCATGAGCAATAACGTCTTTCCCCTGTCTCCCTTCACCCGCCGTTTACTCTAACGTTTCCCACCCCCCCCCCCCCCCCCACCCTGGGTGGATGTCCGTGCTTGCGCCCTAGGCTGCGCAGAGTTGATAGACGTTAGGTCACAAACATACGAAAGGGGGTGGTTTGAATAAGAAGAAAAAAAAGGGAGGGAAAAAAGGAAAAAAGGAAAATATGACTTTCATTCACGATGCATCATATCTATGTATCCCCACACAACAACATCCGCGGCAAGAACCGATAGGTCGGCAGTGGCAGCGTAAGCTAGAGTATGAAGACCTTTAGCCTCTCGTCCTCGTCCTCGTCTCCCTACCCCACCCCCTGGGGATTGCGGTGGTATTGATATGATCATATGAGAGCCTCGTTTATTGAGTTCTCCAATAAATATACGCAGATCTGTCAGAAAATCTTTAATGGCAATCCCTATCCTTTTCTTGTCAATTGTTGTAGTTGTTGTTTTTATCTGTGTCACCCAGGTCTCGCAATCCTTTCGTAAACGGATCTCAACGTCTAAACCGGGCCATGGATGGATGTTGCCCGACCTAAAAACCTTATTAGCGAGCGAGCTAAAACACCTCATCTGTACCCGTTCTTGTACCTGCAGTTGCCAAAGTACTAATGTTACGTACATACATGGTACCTTGCCTAGAGGACCTGCACCTCTAGAGAGTATAGCCGACCTCCCGTGATTGAATTCCATACAAGTTCCTTCCTTCCATCCTATGTATGTATAATCCTCCCGCGCCTAAGTAAGTTGTCACGTCAATCTGTCTGTCAGACCGCAAACTCGGCTTCGATTGAACTAGAGTGCCCCCCTCGCCTGGCTGGATTGATAAGATTAGAAAATATACCTACTTACTCTACAGATTTCCAGTATGTTCCTAGGTCCCCGAAATTTGGTTCTTACCAAATACTCTACATGGGAAGGAAAGCGTTACTATTCCCTATCTTACTCCCCGCGGCCATCTTCCGCAGAATATACTCATTCAGAGATTCGTTCCACTTATTCCATGGCTGTTTGACGATGATTGTGTTTGTTGAGTGATCGGTTTTCCCCGGAAAGAGACAGGAGACGTATGTATGTGGATTGACACAATCCACCTCCTTTATCCCCGAGACATTTCCTATATTGCCTTGAAATTGTGTCCGGAGCCTCAAGTTACACGCCTGTTCAAAAGACGCCATGCACTCACCTTCACTCATTCGCAACGGCTGATCGTCGGAATGCGTGTTAGCCACGCGTGTCCGACTATACCACTTTGACCTACCTCCCCGCGCCAGGTTACAGGAACCGAGAGATGGGAATCTGTTCACGCCACTGTCATGAGATGGTCCAATTTCAGGTTTTTGATGTCTCTCCAACGACCCGGGAACGGGGGAGGAGGTTCTTTTCGTATTTCTGGATGAATGGATATCCCGGTGGTAGTCGAGTCAACCCTAGTTGGGCCTCATGAAACGCGCGCGCATGAGCGGGGAACACATACATACCCAACTTCTTCTTCAGCCCTGCATCGTTCGGATATAAGAAAGATCGGAAGCATCAATACTGGCCGGGCCGGAAAAAAAGAATGTCATAGGCGGGCTGCAGGCTTAGTCTTTTGTGCTCCCGTCGAGAGAAGGGTTATTGCTTGTAAGAAGACAAGACAGAACACAAATTATCTGGTCCCAAATCTCGTTAAAGATTCCCTACTTTCATAATCAACTTGATAGTCAACTGCATCCGAAACTGACAGTATTGATCCTTGCTCATTCAAAAAAAACTTCATACTCCCACAATTCCCCATGTGCGCCGAGTCGCCGCTGACATACGGAGATGGAGTCGGTAGCAGCCGGGCTTTGATTAATCCAACTAAATTGCCAACCGGCTGGATGCTCTTTTGACATTCGCCATGGAACTTCGTGAGCATATGTGAGCGAATTTATCACCCACCTTGTGATAGCAAGATATCCTGGAATAACAAGATGTAGTTGAAGTGTTTTTTTTATTGAAAAGATCAAGTAATCTGTGTAGGAGAGAAAGAGAGAGCGCATGCGGTACTAGATTCGCATTTGCCTTCCCGGCTGATCATTACCTTGACCTCAATCGAGTGTAGTTAAATTCGAGGTCGGTCTCTAGAATGTGATCTATATCTGTTTCGACGTTACCCGCAATCAATATCAAACAAGAGGATGACTATTCAAGAAAGGCTCTAACCTTTCTTTGAGCGAGTTATCGGCGGAATGTTCCGCCATTCCCGTTTTGTCGGCCAAGGGGGGGAGCTGTGTCACAGAATCACTTAAATCGGCCTCTCAGCTGTAGGTACACACTCGTGAACCGGGCAGTCACGAACGATTTTCCTTTCCTGCGTATCTGAAAGTTTTTGGGATATCCCGATCTAGCCAATTAAGGTAAGAATCATCCTCGCAATACTGTCGAGAGTTGACAGCAACGGATGAGGCCGGAATGTGCTTTTTGTAGTCTTTAAAGGACAGCTGGAGAAGCGAAGGTCAGGTATAGAGGCTAGAATATTTGCAGTTGACCCTTCTGCTTTGATCCGGTAATACAGATACAAAAATATGAGGATTAGCACTGAATTTCGATGATGTTTCCTAGAGGAGAACAGCATCAGAAACGGTATTCACTCATCCGCATGATACGAGCTAGTTTAATTCTGAATATACTTTTGCGTCCTGTAATATTTAACATGTACGTACATGTAGACACACCTTCTGTGATACAGTGAACAGAGTTTGTACTCTAGCATTAGGAAGCACCTATATGTATGTATCTCGAGCTATCCAGGACATTATCAGCAGAATTCTTTCCTTTCATGCTCTGCAAATCACTCGATAAGCTGCATACGACGCCAAGACACCACGAACCCCGGTTTGAAACTGCTTCTCGGCTCCTTCCTGATGCCAAGCGAGTATTGATATACGCGTCATCCAGAATTTTAAATTCCCGGAATACTATGCGATCGATGGACTCTAGATACATGTAGATACATGTAGGTAAATTATATCTACCTCATCTATGTTGACCAGATCGCCAGTTACAAAATAACTAAACCAAATCAATAGAAGAAGGACATGAGCCCCATTACGTGTCGTGACAGAGACCCTGATAAGGTACATTATATACATGTATGTACACACGTACTTTCTTTCTCATTTGTCGCCCGATAATATTTCATTTAGCCTAGGGGAATTCGAAAATCAGAAGGAAGGGATCCCAAGAAGGAATCTTTACTCCTCTTATCCGATGTCCGACATGATCCCAGATCTCAATGTCATAAAGCCAGATACTGGTAGGTGGGAGTTAATATATGAATAATTAACGAGCGTAGTACAGAATTCTCAGGTACTGTCGTTCACGGGGTATTGACGGGCACTGGGTGTTGACGAACAAACCAAAAAAGAGACAGCCAAGCCAAGTTTTGCCTGCAATCCGTCAACACCCAGTGTCCGCCAATACCCCGTGAACGACAGTACTCCTGGTTCCTTTTCGCTCATGCCCTAGTACGATCTTGCCACATTTCAATATCCTGCGTACTTCATGTAGGTACTAGGTACGTACTTGTAAGATAAGCCACTGTACTTTATTTTTTTTGCCCTTGTCAAGCAGAGAACACTCTAGAGCGCTTCTTTGCAGACAGAAATCTGATACGGGGCTATCCGTACCTTCCTCATTCGTAATCATCAATGGACAACCTTTTTTCTTTTTTCTAACCTCCTGATAGACATCGCACCACGGACGAGGAGAAGGATGACATGTGCCCAGGCCAACCCGCCTACCACAATTTCCAGTGAAGAATCTAGAATCTCAGAACTCGTTCACGGACTTGACGGCATTTAACTCATTCATAAAAGAGTTCCGGAAGTTACCCCGTTGACCTTTTTTTCTTTCAAAAGCTTGACCGAATCTGGAGCACGGTCCAAGTGGTATGGTACTGACTCAACCTGTAACACGATCTGTTAGCATGCATGCAAGGGCCAGTTTTAAATTGGACCGTACAGAATGCATTCAGTAATTGTTTCTCGGCTAACAAATGCTTGGTCGCACACCTGTTTTGGATGTCATTATATATATATTTTGACAATACGAGACAGTTCCATCCGAGTTTATATTGAGGACTACATCATGTTTAAGGCGATCAAACAGTGTGGAAAGGGCGCTCATGAAACGTTTTTGTGATCAGTATCAAGTATTACAATACTGCTCCAATATCTAAACCAGAACAATTCCCGGTAAAGAAGTTCAAAACCCATCAGCGCGGTACCAACGCCCCCAGTTCCGTTGAAAGTAATCATATGGGTGCCGTAGAGTACTTACCTACATGCATATATGCTACAGCCGAGTCGCCCCCATGCACTAATAATCGAACCTTCAAGCCTTAGAGTTTCTCAATATCGCAATTACGGACTCACCACCGCTTTTAATTCATCTGGCGGCTTCCTTGGTTCGTCATTATAGAATTTGATTATTTTTCCTATACTCACACTTTGGGATGGTAGTTACTACATGTACATGGTTTATTAAAGGAATACTGATCACGGCCGGTACCGTCGCCGTCGAACCCTAGAACGAAGAACACAAGGCTTTATACGCGCCGGTGATCGCCACTACTCTAGAGTACATATATACGGGTGCTAACAATCTATTGGATGATGTATTGCATTCTAGAAAGAATTCTCAACGATTCTCTGTAAGACCTATTGGCCCAATTGAGGTGCTACTACTATAATGATCAGATCACCCTAGGAATTTATATAAGAGACGATCGATATTATATTTATTACATTAGATGGACTATTGATATCAAATCATAGCTTAAGCTTATATAAGCTTTGCTAGCTATAGCTATAGATTTGTATAACTAACTGTTTCATATTTTAGACGACAGTCACTGGCCGCTTTCGGATAGCTGGAACTCCGGGTAAGTATATGTATGTATCATTGGTTTGATGTATTCAGAAAGAATCTTTACACTTACAAGTATATACGTGCATGTTGCGTGTACGAAAATAGGTTGTGGCAGTTGGAAAAACGTATTTATGTAGTACGTACGTGTCCCGGACCCCTATTATACGTCGATATATAGCCAATGATCTAGCTTCAGAAACATAGAGAAGCACCTCCGGTTTAGACATATAATCTAGCCTATGCTACCTGTGAGCATAACCGCATTGTAGAACTCGAAGATTATGTTGAAGTAGTTACAAATAGCTTTCTCTTCTCGCTAGCCAAGTTTTAAAATATACGGCGAATTCAATAGAGTTATATGTACATAATTATGCACATACGTACATACTTTGCATATTCACATCTGATTGGATATTGCACTTCTAATACCAAATACTACATAAATTTTGAATTTCCTTCGTGCAGGTACAGATGACAATTAAACTCAATCCCTCAAAGAGCCAACCACCAGCGCAACGGGTAATCTCCAACCTTATTGTGGGGGCTAGCAACGCTCACCACAAATATACCAATGCTTCCGGGCTGCATGCTAGTACGATGCGTTAGCTTGCTTATGCATATACATCCCGCTATACAAACCGTCCAATTGATTTAAACCGGGTCTGGATTCCGTTTAATATTTGACATTTCCGAACAAAAACGGGCCTGCATACTCATGATCATACTGGGCCCTGTTCACATTTAGAATTGATAGTAAGAGCGAATGCAATATGCAGAAGTACTGTGCCCAATGAAACATATGCCTGCATTTTGGAGTACATATGTACTGCAGCTGTACTGTAGATCTACCGATTGCTCACCATACATGTATTGCTGCAGCTAATCCATAGTAGAGATGGTACAATAGTGATAAAGTGGCGTGATGATAGACGATACCCCTTAGTTTACGCCATGGCTTTGTGCAGCTTCGTTATTGATCCTTGGGATCGATCTCTCAATTGGGTGAAACAAAATCCGTCCCACTTTTCGGTACGTTAATTGTGCATGATTGGAGAAAAGGCCTTGTATGAGTATAGGATGGTTGCCCCGGCCCACGCATGCATTTGGGTTCCAGGTTGACTTGATTCGATGGAGCATTCGATCAGTACGTACTAGCGAGCTGTTGAATCCCCACATATTAACGAATGCCGGGAAACAAAGTATGGTACCGAAAATATTTCCGGCCGGGTCTAATATAGTTTGTATTTTATATTCCACACTTCGCATTGGGCGTTTCTCTTAACAGATCATCTAATCAATCTCAAGCCATCTGATTACGAGTACTGTACAAATGACTACACGTATATAAATCACTTTCTTTTAGGGTGCTCAACAAGCTGGCGCTAGCTATAGCTGTCATAACATGATACAGGCGATCTCTAAATATACCACCTCACTACGTACATGTACCTGAGCCAATATAACTAGGCTTACTAGTAGATGAATATATATATCGTAAACACTTCCTCTAATCCCATATAGTAGATCAGTGATAAGAATATCCTTCTTACACAAAAAAAGGTCCGCGGCCACCGGCTTCTTATCTTTCTGGATCATCTTCCGCCGATCATGGACGGACCAGACTACAAATTTGTACCAAATCATAGAGAAATATGTATCCGATGTTTCAAGAAGATCGTTTGGCTTTTCCGTCACAAACTCGTGATTTGATTTGCAATATGCCTACTTTGAGCGCCCGTGTCCTACTAAGGGGCTCACCTGTGCCACTGATCTGCTGCGTATGCAGGGACGAGCAATTTATGACAGCTGTGATCACCGATCTTAAAATGTTAACTGAAACGAGACTATTAGAAGTCGATAATGTCCGGCCCGCGCTCTCTCTGGGTATCAACCTCACGGTTGTTCAGTCCCCGGGATAATATAGAGTATTAGACTTCGATCCGCGCCAAGCGCCACTCTATATACGGGTTTTGAGGTACTATACTCCAAATCCACTCTACGCGCTCGGTAGAATACCTCAACCAGAGAGATAGAGATGTGAGTCGGGATCTTGAAGACCTAGACCTAAGGCTTGTATGCGCGTGTAATGACCAAACAATGGATAGGATAGTACCTATATTACATACCCGTGTAGCTTATCTATATAATCTACATAGAAGTTAGCCCTATATCTGCATGTATGTATAGGCCTATATATACCTTCCAGTTGGATATATTATGAACGTCTAGAGTACACATAGGTATGTGAATTAATATGATAGGGAGTCGGCTGCTGACCAATTAAAATCAATATTGGTATGTTTTTCTTTTCTTTTTCTTTTTCTTTTTCTGTTTCTTCATCCGAACCCTTGTTCGCTAACAGGCAGCTTTCTTAAGGCTCCGTTCGGTTGACGTTGAATTGGTTGCAATCCATGGATTGAATAAAAAAAAATATCTTTGGAGGTGATTATTTTATCGAGCTCAATCTATAGATTGTAACTAACCTATGGATTTTTGTGTCAACCGAACAGACCCTAATAGTGGGTGCCGTGAGTGAACGTTTGCGGTTTTACTGGGATGTGTTGACTTTATCCTGTATCTTGGCATGCCACGGATCTCTAGCACTGCCGTATATATTGTACTTACTACACAAACGTGTTTACATAGAAAGGACAACCTTCCTTCTCTACATGTCTTCAATCTATCAGATATAATATATATAGGCCATAAGTGTGGTGCTGATTTGTTTGAACAGTTTCAACGGTTGAATTCAAGTATCTACATGAATACTTTGCCAAGTCTTCCACTAAATGAATTACATGAAGTTCAGTGCCAAGTCTCTCGAAAGGCGAGTGATCTTTTGTGAAGATGAGTACGAGTTTTTTTTTTTTTTTTGTTTAATTCATTAATTGCAGGTGAGTACGAGTTCTTTTCTCGTGCTCAACCTAAAATCAAACACGTGTCACTTTGCCTTACAAGCGAGGAATTAAGCTGAACCGTAAACTAGCACCCATATACCACAAACTGCATGCAATTTGTTTAACTACCGTAACTGACGAGTAGTCATGAGGACTTGACATAAGCACATCTGACACGACCTACCGCATTAATTCGTTCGAACGGCCGGTCACACAAGACGTCGAAGTTGCCTTTTCAAGCTAATATGAGGGAAGATTAGGGGGCGTATTCAAGACAAATAACCAAATACGGGAATTTCAACGTCTTGTGTGACCGGCCGTTCGAACGAATTAATGCGGTATTTCACCTCTCTCCTCTAGAAAAATCTCTCCTTGAAGAATTAGTAAATTCATCGAATAACGTTGAATACATCCCGCGTTGAGATACTACAACTACTACACCAGGCATCATGCAAACCGAATAATCTCGATACTGAGATCATCATAGTACCCATGTGCTGTGTGAATGGGTCGTTCTGGCAAATCATAAGACGAAAAGAAAGTTGAGGAAGCGACCCTGGTGGTGGTTCAAATTATCCCTACTTACCAAGCAGTGTCTCCATAAAATTCAAAATTTCCTATCAGGCACAGCTAAAAAAAAAAAAAAAAAAAAAGGTTGGTGTGCCTCCATACAGGATCATTATATACAATTAATATAGGGTCTGCATGGAACTTGATAATATATTCTATCTCAGACTACGAGTGGAGTAATCCTATGCGATGACTGATGGAGGTACAAGACAGTCATTCTTATATATAAACATGATGGTGGGTTCTCGATCTCGTGGTCTCAGACAAGGCTTTAGTGGTGCATCCGGCAGCATCCCTAGGAACTGACTGGGACCTGGGTTCACACCCTTTTTTACATGCAGGTCTCCTGGAACGACTAATAACATCAACTTATTACTGCTAGCTGTCTTTCGACCCGTATTCAGAATCGCCGAATAAATTTGTTTAACATCATGAGTGGCAAAAGAATCCAACCAGAATAACCTCCGTGGAAAAGGGAGGTAAACACTTTGACCTGGCCATGGAGACAAGCCCAAAACGCCGAAAGAGCTCTCCAAGTCAGACATGGCTGACTGACTCATGGGAACGAATGTACTCACCCCCCCCCCCCCCCCCCAAAAAAAAAAAAAAAGGTTGTCCCTCGGCTCATAAAATGAGACACCTACATATACTGTCGTTCACGGGGTATTGACGGGCACTGGGTGTTGACGAACAAACCAAAAGAGACAGCCAAGCCAAGGTTTGCCTGCAATCCGTCAACACCCAGTGTCCGCCAATACCCCGTGAACGACAGTATCGATCTACATACATGTAGTCAGCTAGAGGCTTAGATACTAATACATAGCTCTGACGATCGTGAGCTTCCTTTTTGCACAAAAAACCATTCTGGGTCATGAGCAAACTGATAAATACATTTCTCACTGATGTACATGTACATACTCTTAATAGGAGCTCGTATTTATCCCTGAGGAAAGGGTGCAGTTAAGCTTCACGTGACAGCCAATGACGCACTATGTCTTGGCAAGCCTCGGTCTATGCTTTGATATCTAATCCATCTCTAGCTCTCCAATCCGAGCGGTCCACGAGAGAAATATTAATAACCTCGAGAGAAACGCGATTCCACCCGGAGGTCTTCGGAGTGTTATTACATACGATCCGAAGGATGACATTTTCTAACGTCAGCGCCCTCTGCATGATATGAATCCTGCTTTCTGTGTCTCTGTTCTACCTTAGATATGAAGGGGCGCCCTCTGTTGAATTATCCTCCACTGTGCACCAGGCCCATTGAAAGAAAACAACACACATCGCCGGTTTGAAGATGTCTACCATTGTACGACGCCCGGCTGTAGTCAAGTCTCATCTGCCTGATATCGGCCGCTGTTTATATGGGATCCCTCATCAGAAAAGGAGTTTCACCATTGAATCACTCAATGCAACAAAAGGAGGTGTGCACATATCATGTGCAAAGGAATTTTCTCCGATCTAATTAGCTGACATCTGCACAGACCGAGAAAGGATCCTAATCCTCGGCTCCGGCTGGGGCGGATTTGGCCTTGCCAATAAGCTCTCACTAAAGGACTACCAACCCCTCATAATCACCCCGCGCACCTACTTTGTATTTACGCCACTTCTGGCCTCAACTGCCGTCGGAACCCTCGAGTTCCGCACTGCGATGGAGTCATCCCGTTCTCGGGATGGCGTGGAGGTGGTGCGTGGGTGGGCGGAGAGCATTGATTTTGCCAAAAAGACGGTTATGGTCGAGGGCGCGCTTGAGAAGCGCCGCCCAAACAATTCTCCTGGCGGGGAGGGTCAAGATGGTGCTTTGGTAGGAGGCGGGGAGAATTCGAGGTTCGAAGTTCCGTTTGATAAAGTTGTGATTGGTGTTGGAGCTTATAGCCAGACATTTGGGGTGCCGGGGTCAAGGAGCATGCCTTCTTCCTGAAAGATGTTGCGGATGCGAGGAAAATTAGGAAGAGAATTTTGGAATGTTTGTAGCTCCACCAGTGCTGTGTGGGAAACCCAGCTAACATATTGCATTATCCAGGCTTCGAGGAGGCCTCATTACCAACCGCCTCAGAAGAACGGAAAAAACAGCTCCTCAACTTTGCAGTAATTGGCGGCGGTCGTATGTAAATCCTCTCCCGCTTCCATCGTCTCCTATACTCACAGTCAGCCCCCCCCCCCCCCACTTGTAGCAACCGGCGTTGAATTCTCAGCCGAGCTCCACGATCTGGTCACAGACGACCTCTCCCGCCTGTATCCATCTCTCGCCTCATACCCCAAAATCACAATCTACGATGTGGCCCCTCGTATCCTCTCCATGTTTGACGGCAACCTCACCAACTACGCCGAACGGCATTTTCACCGTCAGGGGATCCAGATTAAAACGTCACATCACGTCCTAGCCGTCGAGGACGGCGCCATAATCACAAAGGAAGAAGGTCGTATCCCCGTCGGCGGTGTAGTCTGGAACACGGGCTTGGCACCGAACCCATTCATCGCGCAAGGGCTGAAGGGCAAATTCCCCCTGGCCGCAGAAGAGGATGGTGAGTGGGGTGTCGAGAAGGACGAAAAGGCGGGGAGAGTGGTTGTGGATAACTATCTGCGGGTAAAGGTCAAGCACGAGGAGACGTCGCAGGTCAAGCCGCTGGAAGACGTGTTTGCGATTGGAGACTGTGCGTGGCTGGAGGGGAAGGATCTGCCTGCGACGGCGCAGGTTGCGAACCAGCAGGCGGTGTGGTTGGGGAGGACGCTGAACAAGGCAGCGAGGAAGAATAGGAAGGAGCTAGGGGGGGCGCCGGTCAGAGTGGTGGGCGAGCCGGAGTTTAAGTACAGGAGTCTTGGCGTCATGGCGTATCTTGGGAGCTGGAAGGCAATTACACAGACGGACCAGGGCGATGTTAAAGGGTATTATATTACATCTGATCCTGTGTGTAACTAGAGACTGACTGACTGACTAACAACGGGTAGGCGCCTGGCATGGCTGATGTGGAGAACGGCATATTTCACAAAGAGCGTAAGCTGGAGAAACAAGGTTCTCATACCTGTATATTGGTAATGACTTTGATCCTCTACTAACACACCATTGCGCGTGCTGACAATGTCGTGCAGGTTCACAAACTGGATCCTGGGGCGGGACATCAATAGATTCTAGACGCATCACTTGCATTAGATTTCGGAGTATCGGCGTGGGGTTCGTTATTCGTTATTCGTTATATTCATGGTACTGTATCATAGCTAAAGCAACCTTTCGGTGTACATTATTCAAATAAGCATCTCTTGTCCATAAACACGTGTATACAGGGGGCGCTTGGAGGGGGTAGAGATTTTATATCGATTACAGCACGATAAAACGCCCCTATGTACCCATATTTAACGCCCCCGGCCGCTGAAAGACAATCCCTATTTATGCCGAGTGACATCTCATGATCAGCAGCACCCAAATCACACATTAATATTATTTAGATTGATCAACTCATCACATAGAATAGAACCATACATCGGACTGAACAGCACACGCATAGATTCCAAGTCCTCCAAAAAAACCAAAAACCAAAACCAAACCCAAAAGGACAAACTAGATCTCTGTTGTTGGTGGGTCTTATGTTGAGTAGTTTTAAGGTACAGATGCTACGGGGGTGGTTTGGACCTTTGTTGGTGGTAATTGTCGACGTGCATTGCTGTGCCTTTTGTGTATATATGATATGATAGGTCGTACAATTATTAGAGGCCTTCAGTTGACCCGAATTCTAGTTGGGGGGGGGGGGGGGGGTTGTGTAACTTGTGCAGTTAAGGTTACGTCTAGAGCAGCGCCTCTGCGGATGACATTTTCGCTTTCTAGCGGTAAATGCTCGATGCTGTGTGTGTGAATCTTCTGTCGATCCTAGAGTACTTTTTTCTTTCTCCGTCTGCACGGTACCTGCAGTTTGTCGATGCATCTAGAGCTAGTTCAATGCGTTTTAGAGTACAGTATTTAGGACACTAGACTCTTGGCTGCATTCGTTTTGGGGATTTGGGGGGGGGGGGTGCATATGTTCAAGTATTAATTAACTGAAAGCTTCCCTTCGATGGTGCTTGTTGGAGAAAACGACAGTGGTTATAATTAATTGTTCAATCACACTGTAAGGTGGGGTCTTGGTAGCGGTGTCTACATTCTAGCTTAACGTGTTACCTGCCCTCCACGCGTGTATAAGATGTAGACAGGCTTTCGTCTGCAGTGCATGCAGCCGTGCCACAAATTCAACTGCAGACCACCGTAGCCGTACCAAGAACAACTCACACATTGGACGGTACCGTACCACGCTAGGACAGCCCGATCACCGAATATCACTCGCAAACGTTAATTGAGCCCCACTCTTGGCAGGAACGTCGTGACATAATCCACACACACACATTCTCTCTCCCACGATTCCTCGCACACGCACTCACAATGGCGCCCTTACTGACGACGCTCGCCCGCCGCTGCGTCACGCAGGCCCGTCACCGCTACACAGGGACAGCCACACACCGACTACGGCTGTCTTCACCGCTGGGTCTGAGTCTGAGGCGGTACACCACGGCAAGAGAAGACCTGTATCCCGCCGGCGCATCCACGGCCGAGTTCCAGCTCGAGTTCAAGAAAGCCTACAAGACGCGCCACAAGGAGCGCCACCAGCACGAGCGGGAGCCGAACACGGCCACCGACGGGCCGCAGTCGGAATGGATCATCACCGCCGGGCTCGAGATCCACGCCCAGCTCAACACGGGGCGCAAGCTCTTCTCCAGTCTGTCTGCCTGCAGTGTCGTCGTCGGGGATGTGATGTGATCAATGGGGCTGTGGGCGGCATACTGACGTTACCCCCGTGAATTGCAGATGCCCGCACAACGCACACCGCCCCGCCAAACACACACATCGCCCCGCTCGACGCATCCCTCCCGGGGTCTCTCCCCATCTTCAATCCCGCCGTCCTCCTGCCCGCCCTCCGTGCCGCGGTCGCGCTCAACTGCACGGTGCCCCCCGAGTCCCGCTTCGACCGAAAGCACTACTTCTACTGGGACCAGCCCGCCGGCTACCAGCTCACGCAGTTCCACGCGCCGCTGGCCACCGACGGCCACCTCCTCCTCTTCCCGCACGACGGCGTCACACACACACACAGCGGCAACGGCAACAGCGTCCGCATCGACATACAGCAGATCCAGCTCGAGCAGGACACAGGCAAGACGCTGGCCAGCCCGCCAAACAGCTTGGTCGACCTGAACCGCGTGGGCTCCCCGCTCGTCGAGATCATCACCCGCCCGTTCGACTGCCCCGACGCCGCATTCCCCGCCCTCGTCATGCGCAAGATCCAGAGCGCGCTGAAAGCAGTCGACGCCTGCACAATCGGCATGGAGTGGGGCGGCCTCCGCGCCGACGTCAACGTCAGCGTCCGCCGCCGCTCCACCACCGACGAGGACGACTGGGGTGGCCCCCCGCGCTACGGCCAGCGCTGCGAGATCAAGAACGTCGCCAGCCTCAAAGCCGTGCAGGAGGCCGTCGAGAGCGAGGCGCGCCGCCAGATCGCCCTCCTGGAGGCCGGCGAAACGGTCCAGGGCGAGACCCGCGGCTGGGACGCCGACAAGGGCGTTACCCGCCGCCTCCGCGGCAAGGAGGGCGAGGTGGACTACCGCTTCATGCCCGACCCGGACCTGCCCCCCGTGCATGTGGGCAAGGCGCTGCTCGACAAGGTGAAGCAGACGATCCCGCTGCTGCCGGACCAGCTGCTGGCGCAGCTGACCGGTGCGCCGCATCATCTGAAGGAGAAGGACGCCAAGACGCTGATGCTGTGGGACGAGTATCGCGCGTCGGCGAGGGAGGCGGGGGTGGTGTACTACTACAAGGACGCGGTGCGGCGGCTGCTGGATATGGTGGTGAGGGAGGCGTATGGCAAGGCGGAGATCAACATGTGGAATAAGGCGTATTGGCGGACCATGGTGGAGAGGGAGCGGGAGAGGATGGGGCTGCAGGAGGAGTTTGGCGCCGTCGTGGGGAACTGGGTGGTGCATGAGCTGGGGGGCGGCCTGGCGAAGGAGGGGATTGCGTGGAGGGAGAATCCGGTGTCGAGTAAGCAGCTGGCGGAGCTGGTGCTGTTTGTGGTTATGAGGGAAATAACGGGTATGCGGTTTCTGTGTTCTTGAATTATCTCGTACTCCCTTCCTCCCTTCCTTCTACCCCCTGGATGTTCAGGTGGGAGGTAACTAACACACATCCCTATCCGCACCCACAGGCGCAACGGCCAAAACGCTCCTAACACGCCTCATCACCGCCCCCTCGCCCGACCCAAACTTCATCCGCACCACCGTCGCCGCGGAGGGCCTCGCCGTCGTCGCCGTCCCCGAGGACCAGATCCTCGACATCGCCGAGGACGTCATGCTGCCCGAGAGCGACGTGCTCGAGGAGCTGCGCGGCGGGAGGGCCATCCCGAAGAGGCAGAAGAGACTCAAGAGCTGGTTTGTGGGGAGGATTATGGCAAGGTTGGGCGGGAGGGTGGATCCTGGGGTGGTGGCGCGGCGGTGGAGAGGGTGGTGGGGGAGGGGAAGAGGGTGAAGGGGGAGGTGAGGGGGAGGAGTAGTTGGGGGAGGAGGGGAGGAGGTGTGAGGTTTGGGGGGGGGGGGGTTCATGGGGTGTCACTCGGGTGGATTGGGGGGGGGGGGTTCTTTTGTAGATATTGGGTACTAGCTAGGCTATATTGACTAGTGCTGTCTGGGATTGGTATTGTAGCGTAGTCTGTCCATAACCTTTGCTCTAGGCTCTATTCATGGCCATCGTAGGTATCTTCTACATCATCTACTGATATCCCACGAACCTCCCCTAATAGATACCGTCCATCTACCACCACCACCACCCTCAACGCCTATATCTAAACCTAAGCACCAACACCCAAACCCTACCCTACCTACCCACCCCACACCACGCCAAACTCAAATCCGCGCCGCCTCGCTCCACAACCATACCCATACCCACCCACCCCGCAAATCCGATCCACCCTACCTCTAAACTAAACTCTAACCTTAACCCCCCCCCCGGTAGCACCCCACATCCCACATCCCATATCCCAAATCCACTGCACCCAAAATCTACCCCCCCCCCCCCAAAAAAAAGCTCATCTACCTTACACTGTTCCACGCACATTCCCTACGTCTCCCCAAACGCAATTTCGCAAAGGACCGCCGCGCCAAGCATCGTGGCTTGCCAAGACGGCGGGCGGATTTCGCTTTAGAGTGCAGATGGAGGGTTAGGGGGATGGGTAGGGTAGATGGGTAAGGGAGGGTAGGGGGGGGGTGCTATGACGTGCTTTGATGCGGTCCGGGGATGGGTGTTAGAGTACAATGGCAGGTACATAAGTGGATTTGGTTGTGGGTGTGTGGGCATGGTATCTCACTCGATAGCAGTGGCGGGTGGAGGTAGGGTTGGGTGGTGGAGGGTTGGGTTGGCTGGAGGATTGGATAGGTGCGAGTGATGCATGGTGCGTGATATATCGCCATATGTACTCGCGATCAGAACCTTTGTAGGATATAGGATACAGCAGCAGTGGCCATGGGTGGTATTGTACTTTTATTTTTATTTTTATTTTTATTTTCATTTTCATTATCCCTATATTACATGCCACACCTCCAGCTCCCTTCGATCAAAGGGGGGGGGATTCGAAGTGTGCTCCTTCGTCAGTCGACAGCTATATTCGAAACACGAGAAGAGCAGGGGAAAAGGTTAAAAGAAAAAAATAAAACACCAACACAAGGAAAAAGAAAAAAAAGAAAAAAAAGAGAGAAAAAAAGAGAAAAAAAAAAGGTATCCCCTCCGCCCCCAGTACTATATATATTACAGCCCAAAGAATTACGCCCAGGAGCCAGCTATAGAGTCCAGGCCCCCGAAAATTGTCTATATTATTAAAAGCTTCCTAAATCCTACATACATACATAAACCACACTCCCGCGCCTCCTCCTCCCTCCCCCTCCACTCCTTCCTTCTGCTCAAGCTCACATCCCCGCCACAACAACCCCAACACCGCCGCCGCGACAAGACTCCCAATGCTTACTAGGCTCCTGCTGGAGGCAGCCGCGCCCGTGGCAGCGGGGTTGCTGCCCCCGCCCTTGACTTTGATGGTCATGTTGTAGTTCATGCCGCTGTCGGGTTTGCGCAGCTGGAGTTGTAGCAGGGGGTGTCCATGCCGAGGTGGGCGCCGGCGGTTTCGGTGGGCTGCATGTAGACGAAGGTGTGTGAGGGTGTGAATGTTACTGTTGCTGTTGAGCTGGAGGATGAAGAGGAGGAGGATGAAGAGGAGGTGGAGGAGGTGGAGGTGGAGCTGTTGGAGCTGGTGGATTGTGAGGCGGAGGAGGAAGATGAGGATGACGGTGACGGTGAGGGTGAGGGTGACGGTGAAATGGTGCTAGAGCTGAGCGAATACGAGATTGTTGTGAATGACGAGGATTCTGCGGTGGTGGAGCTCGAGTAGGGCACGTAGGGCGATACGAAGTTGAATGTCCGTGTGGTCGAAGTAGAGCTAGAGCTCGGCACTGGCGCAGTCGTCACGCTTGCCGGGGTGGAACTAGTAGTGATCGGCGCCGGTGTTGTTCCGCTACTATTAGCACTACTAGCGATAATAGTAGGCAAAATAGTAGGGATGGTAATAGGAATAGTAAGAGTAGGCAACAACGACGACACCACCGACCCAACCACCGTCTCGACACTGCCCAGTGCCGTTGAAACCACGCCGCCGACTGCACTACTAATCCCGGTACCGTAGATTATTGTCACCACGGCCGTGGGGTTCGCCAGTACGCTTGTGGCCCCGTTCACAACTCCAGGAACAATACTGACAACAGCATTATCGGGCGGAAGGCCTACGGAAACTACAGCGTTATTTGGTGGCCCGTCTACGAGAACATTGACTCCCAGCGGCTCTGTCCCGTCTTTGAGAAATGGAATCCCGCGGCGGTGGACATGTCGGTTGTGGTGTCGCCCATGCACGGTTGATAGAGCTCCGAGGAGGGTAAGAAGATGGAAGATCTGCATTTTTTATTTATTTATTCTTTTTATTGGTCAATCTATATTTGAGGTGTTGCTTGGTTTGGTGTGTTTTGTTCCAATTGGCGGGTTTTTCTCAGAGGCAATGGGCTGGTGTTATGAAGTACTCGGCATCAATGGTATGAGGGTAAAAGTATGTCGAGACTCCAGGCCCGAGATGGTATGTAGGAGAGGGAAAAAAATCGAATCCTGAAAATCATATCAGTCAATAGTCCAGTCAAAAGCCCCTCGAGGGGTTTTAGACATATTTTGCTAGGGGTAATAAAGAGGGACCATACTGCACTCAACACAAGACAAGACGGACAAAAAAAGAATGGACACAGAACCTGAATCTGTACGTAACGAACGTAAGTAGCGTAGAAGCCCGAAGCTGCAGCTGGGGAAGAGGGAGAGAAGGAAGGGAGAGAGGAAGAGGAAGGGGGGGGGGGTGAAGAAGAAAGAAAAGACCTGCCAAAGAAAAGAAAAAGCAAATCTACACACGAACCACCACCAGCCAGTTAGGTATCTAGCCTACCATGCAAGGTGGAAGTTGTTTAATCACAATCACACGATGGTCCGCTGTCGCTGTCCACTCAATGCATGACCCGACACAACGGTCGCTGCAGGGGTAAGGCAAGTTACACCCGGGTAGGTGGGTTGTCATTAGTTGGAAGGAGCGAGAGCTGTGATTGCAACACCTTGGGTGGCCGTGGGTTATATGGAGATTTATTAAGACAAGGGTGCACTGACAAAGTAATTGTAAGCCCAATACGAGGACCGTGGTTAAATATCAGAGTCTGGGGATTCAGTCGGAGCTGCTACTCGTGGATGGGAGATTTTACAATCTCGGTGGAGCTAAATTATGAGAATCTGGAGTTCGCCTCTGGGTTTTTCTTTTGAGGTTCAATTTCTGCCTTCTTCCCCTTTGACCAATTAATACTTGAGATCATAATTACTCTGTAATATTGTAAAGTTTTAAGGATTACAGTGGAAGTTCTGCTAGCAAAAATTCCGAACCTTAGAAATAATGCTACTCTACATGCAGTGTACCTAGCACGTACGTAGGTACAGCTTGCAGCGCATGTAGTCAGAGTAACCTACGTCTCAAAAGTACATGTACTACATGTAGGTACGTTACGTACATGTATACATGAATGGAACGTGTATGCATCAAAGTATGTAGTACCACCGGAACAACCTCTTCTTCTCCTTATCATAATCAACAGAACTCAGCGGAGCGGTGAATGTGCCGAAGATCATTCTACCACCGGTAACATAAAAGGCTCCAGCGGCGCTCGTGAGAGAGTCTTCGGTTTTCGCCGGTGGTGGATTGCGTACTACCGGTGGCGCTCGGTCTATCACCGGTAATGTTTACTACGCCGTTCTTGAGAGAGCCACTGTCCATTAGAATATACAATTCTCAGGTCCAGGAATTGGCATGGTGTAACTGCAAGTTTGGAGGTACTCAGTTCTTTCTCTGTATTCACTGTCTTTGCAGTAAACACTGATGGATAGCTAACGGATAGCTAACGAAGAATGAATTTACAATATCACCAGCTGCAGGATAGCCACTTTAATCATTGAAGATAATTGGTTAGCCATAAGAATCCAACAGACAAGTTAGAACTACCGTGATACGAAGGCTCTACAGCGGGTGCATGAGGCAACTCAGAGATAAACGGTATATATTACGAAACCGAAACACGACCACGCGGGAGAAGAAAGGATACGAAACGATCTCGAACGACATGATTTTCTAGACAAGAGACTCGGTAAATTTGTCTGTATTATCAGTCATATTAAAGGCGCTCAAAAACTTACGTATAGCAGGTGGTACGTAAGGAGTCCGATAGTATATATCAGGGCATATCTACTACTGAGCGAAGCTGAGATACAGGTGTCAAACACAAAAGCCAGTGGCTCCTCGATCTCAACAGCGGCGTTCTCTGGCAGATTTTCGTTCTTTTACGTGAACCCTGTACGATGCGACCAGCTAGGATCCAAGAGGCTGCTTCTTTGGCTGAATGGCAATCAGTTATAAGGTTCGAAAAGCTTGGGAGGTGAGCCTATTTAATAACAATCTAGGCCTTAAGATTCCGCATCATCTATCTATCTTCCTGTTTGTTCGTTAATTTATCCTTATTTATCTCCCTTCCTACTTCCTTCCTTCCTTCTTTCCTTCCTACCGTCAGGTACGGAGTTCGGCCCTGAGCGATCTGATTGACTGATTACTCACCTCCACCTCTCAGCTCCGAATGTTCACATGTACCGAGCGAGCGGACTGCACAGACATCGAACAACCCTTCCGTAGTTGTTCCGGGTAGATTACTTCCCTTGCGACCTTGCTAACATGCAACCAAAATCCTCACGGAATTCGAACATACGGCATATGCACAGCCTCAGAGACTAGAGTAACATACGAGGTAACCTTATTGTTGCCTGGGTAGTTTATCCGCGGCCCTATCCTCTTCGAGCGGCTAGTGTTTATTGAAATTTACACCTGGACAGCTGAACTAACAGTATGCAGCTGCAGTGCCTTGGTGCTAGCTAGTGATATAGCGGTCACGGGTGATAATACTATCCGTGGTGAGAATACGTACTGCTGAGGATGGCGGATGGGAAGGAAGCCTCCGGGAGGTCTCTAAGGTGTTTAAAAGCTTACCTACCTGCTTCTTCTGGTGCATATGCACTTAGATACTAATTGCCGCGCCGTGAGTTAATTGTGAAGCTATATAGCACTCATTAGAGTAGAGTACATTGATATTAAATTTTAGTCTCACAGGCCAGCTAATAGAGTATAATGAAGTCTCGATATTTAAGCAGCGTAACATATGCTCGGGTAGGGTAAAGTCGAAAAACTGTAGCAATCGTGGAGAGTCTGAAGAGGAAAGCGTGAGGTGAGACCCCCAGCTTATACCCTATTTTTCGGCTTACGCCATATCACTAATGCGATCAATGTCCAAAACGAAACGAAGGGGTAAGGCGTTGAGAATTTGCTAGCTAGGTTCCTAGTCAATGATTGGCTATGTAGTTTGCTACCCGCCAAAATAGTGGCTGCATGGAATCCAATCAGGCAACAAATTGACATATCTACGCGCCAAGTTGCCTACAGTAGAATAACATATCTCAGTTGTTTAGCGCTTTTGTTATAACGTTGTCCGTTCGATCGGTATGAAAGGGAGAAAAAAAATCCGCAATATGGATCAAAAAGCAAAGGGCGGAGAGTCAAGATAAATCGGGCTACATTTCATTCGCGTCTAAGAATGGCATATTGAGATCTCTTGCAAAATTGAACATTGTCTTGAAGCATGAAGCCGGGGTAAGAGTTCAGTGGACGATGATCGGTGGGACATTGTGCCGATGTTCATATTTCCCTATTATGCATTTTTTGGGTCGCTGCTGGCGTTGCTGTTAAAGTATTAATTCTATGAAGCGTTTGGACCTAGTATTGTAACTACATGTACTGTATTGTCCAATTTTCACAAATCTTTATATTAGGAAATAGGTATTAGGGGAATTAATAAGATCAGATCAAAGGATTTTATCCTATTATTTCATCGCAAAAAATGTACCGTGGCGGGTTTGTACGAGGTTTTCAACTACACCCGAGGAGCTCTATTCTTGAAGAAGTATAGTAAATACGTATACACAGGTTGTCTTAAGAGACCACCCTAAGAAAGGCTTTAGAGATGGCAGGCACAACTATAAATATATGTTATTAGGTTTGAAATCATTTTGGCGAGAAAAAAATAAAAATATATCTATGTAAATTATATACTTTACGTTTGAATTCATCCACCATCACAACTTAAAAAGCTGTATTTTTGTTCTTCCTGCACAGACGAAAGAAATGTTCTCCGAAAGAGTGATATGGAATGACCAAAAAAAAAATATACCTATAACTCCACAGCCAATTAATATCTCAACATATCACGTTAAGTTTACCATCAATGACTTTGTACAGATCCTTTATCTCTTCTATCCACTCATCGATATAACCCCACTCTCCTCCGCCATCAGGACTACCGCACCGTAGTTTCCTTGTCAAATTTGCTTTAGTTTGTCGACACATACGATCGCACATTCGAGATCTTGGTGGATGGCTTCAAATCGATCTTTGAGTGAGTTGCGGATGGCAGAGATATAGGTGAGCGCTATCCGAGGGCTTTCTGTACCCCCCTGGTCTGCTTCGAAAGAGGAGACTGAAAATTTTCTCGACCCTGATACTGAGCGAGAAGGCGTAGATGTTGGTGTGTGAGTTCGAATAAAAACCGAAAGGGTTGTGAGGCTCTCTTTAACGCTTTGAAGAGAGTTTTCGAGCTTGCAGTTTGAGATGAAGCTCTGTAACTTTCGGAGATGACATCGATGGAGTTTCAGTGATTGATTGGTTGGTATCTGGATTGCTATGATGAGGACTACGGAGGTTTAGACGAGGAGAAGAGTGTTGTACGCAGTTCATAAGTGCGGTCGAGGAGATGATTACCTCAACCCCACGGGTTGTCAACATGGTGTAGAAACGAGGCTCGATTTGGTCGTTAGCGGCAACGTTTATGTCCTAGTAATTAATTCGGAATAGTGATGGTGTTGGTAGCGGATTTCAACTGTGACACGCATCTTTGTTAGAATACCCCTAGACCCAAATGAATCGGCACTGTTGTGTACTCCATTGAAGATACGCACGCAAATGAATAAGGGCTCACTGAACCTATGAATGGATGGCCTTTGACAAAGAACACCATAAAAAACGATGCAATGTATCTTAATGTTTGCTTACATACACATCGGCAATATAAATTATTTTTGTGATCATGAGGCGAGACGTCTGGGAATCTCGTAGAATTGAGATCCTTTATATTTATCACAATGACCTCTAACTTCGCTGGTGTGAATCACAGATTATCACTCATCGTTCTTAAGGGTGCTCAAATCCCTTCGTCTGTTTTCAGCACCCGTGGCTTTGTATGGCAGAATATTTATTGGGGAAGTATGTCATCTACATGCGCAGTTAGATTGAATAATCATTGTATGTCCGCTACCCGCTTAGGAACAACCTTAAGCCTGCGGGGCTATGGCGCCGTTGATCACCCTTTAGCAACCAGTCCGGTAGGGCCTGAAAAATCACCCACCAGATGAAGAGATGAGTTGGATAAGATTACTCCCTGGTATATCTATTCTTATCGGGGAGGAACCTACATATACTTGTCGTTGATCGCAAATCACCCCGTAAAGAAAGAATAAGCCACATGGTTATTTTTTTGGTGCAGAAAAAAAATTCAGGAGCCCGAATTCTTAGGTTATTGTATTTCTATGCCGTATTGTATCGTTTTGGAGTTATAATTCGTCACCATATCACAGGTACCGATCATAAAAACTCACTCCACCAAATCCAATGCCGACAAACGATGAGATGGGCATGCCAGAACGGATGCTTCTTCTCTACATAGCTTCAGGTTTCGGACTCGTAGATCATATCTTCTGTGTAGTTGAGCAAAGCCTACAGAATGATAAACAGAACTGGGCAATTACGCCTCTTGGGGCTGCGCACTGCTGCTCATGACCTTCTGTCTCAGGACTGCCACCCAGAATCTATCAGTAATCAATTCCTTAACTACATCGGTAGGAATAAATACGTACCATCTTCAACGACCCGTACATTCTGGCTTTTTTGTGACACAATCTTTTCCAGATCAGTCAGGTTTTTCGTCAAATTTTCCACCTTGCCGTTGTAAAATTTCTCGGCATCGGCAGCAGATTTTTCAACGTAATATCCAGTACCAATATCGACGAGAACATTTTCAGTGTCTGCTAAGGTTCCTGGGACGTAGAGAGAGTTTGTGAGTGGTACAAGGATCGTTTTGCCTATCATGTTTACGGTGTCAGTATCAAGACCCTGACTTCCCCTGGAAAGCGAAAAGGACAAACCAGGTCTTAGGCCAGTCTTAACGGTGTTAATGCATTCCTTGAATTTATTCTGTGCTTGCCTGAGCTTCTGGAACGACTGGGTAAGGTGTTCTAGCTCCTCGTCGAGCTGTTTTTTGACGGCAGAAAGGTTGTCGACGGACAAGGTGTTTAAGTCGACTAGGTCATTATAGATCGATTAGTATCTGTGCATTGGGTCTGAGAGAGAGATAAGAGAGGAGAGGATGAGTGGAGAGTGCGTACTCTGCTGCGACTGGGGTCCTTTTGATTCTTTGGATGCCATTGGGGTGAGGGGTTGTTCGCTTTCGCTATTTCACCCACCATTGGCAATTGGTGCATGAGACAGTGGGTGTTTGTAGGCCGGGTAATGATAGCTGTTATGCCAGGTAAGGGTTAGGGTTTTGCATAGAAGAGGCTTGAATAACGATTGGCTCGGCGAAATGTTCTTGGAACTAGTCTTTTCTAGTTTTAGAACAGTAGAGAGAACTCAAAATAATACTAGTTGAGTCACAGATAAACTTCTGTACATGTAGTTACATGTATATTTAATTATCTCGGGAGATCAATGATATTCTGTGAAAATTGATGTCAGCCATCCGGTCCGATCAATTGCAAGTCTATCTTGTCATCTTCTCGGCGTTTTGCTTATTGAATCTTTTCATGACTCTTTATACAAACTTATCGACAGTTGACTAGTCGTCAATATATTCAGACCGGTTTTGTTCGCTCGTGGATGTTGTCCTAGAGGGTTCATGAGGGTACTGTATAAAAAAGTCTCGATAAGGAGAATAACCTCGAGTGATATCTCGTGTAGAGGCAATAGCCGACCACGTGATTCATGATGCAAGGTCACGTCACGTTAGGCAGCGCGTCTTCTCCCTTACAACCCCTCACCTCTTCCACGATACAGTTTTGTCGTTCCACAAATGTCAAGTTTGAAGTTTGTTCTAAGTGCTTCCGCTTCACAAAGAGTTCATGACATTCTGTCATGCTTGTCAAAATTCTCTGAATACGTCTGCCTTGAGGCTCGGCGCAACCGCTTCACACTTTCAGCCCTGAACTCAACAAAATCAGCTTATGGCGGCATTTCTTTGTCAAGTGGAGAGTTTTTTGAGTCTTACAGTTTTGAGGCCATAGGAAGTAATGAATCGACTGAGCCTCCAAGATTTACCTGCCGGCTCTACTCCAAGGTTGCTCACCGCCTAGATTCCGAGAAAGACGAAGAAAGATACTAATACGAGCAGTCCTAGGCGTTACTCGCTGCGTTCAGGCAGCGCTATTCCGACTCAAAGGGTAGCTCAGCTATAGACAGATGTGAGGTCAGCTTTGAAGATGATCCTTCACGACCAGAATGCCGGATACTCGTTCAACTTGTATGCGGACATGGTGTCTTAAAAACCTATAAACTTACTTATGAAGAAGTGGAGGTGATGGCACCCGTGTTTGATAAGGGGCAGGCACCCAACCGGTGGACTGTACAAGCTAGGCTTATGAAGGAATACATGGAGCATTTCGGGCCAAAAGCAGAGGGATTAGATATTACGAGCAACAACGGAAGGGCGGTATTCACTAGCTTTACTGAAAAGGTTACAGATGGGAAGGGTAATGTACCAACAAACACAAAACGAAGATATTTGTGCTGATAGAATTAGAGATTTTGAAGCTTCCCATGCATACGAGTATTGCACTAGATACATCTGGTTTTGATGATTGGTTAGCAGAGGATAAAGTGAATGTAGCGATCAGCTTGAAAGATATGAAGGTTGGTATACGAAATCCAAAGAATTATGTAGAGACTAATGATAAACTATAACAATTATTTTTAGGCAATAATAATGCACGCAGCATCCCTAAATACAACCATATCAACCTTTTATAGCGAAGCCGGCCGTCCATTTCAAGTCACTTATGATCATGAGGGGATGCGATGTCAATTCACCCTGATGACCATGACTCAAGTCAGCAACTCCCAAACATTTGCAGCAATTACACGAGTCAATAACCGCCCTGCACCCGGTCCTACGCCCCTTCATACTCCTGGTCCCGCCCCCAGATCATCTGCGCCTTTATTTCGAGCCGGAGCTTCTCAACGTGATTCTACTCAAAGCCAGCAAGCAATTCAGGGGGATTACGAGGAATCCTATAGACCTCAGACGCAACCTGTCCAGACTCAGTTTCAAGTAAACACGTTGACACAACGTATACTACCACACCAGTCATCACCACAAGCTATCTCTCAGGTTCCCCCAAGTCAACATGTGCCGCAGGGATTATTCTTACCTTACGATACCGAGGACGAAGATAGCGATGATGATGATTTAGGAAAGGGCCTTGAAGAATGGGAACCAAGGCTACGGTGGGACTCAGGCTGTAACGATAATGCCATGCCGAGCATCTTAGTTGTGAGAGATCAAATTGCGCCGGGCATCAGAGTGGACGAAAGAGAAGACGAAAAAGAGAGTGAAGAAGAGGAAGAGGAAGAAGATATGGGCCCGATGGTAGGACCAACTCAGCAAGTTTCACAGGTATGATAGCACTTATCCCTACTAGTTTCCCCTTTCGTTTGTTGAAAGTTTGTTGACCTGTAAAGGCGAGGGGACTTTTCGATTTCTGAAAATAGTTGAACCTATTGAATTGCTATCCGGAGTCGATCGGGTACATTTCTTTTCTGTTTTCCAAGAAATTACTAACACTGTATTTATGAGAGATATCATGTTTGTTACTTGCCCTAAAAATAGCTACCCATCATACCTCCACTGATGAGCTCTCATAATGAAGTCCCATCCTTCCGTGGTAGTCAAGGTAACCCCGATTTCCCATCCGTCATTCTCCATAGCTGTGATTCTGTCTACATCTTCCTGAAGAATCTCGATCCTACGCTCAACCCTTTTCAGCCAATCACACAACATCTCGAGTTCATCGCCTGTGTCCCTATCGAATTGAGCACACCCACAGAAGGCATCCCCAAACTTGAGTTTCAGAGACTCCATTTGGTTGGTTATAGACTTGAGTGATTTCTGGACCAAAAACATTAAATTTTGGGCGTTGATAGACATTTCGCTGGTGAAAATGATTCGACGACGGATAGGAGTGCTGTCTCCACCAACCAGGCGGTCCTCTCCTACAAACGCGGTATCGGTATCGGAAGTGATGATGTAGTGCTCTGGACGTGAAGGTAGAGAGGAGGTGGTGGCCCGCTGTTTTCCGATCACAAAAAAGCTGTATTTTTCCAATCTGTGTTTGAACGATCGAGTTCTTTCATCCACTTTCTGGATATGATTATCGAGATGCGCTAGATCAAGGTGGCTATAATCTTGAGATAGATCGTTCGAAGTCATTCTGAAAGGAACTGAGCGAGTGTATCTTGGGGGGCGATATGTATAGAGGATGGCGAGCGGTATTTGAGGGGAGCGGGATGATAAAGTTCCGAGGATGGATGTATATGAAATGGAGATGAAGACAAAAGGTATACTTGGTAGGGTTTGTGGTGGAAGGTCTGTAGTGAACTACATGTAGGGATTTAGGTGAGCCAGAGGGTGCTAAGGAACAATACATGCACGCATGCGCTAGTAAAAAAATATATCGCGGTACATCATGTAGGTAGGCTTAAGGAATCATTGCATATTGTATATGTATATACATGTATGTATATCCATGTTCGTCAAGTTTAATATTGTAAGCTTAAAGGGATAATCGTCTGGGACGTCTTTTATAATACGAGCTTTAAGTACATGTTTCTAATCAAAATGTCAATAATCATCAAATTTTAGCTTTTTTGCGTCGTCGCTAATAGTGTATATGTACCGTTGTCAATAAGAGAACTGAGTGATGAAAACATATCTGGTCATAGAATATCACTCCTTTTGTAGATGTTGGATGGCATTTACTATCGTAGGAACTTATAACTCTTACTAGATTGATGGAAGGCACAGTAATTCTAATACGAAGAATAAATTCCTATTACATGTATATATCTATCATCAGGTAGTTGAGTAGACAGACACATTTTTAGAAACGGAGATCTAGATTGAAACTCGTGATCAGGAAATCTATGTATATACATGTATGCACGTTCCGTCGGCCCAGTCACGAGTATATCACATTGTCAACAGGCCGACATATTGTCCAACTGGCCGTCCTGTTGCCAAATATTGTCTATTGGCAAATCCTTCCTGAGATTTGACAAACCGCCACTGATCGCTCGCCCGGACGGCCAATCCCTGCCAGAATTTGACCAAAATCGACTAATTAACACCCCAAAGCCATCACCTAACAGCTAAGAAACTCAAATAACACATTCTACCTACATGTATGTGCCCTTGCCTCTGATATATATACCACTGTCCTGGGGTTGCATAAGTAATACTAATAAATACACCATTAACAAATAGCTAATTAACTAGGGGTCAACAGCTTTAATTCCGCCGGGAAAGCTGAGGATTATATAGCACTGAGCCGAATGGTATGTAAGCGAAAAATAAGAGCCTTTCCCCAATTATGGTCCATTGGCCAATAATGAACGCTTGCGATCGACTGGGATGCATGGAATATATATATAAGCTTTGTATGATTTTATGCTTTTAATAGTGTCTTTTCTCTCTCTTTTTTCTTAATCTAGATATTGGATTCATTATACTGAGTGCTGCCTGTAGTTGAACATATTGACTTCCACTAGAGTGTGAGCGGGGCAGTGAAGGTCGTGACCTAACTATTGTATTTGATGGAAGGATATATGCACACAGCAGTTCTTCCTTTATTTCGGAACTTTAATTTAAAATGGGTTTAGACACTAGAACTCTATATGGCATCGATCCGGAGCTTGTATCACGGGATCTCTGCTACATACTATATATATACTTTAAACGAAGATAGGAACAGTAGATAGACCCCCGATAGGGTCCCCTCCCACACCCGCCCCCTCAGGCTACGCGGCCGCCCGAACCCACCTAAGAAATGGAACTCAACGGCAACAAAAGGAGTAGCCTACCTCCCCATAGAACACCTCTGCTCCCTCCTCCGCCACCCGATTGCAGGAGGAACCAACCACAAGCTCCTCCCAAAACAAGCAAAAGAACAAATGCTGAATAATTGGGCACACAACTTCCCAGCACCCCCCTACTACTTCTTCCCCCTCCGAGTCACCACAAGGCCAGAACCCTTCATGGACTTACACAAATTCACAGCCACTCGAATCCACCAAATGAGAGCCCAAAAAAGCTACCTCAGAGGCCATAAATCATGGCTCAACCTCTACCTCTCCAACACATGTGATAGATGTGGCGAAGGCCCCGAAACCACCGAACATGTCATACTCTCATGCCGACTCGGAGCAAAAGCAGCTCAACGCTCCCAACTCCTCCCTGGAATTAGCACCCTCGAGGAGATCTGGAACAACCATACCAACACACTGGCTCTAGGAGCTTTCATCGCCGCCACCAAGACGAACTTCCCAAGGAAGAACTACATATCAGCAAAAAAGGGCATGTCGTCTTGGGGCACCTGGGCGCCCGAGATGCCCCAGATGCCCCAGATGCCCCAAGACTTTTGCTTACCTGTAGACCGACGCCGGGGCGTACCGAAACGGAGCCAGTGCGCCTCTTTGCCAAAGGACGTCGTCGCGACAGGTCTAGACGCAAATTCGTCTTTTGGCGTCTAACGCCGTCTCAACACTAGTATCTTTGGCCCGGTTAACGGGTTTCGCTAGCAGTTTTTGCTGGCAGAATGAGATCACTCGGCAAAAGGTACATCGACTAGGACATTGTTTCCGCGCGCCAGTCACATATATTCGTCTATCTGTCTATCTAATTCTCTATGTACATATTTGCTAGCGCCCTACCTACCTCCGCGTCTGACTGCCTGCCTACCTACCTCCGCGTCTGACTGCCTGCCTACCTACCTCCGCGCTTGACTGCCTTCCTACCTACCTCCGCACGCTGCCTGCCTGCCTACCTACCTCCGCGCTTGACTGCCTGCCTACCTACCCCGCACCTGCCTGCCTACCCCCGTGCCCGACTGCCTACCCCCGCACCTGCTTGCTTACCTACCTACCTATTTGGAGCTTAATTGACGTTGATGAAGTGCACCGTCAGTCGTCGATTTGGGCGTAGATTTGAGCGTAGATTTGAGCGTAGATTTGCAGCTGATTTAGGTGTCGACTTGGTGCAATTAGTCGACGTTTGGTGTCGTTTTGGGCGTCAATTCGGGCGTCAATTTGGGCGTCGATTTGCTGCTATTTAGCAGTCTGTAGCGGTGTCAGTACAGGCGTCAAAATACAGGTAGCTAAATACGTATCCAGGCATCGCTGCAGGTAGGAGGTAGGTGTCGATGCAGGTAGGAGGTAGGCATCGCTGCTGGTAGGAGGTAGGTGTCGATGCTGGTAGGAAAGCAGCAGGTAGGCAGCTAGGCAGAGCTCAGGGCTAGCGCCAGGACTTGGGCAGATTCGCCACGGTGGGTCGCGTTTTGGGAGGCAGTGGGGCGTCAAGAGGCGAGGTGTCATATTTGGGACGCCTACATACATGTATGTATGTACTAGGCGTTAAAAGACGACCTATCACATTTTGGGTGCTTACTAGGCGCCAAAAGACGACGTGTCACATTTTGTGGCAGCGGGACGAGGCATTGGTAGCAACAGACGAGGTTTTGGGCGCGGAAGACGAATTTGGACATCTGGGCGCTGATGATCTCCCCCCTCCTGTCCGGATCTGAGACCCCCTCCTCCACCTAGCCATCGCAAAACCGCCACCTTAGCACAAAACCACACACCCGCAAGACCCTCAAAGGGCAACAGGTTATTAAAAACCAGCAGGAAGGATCTCTTATATCGGATATGGGCCGCCAAAGATTGTCAAGTTTCCTAGCCATCAGTTAGTTCGCCAGCACAGTAACTCTTTCCTTATCTTTCTTTTGTTCTTCTGGGGTCGTGATACTTGTTTTCTAGCCGGGGAGAGGTATTTTATGACATAGTCTATGACTGCATGCAGAGTTTTATACCTAGAATCAATTAAAACTACATGTACATGATATAAAAAAAAAAAAAAAAAAAAAAAAAAGGAACAGTAGATAGTAGTGGGTAGTTATATGCACTGAGCTAGAAAGAAGCAGAATCAATCTGCTGGAAACCACGAAGAACCTTACGCCTATACCTGGGGCGCGAGCTGAAGATCGAGAGAGACCCCGTAAACGACGTGCAGGTACTTTATATGCGCGCGAGTATGTACACTTCTAGTTTAAAAATGATGGGACAACGCCCAAAAAACAACTTTTTGTACGGCACCACCACCAATAGATAGACCTGGAATTAACAACAGAGGTGATGGAGTATCTATATTACCCGTCTTCAAACTTTGATTCGGTACCAAGTCTGAAAGTTTGAGGATATTCGAATTCCAACAATACCCACCCGAGATTCTTTACTACATGTATTCAGGGGTACCGGAAAGTGATCATGATACAACGACTCAATTCACCACTCACGATTTCAATCAACCACATGCACATGCGACCGTAACGAAGCAACAATATATGGTACCCCTTGGACGGATGAAAGTTGTCAAATTCGCGACCCGGACCGTGCACCACTTAGTCTTGCTTTTTATGGTAAATAGCAACAACAGAGCCAATCAAGAATTTCCAACAATTACCACACTGGCTAGCGAAAGCTGAAAGAGGGAGGTCGCGAATTTGACAACTTTCATCCGTCCAAAGGATAACTAAAGAGACTATAAAGATTTCATCGATCACATTTAAACAAAAGAAATTAAGGTGGTTTTGAATTCATTAATTACCAGACCTCACCCAATCCCAAGCCGTTGCATCACTTTTCGGACCCCTAGGTACACGTACTGATACACTAATGGTTTATTTTTTTTTAATCTAAGTGCTGATATGGAACCCCCTAGAGATTCTACAGCTTCTGACGAACCAGGAAGTGTTGCTGAGATATGTGGAAAATTCTAAATTTCTTGGTTGCTGTCCCATGTATGTTTCAGAAGAATTTGCGTTTATGATTTGGTGTACTGGGTGTTGAGGGTAACTGACCAGAATGTTGCTGTGAATATATATGTATTTGTCTTATCCGATTCTTGTCACTTTTCGCTACACCTATGGCGCGAGAAGGCATAGGGGGTGGGTGTGTCAACTTCAGAGGAACCTTTTTTGTATAAAATTCCACTATTAGGCTAGGCGCTAGTACTATTATGGGAGTAGATCTCCCAATTCCTATAGATTGATTGGCTGCAAACGCCGAAGTTTACACACCTACCGGCACCATAGCTTCTCGAGCCATATTACTCTTTCAGATTCTTATGGTGGATAGCGAGTACCGCAAAATCTCAGGAATATTGTGTTTCGGATTGGTCAAATGCTTGTTGAGCCTCAATATGACAGCTAGACCCAAAGCGTAACTTTTGGTCGTCTTGACCAATGGGTAAGTGGTATTCCAGCTCAGTTCAATTCGTTATTCCTGAGATTCTGCGGTACACTCATGCATCTGCAAAGTCTTGCTCTATGCCTTCATGCAGCTTGGGTGGATTCTTGGCTGCATTAATTTCCCTTTCACTTTGAAAATGGATTACAAGGTTGCGCCGAAAGACTTTACTAAACTAATAATATTCTGTTATACGTGTGTGTTTAATTGATAATTTGCTGATTGGTTGTCCGGGGTGCGTGGCGCCGGCGGTAATAAAGAAAAGGGGTGGGGGGGGGGCGTAGAAATGCGCAGCATTCCCAGGCTGGCACAAAACCCATCAACGACTTCTTGAAATCCTTCCGAGAGAGCTATTTAATATTTCTTCTTGCCGCATATACCTGGTTTCTTCCAGCATTCTCAGAACTTCATTCAAGCACATAGCCTCGTCTCTTCCCAATAGCAAGTATCAGCCAATTGTAAGTCGTCCGAGAGACCGCCTTGTGATCGTTATACTGGTTACCAGAGAGGGAACTAATTAGTTCCTCAAGTAAACTTCGAATCAATCGCAATTGACTACAAGAAGAATCAGGGGTTTTAACTTGGAAAGAGGAATCCAATCCTTATAACGCCTAATCTCAAACCACTCCCCCTCAAACCGTGAGGGAAGCCCCAAGCAAAGAACAAAACCCAGTCTTCCGCGGGTTCAGACTGTTTGCAATCAAGAGCTCGTTCGAGGTAGTCCTGGTAGCTATACCGATTATAAAAATGAAGGGTGAACCTAATTAGTTCTCGAAGGACACTTTAATCATATCTTACTCCGAGCGTATAATAGCCCTCATTCAGAAAGAGGTATCAATCATTTCCAATCCTCTTAACATACGCCGATCATCTTAACGCACGCCAATACTCTTAAAGTACGCCTATTTTCAGACTGCCTATCCTCAAATCGTCTCAGGTCCCGAATAATAACGTATAGCATCGTGTCTCATAACTAGCAACTCTAAGCTGATAAGAGCTTGTTTGAGGTAAACGCCTCTAATCGTTGAACTAAATGTCAGTAAGATAGAACTAATCAAGTTCTCAAGTAGTCGTGAGTTGGAATCTTGCCACTTATTCATAGAAGCGTCAGAAACCTGAATGGAGCTAGTAGAATCACGGGTGGCACTAGAGGAAAAGGGCTTAGAGCGTCTGAATGATGAGTTTGTGAAAGCGGCGGAGAGAGGGGACTGTCCGGAAGCACAAAGATTGCTGGGTCTAGGAGCATCTATCAATGCGCGATGCCTACCTACAGGAAAATTCAATAGTGGAGCGGCTGAGGTTTCTAGTGTCGAGGAGAAACGTAATCGGGATGGAGAGCTGGAGCTGCGCGTGTCGCTCGTTGGTGCAGACGGGGCTTGGTATTCAGGTGATTCTGTGCCTAGAAAAGAGCTTACCAGAACAGCATTACAAGCAGCGTCTGACGGTGGTCACCATACGCTGGCAAAGCTGCTGGTGGATGCGGGGGCCGAGGTTAACGCTCCACCGTCGAGATCCTATGGGAGAACAGCGCTACAGGCCGCAGCGGAGGGCGGGCATCAGGAGATAGTAAAGATGCTGATGGAAGTGGGAGCGGCCGAGGTTAACGCCGCACCGGGGTACCGTTCCGGAAGAACAGCATTGCAAGCGGCATCTGACGGTGGTCACCATACGCTGGCAAAGCTGCTGGTGGATGCGGGGGCTGAGGTTAACGCCGCACCGGCGAAGTATGAAGGAAGAACAGCGCTACAGGCGGCAGCGGAAAGCGGGCATCGGGAGATAGTAAAGCTGCTGGTGGATGCGGGGGCCGAGGTTAACGCTCCACCGGCAGAGTCTCAAGGAAGAACAGCGCTACAGGCGGCAGCGGGGGGCGGGCATCGGGAGATAGTAAAGCTGCTGGTGGATGCGGGGGCCGAGGTCAACGCTCCACCGACGGAGTTTATGAGAACAGCGCTACAGGCGGCAGCGGGCGGCGGGCATCGGGAGATAGTAAAGCTGCTGGTGGATGCGGGGGCCGAGGTTAACGCTCCACCGGCGAAGTATGGGAGAACAGCGCTACAGGCGGCAGCGGGGGGCGGGCATCGGGAGATAGTAAAGCTGCTGGTGGATGCGGGGGCCGAGGTCAACGCTCCACCGGCGGATTTTATGAGAACAGCGCTACAGGCGGCAGCGGGGGGCGGGCATCGGGAGATAGTAAAGCTGCTGATAGATGCGGGGGCCGAGGTTAACGCTCCACCGGCGGAGTATGAAGGAAGAACAGCGCTACAGGCGGCAGCGGGGGGCGGGCATCGGGAGATAGTAAAGCTGCTGATAGATGCGGGGGCCGAGGTTAACGCCGCACCGGCGAAGTATGAAGGAAGAACAGCGCTACAGGCGGCAGCGGAAAGCGGGCATCGGGAGATAGTAAAGCTGCTGGTGGATGCGGGGGCCGAGGTTAACGCCGCACCGGCGAAGTATGGAGGAAGAACAGCGCTACAGGCGGCAGCGGAAAGCGGGCATCGGGAGATAGTAAAGCTGCTGGTGGATGCGGGGGCCGAGGTTAACGCTCCACCGGCGAAGTATGGGAGAACAGCGCTACAGGCGGCAGCGGGGGGCGGGCATCGGGAGATAGTAAAGCTGCTGGTGGATGCGGGGGCCGAGGTCAACGCTCCACCGGCGGATTTTATGAGAACAGCGCTACAGGCGGCAGCGGGGGGCGGGCATCGGGAGATAGTAAAGCTGCTGATAGATGCGGGGGCCGAGGTTAACGCTCCACCGGCGGAGTATGAAGGAAGAACAGCGCTACAGGCGGCAGCGGGGGGCGGGCATCGGGAGATAGTAAAGCTGCTGGTGGATGCGGGGGCCGAGGTTAACGCTCCACCGGCGAAGTATGGGAGAACAGCGCTACAGGCGGCAGCGGAAAGCGGGCATCGGGAGATAGTAAAGCTGCTGGTGGATGCGGGGGCCGAGGTTAACGCTCCACCGGCGAAGTATGGGAGAACAGCGCTACAGGCGGCAGCGGAAAGCGGGCATCGGGAGATAGTAAAGCTGCTGATAGATGCGGGGGCCGAGGTCAACGCTCCACCGACGGAGTTTATGAGAACAGCGCTACAGGCGGCAGCGGGTGGCGGGCATCGGGAGATAGTAAAGCTGCTGATAGATGCGGGGGCCGAGGTTAACGCCGCACCGACGGAGTCTCAAGGAAGAACAGCGCTACAGGCGGCAGCGGAAAGCGGGCATCGGGAGATAGTAAAGCCGCTGATAGATGCGGGGGCCGAGGTTAATAGAGCGCAGAATGGTACTAGCTTACTCGTCGATCTAGTTGGTCGCGGAGTGTGCATGGACATACTAGAGCTCTTGCTTCACGCTCCCAAACAAGATTTAACACTTAGAGATCGGTTTGGGTTCACGCCACTTCACCAAGCATTGCGAGAATGCGACAAAGCTTTACGTCCGAAGGACACAGACACAGACCAGGGTGGGGCTTTGCAGGCCGATAGAATACAAAAGTTGATTTTCAAGCTTGTGGAGGGGACCCAGGGAAAACCGGTATAAACATTAAGGATCACTCGGGAAAAACAGCTTTGGAGACTGCCATTGAAATCAAATCTCTAGCTATAGTTAAACAACTACTTCTAAGAGGCGCGGATACCGGGGTTCTAAGGACTGAAGACTTGCGCAACTTACTGGATTCCGCAACCGTATCTAAGGTATCTAAGATTGGCCTGCGTACTGGGCGAGGAGGAGAGACCCATGTCATAGCGGAGGAGAGGGAGGGTGCGAGGCTTGAATGGCCTCCCATAAAGGAGTGGAAGTGGAGGTTAGAATTCGATCCATGGATCAACATGTGAGTACTGTCCGGCGAATTAGGGCGGGGGTGTCAACTATGTCCGCGTTATATCCTGTTCATCGGTCACTGCTAATAATGAACCCTGCCGTGCTAAAGATCCCTCGGACAGCCTGACGATAGCACGTACGCGTCATTCATGTGGCCGAATGTTACGGGAACTGAGCAAAAGTCTCTCTTACGAGATAATGCGGACCCATTAATATTAGAGAATACTATTCGCTTGAAATGGTGGCTTGGCGAACTCAGCGAAGGCTCAAATTTCTATTTGGGAGCCCCTACGAGAGCTATGATAACAGGCATAGGTGTTTCGGAGAAAGATAAGGTGAAAGGTAAGGCCTATATATATACACGTTCCGGATTCATCAAATACCTTAGTATTTTCTCACCGGCTCTATCTAGGACACGTGAAAGTGGGAGTAATTGGCTATGTATGCTTTTGTGTCTTCATTCCAAATGGTGGGGTAAAGGCTGCCGAGAATGGCTCAAACGAAGAAGGATTACAGTCATTCAAGTTTAAGAATCAAAAAGTCGAGATTTCCTGGATAATGGCACACCCCAGCGAAACGGAATGTGAGCCCAAGTATGGGCTATATCATCCTAAAGAGTTATTCCTACGTTCTTTGTTATACCTAGGAACAGCGAGATTGAAGTATCTTTCAATTCCTTCTCACGGGGTGGAGTTTGCTACGTTGTTCCTTGATGACATTCATAGGAGATGGCTCAAACTTCTCGAAAGTGCCAAGGTACATCTTGCAGAGTTTGTGAGTGTCAGATTTCATAAAGTCTATCACACCGAAGAATCGTACCATAGAGCTTATACTGAAGTTTCGATGGCCTCACAATAGCGCGACAAGCAGTTGGTGGAAGGGGGGAGGAATCCTACTGTCATCCAATGTCTCCTGGAAGACAGTCAGCAGTGGAACAAGCTTCGTTCAAGCTTGAAACTGCATATATCGAAATCGCGGGAATTTTGGAACACGTTCAAGGAGCATGAGGCTTTATTCATGGAATTGGCGGAATCGAACGACGATAGTGCTAGGATCAGCAATTTTTTGGGCGGTCACGCGGAGAATTCAAATATAGGAGAACTCGAGGCGATGGTGAAACTTTCAAGAAAGATTGAACTTATAGAAGGGTGTATGAGCGAAATAGACGAGCTGAAAGGAGAAACAAAGGAGATGATTGAGCTTGTGAGTAACTCTTTTCTTTGGAGTATAATTTGTGAAAGTTTTATTCATCAGATAATTTTTCTGTAGGAGTTCAATTTGGTCTCTATATATGAGGCTCGGAAATCCATTGAAATGTCGGAGGTCTCAAACAAAATGGCCGAGAGATCTCTAGAAATGGCGGCGCTCTCAATCAAGATGACAGAGGAATCGAATAAAATGACAAAGGAGTCAAACAAAATGTCTCAAAGATCTAACGAAATGTCGGAGCTTTCAATCCAGATGTCACAGGACTCAATTAAAATGGCAAAGCACTCTAATAGCCTTTCATTGAGTATGAAAAGACTTAGTTGGATTACAGTAAGCTCTGCCTTAATCTATTAAAAGAATAACCTGACATTTTTTAGTTTATATTCCTCCCTTTGACCTTTGTTTCTGTAAGTGATCTCACCAATTCCCCGGGGATCCTATGTACAGCATTCTTCTGACAGTAGCAGGGGCTGTTTGGAATGAACCTAGATATTCTAGCAAATAACCCGAGCTGGACTTGGTATTTTGTTATTGCCGGTCCAGTTTTGGCTCTGATCTTCGTGGTCTGGATTATGTTCAAATATGTTCCGGTTGGTCAAGCCTCTTTTTCACGGTATGGTTGTACGAGAGAGCTACTAATATCTGGGTCGTAGATCTCCCACTGGATTGAGAAGAATATAGGATCACAATTGGAAGCGTTACTCGTTGGTGACCGGGCAGAGCCTACCACAGCAAACGCGGAACCTGTAAATCACTCGGGACTTAGCACTTCGGGCGAAGTTTCTCCTAGAGGATCGTCGTTAAGGATGAGATTGATTCCGACGCGCGAAAAGAAGAGACCAGATGACACAAAGCAAGGCACGATGCCAGCTCCTCCCAAGGTAGAGACTAGCGAACAAGTTAGTCAAGGGATCCTATTTAAGAGAAGGCAATAAATATGGATTCGGACTCGAATTTGGTTTAAAAAATGGTTTTGCGGTAAAGAATAGAGGAGGTGGCGGGGTGGAGTAGTGATGAAAGGGGTTTAAGGGCATTATACTTCTTTTTTTTTTGTCTTTATTGTTTGTTTGGGATATCTATATAGTTGGCCGGGTTGATACTATCATTTCGTATGTTATTCGCGGTTTTGGAAATTTAAAGGCTTTTTTTATGTGTCAAAATGAAAGACCTAAAAAGAGGCACAAGTGTGTGATGCCGTATTCACCTATAAGTAGGTACTGATCATGACCTATGCGACCCGTAAAGTGCCGGCCCCCACTATATCGATGTCAACCAACCACTCAATGACCAACAGCCAGAAAAACCGCGTTGTCTCTGAACCCAAAATCCCCTCTTTACCCAGCCTTATCCTAACCCACCGGCGCAGCCGTGAATGAAATGAACAGCCTACCAATCAACTTCTATTTCCCCATGCTACTACCACGTAGCCCTATCCAGGGCAGCTTCAGAAGACATACCTCACGGCTAAGAGGATCTCGACTCGCCGTGATTGCGGAGGAACAGTAGCGCCGGCCGTTGTTATTTCGAGGGTGAGATAGATGGCACCCAGGTACTACCCTTTGGAGATAGATCTAGATGGGCTCTTGTTATTGCTCTTATCTATTGTAACGGGGTGTGTGTCATGAGGTATCACTCGGGCGCTAGCACCAGCCAATGTGATATGCAATAAAACTGATAGAGTTGATCAAATATTGTGTGGATGTAGTAAAATGAAGTTCGTGAGGGGAAACCTGGCTTTGTTCTGTTGTGAACTAAATTGACCAGACTTGTGGGTGTGAAGTAAAAGTATCCTATAACTACATTGCATTGTACTTCTGAAACCCATAGATACAGAAAGGAAAAAGTGACGTACATCGTGGATAATTATGGTGCTCTTAGCAGTGGAATGATATGGGAGAAGTTAGATTCGTGTTTGATCGGCGTTGGAGTGGAGGTGCGGTTTAGGTGAGAGGTATGGCCGCTCCATGCGGTCCATATAGCGCTAACCACATATAGCTAGAGGTGAGTCAGACGAGATTAGATTAAGGGAAGATAAGATAACGCGGAGCCGCAGAGCCGCAGAGCCGCAGATCGCAGATTTCTGTTATCAACTTAAGGTTAGGGTTTTTATTCTATCACAAGATTTTTCCTCACGAGCACCTCAACGCCCCACCTACTCACGAAAGCCCTCGAAATGCTGTTCTGCCAGCTATGCCGTCACAGCCACATAAGATCGCTTCTCTCAGTCCACACCCCCTTGCGCCGTTCGTACGCAATCGCTGCATACTCCCGCCCGTCATCAGATGCGTTCCGAGCGTCCCCACCTACACAGCGCCCACCGCCGCGGGCTAAAGACCTCGGGGCGTCAAGCTTCAGCAACAAAAATCGCTCATCAACGCAGCAACGAGTGAACATGAAAGATCCATTAAAGGTTTCGGATTTGGTGCGCCGGCGTTTGGAGACTAAAGATGAGAACTCTGCTGTATCGCTGGCCAGAGAGGCAAGCAGGACTATGAATACAGTAGTTTCGTGGAATGTAATAATCCAGTATTACTTACGGAATGGGAGGATTAAGCGCGCATTCCAAGCCTACAATGAGGTTCATATCTCCCCTCCCAGCATCGTCTAATGACATACTGCTGAACAGAAGAAACAACTAGATGAAAAAGCGCAAAATCTTACCAGACTCACACACCTTTACCTTAATCCTCAACGGTCTCTCTGAGAATACCCAATTCGGCCAAACCCTCTCCCGCGCCCTTCAAGTCTACAACTCTCTCTCAAATCCCAAATCACCTATCAAACCCAATGTTTTCCACACGAACGCAATTCTCCGCGTATGTTCACGCGCCGAGGACATTGATTCTATGTGGGCCATTGTCGGCGGCCTTCCCGCGAAAGGTCCAAATGCTCCAAATACGCAGACCTACACGATCCTGCTAAACGGAATACAGTCGACTAAAGCGGCTGCTACGGACGTTGAGGATGGCCGGAGGGTGTGGGCGGGGGTGCTGTCAAAATGGATCAAGGGTCAGCTATGGATTGACGAAGCGCTTGCGTGCGCTATGGGACGAGTACTACTGAGGAGTGAGCGGGAAGCGGACTGGAAGGAGGTTTTTACACTGTGCGAGCAAGTGTATGGAATTGAGTCGCTGGTTCCAAAAGATCCTATAAAACCGCACACGAAGGACACCATCTTTTCTGGGCAAACGAGCCAAAAGTTCCCATTGATTTTCGTTGGAAGGGGGAGTCCACCGACAGAGCCAAAAGTCCCAGCGCCGTTCGATCCTAATACCGAAACTACCTTCTCCCCCATCGCCAAACCATATCCCACTTCTACACGCCCCCTGCCTAGTAACCAGACACTATCGCTCATCCTTGAGGCGTGCACGAAGCTCGGCGACCCAATCACTGCATACAAGTACTGGTCAATCCTCACCGCCGCCCCTTACAACGTCAAACCTGACCTAGTTAACTACCATGACTATCTCCGCATCCTCCGCCGCGAACGTCTTGGCCCCGAGGCTCTCAAGCTTGTAAAATCGATGGACGTCACCCCCACCGCAAAAACGTTCTACATCGCACTCTCATCCTGTAAGCGTCATGGCCGTAGTGCTGCCTTCAGCTCCGCACAGGCACTGCTAGATCTCATGATTAAGAAGTGGCAGATCCCCGTCGATGTGAAAGTGTGGAATATGTTTCTGCAAGTTTCGATTAAGACGGGAGATCCTGCAAATGTGAAACAGGCACTGCGTAGGGTTGATGATGAGGTTGACCTGGAGCTTGAGCTGGTGAGGAGACGGAAGTCGCCGATGCTTGTGGAGAGATGCCTGGAGATGGCTAGGACATTGATCGGTGTTATGGATGTGCTGATGAACAGCGATGGAAAGCTGGCAAAAGAGACGACATGGGGCCACGGAGAGCGGGCGAGCTTTGAGAAGAGGAGAAAGGAGCTGAGCGCGTTGGTGACGAGGTTTGGAGCGGGAGCAAAGAGAAGAGCTTATAAAATTGAGATGGAGGGCGAGGACTATGCATAGTAGATACATCTGGGTTGTAAGTGTGTAATTTTAGGTTGGAGAGTGGCGTTTAGGTTTTTTTAAATCTTGAATAGAGAAAACGGACCCCTGGCGTGGGGGATTGTCAATAAATGTGTATTTATACTTTAAGAACTCCTTGACTACAGAGTTTTTCCTTTCTTTGATGTGAATCCAGATTGTGCACGCTCCACATCCCAACCACACAAATCACAGAAATAACTAGACTACATGCATATTTGATAATAGAGAATTAGAGGCTGAGTGAATTTAGATGCGGTGGTCCTAGCATGTCGCGATCGGTACGAATAAAGTCCTTTGGTCACAGCTCCTAAACCACACATGTACTCTATGCTGTCAATATTAACTACTGCTAGCTGAATACTACAAGACAACTACTCTTAGAGTGTATTCTCATATGATTGGACGTCTCAAACCAACTAATGATAAGATTAGGAGATGCCAAGCCGGTGAACTGTGTAGTTAGGCTAGGCATAGTCATTCTATTATTGCTGACACCTGATCAGCAATATCTACTATTCTGGTGGTCCTGCGGTCCTCTGAGTAGATCCTGATACTAGCCAGGTACATACACGACGTACATCTGCTTTTTTGAGTAGATAAAGCCTCACCGCGAGAACCTCGATATTAATTAGTAGACGCCAAGAAGCCTGTGCCTAACCGATAATGCACTAGGCTAATATCCTCAGATCACGCGGTTTTCGTTATTCCTTATCTAGCCATAGGGTATTCCTACTCGAGCGTTCATACACCTCTGAAACCTCTTCTCTTCCCCATACCCGCCAATAGCACACTTCGACATGCGCTTCACACTCAACAGCTTCTTATTTCTCGCGTCTGTTACCCTCGCACTCCCACTCGAGGAGACCCCTACAACCACTGATCACATCCCAACTGTCAAAGAGGCCGCTGTACAAGCTCGCAAGCTCCTTAAATCCGAGTCCATAGCTACTCTCTCCACTATCTTTCCAGAGAATGACCCACATGGCCTCGCCGGGCAGCCTATTGGCCTAATGGACTACTACGCCGACTGCTCAACGACGGGAAACCCAACTCTTCTTGCTATGGGCATTGCCACCTCGTAATGGCCCCCTTGTTTATATACAGAGCTCTTATCTGGCTGGTATGAGCTAACTGGGAACAGCTTCAAAAACGCAAAAGATGGCGCATCAATTAGTTTGTCGATCCGCTCACATGCGAGCAGCTGGTCGCAGGCGAGCCAGCCGCGGTTGTCGCTCATCGGAAGATTGAGTGAGAAGGTCCCGAGAGGGAGCGAAGAGGCCGATAGGCTGAAGGCATGCTTTACGAGCGTCCATAAGGATGCCAAGATTTGGGCGCCCGGAAACAGAATTCACGAGAGTGATTGGGTGACGTTTGAGGTCGAGACGGTGTACTGGATTGGCGGGTTTGGGTATGTATTATTCCGGGATTGTGTAAAGGGTGATAGTAGGCTGATATGGTGGCGGAATCGGTCAATAGAAGTGTGGCGTATATTGGATATATTCCCGTCGAGATGTGGGAGAGTGTTACACTGGAGGAAATTGAGGAGCTGGAGAGGGAGGAGGATCCGTTGAAGGGCGTTGGATTGAAGGTGCAGAGTGGTTTGAGCAGCTTGAGGGGTCTCTTCAAGAAGGACTAAGTATGAGGTATGTACGCACACTAAGTGGTACCAACTCGAGAGAATTAATGAGTATATGAGGGGCTGGATACATGAATGTAATCACGAATGGTCGTTGGTATATATCTGGGCATTTATTATTGCCTTTTGCTGTTCTGTACTGGTTATTTTTTTTTTCTTTCTTCATTTAGTTCTCGACATCAGAGAGTTAAATATGCAGTTGATTGGATACTATTTTGAATCTAGGAATATATCTAAATACTGTATACTTTGTGCTCGATCGATCATTATCGTAATTGGCAAGCGTTTCTGTTGTTTAAATCAGGACCTGTGCAATAAGGTCTTAGATAATCGAGATCCAACTACACTAAGTCCTTCATAATAAAATGAGGATTCCAGAAGTGAGCAGCGACTAAATACTTGCGTCTCTCTAACCCTTGTTTTTCTCTCAGAAATATGAACGGTATCAAAAAGCTTGGGGCCCAGATGGGTTTTACAGAGGCAGTCCTCTCTATTTTCAAGATACGCGAAACCTGAGTAGTAGTCGGTCAACCGACGACTCAAGTGAACACAAAAGCTCCGAATCCCTCCTTTATATTTAGGAACCAATTATCTAACCGAAGCCCGGCCTTGTACTAATTTCTAGTCTGCTATTTAGCAACTATAAACACAGCAATGATGGATCCGATTATGGATCCTAGTAATTACACAATCGAGAAAGGTATTGGCCCCTGTAATCTATGTGAAGTTACGGCACACGTTCCTCTTCGCCTGCGGCGATGTGGTTGGCCTTAAGCTTTTTATGCGCATGGGTGTAATTGAGGGGAGTAAGCTGCAGTTGCGGTGACCCGTTTGGGTATCTATCGTACGAGCCTCCCGACGTACGGCGCAGGGTACATGCTCGTAGTGGAGTACGGCAGGCGAACGACCCCGCGGGGTGTTTGGAGTTGTTGGAGGGCGTTTCTAGTGTTATGTGGAAATTCGTGTAGAGCTTTCTCAAACCATTTTATAATTAGCCGATATCGGTGAAGTACTTCACAAGTACGTAGGCATATACTACATGGAGCTACGCGGGCTGATGAAGCCCATTTAGTAGATCCATACTTTTCTATACCCATTGTATTGATCAGTTCATCTCAATCGCGACCAGATTGAATACCCAAAGTAGCCGGGATTCACGCCCCATACAGTGTTGAATGTGATATGATGCAGATATGGCCGACCACAATATATAAATATCACCAATGCACCACCCACGCCTAGCTAGCTGGGTAAAAAATTAAAACAGCACCGTGACATGTCTTCAGTCACCTCGCCACGAAAGCCCCACAAGGCAATATCATGCTATAATTTTTCACATCAATAGACTTAATATTAGAATCAGTGGTGCCATATACATGTCGTACAGCGTAATCGAAAGCGTTCTAACGTAGTACAGAATCCTCCGCGTCGTCGAAGGGATAGCGAAGTAACCATTGCTTTGGATCCATTCTGTATATATAAAGCAGCTCTAAACCCACCAGTGATTACTTTCCAGGCCATCCACAACCACAAAGCAAAAAGGCAAAGCGGCAATCAAGCCTCCAGCTAGACATCTAAACATCCAACGTCTTCCAGCCGGTCTAAAGACACCACGTTCCCTCCCCATACCCCTTCTAAAACATTTACAAAACTTGTTCTATAAAAACAAGACCCTTCTCAAAATACAATACACCATGCAGACCTCCACTCTCTTCGTGGGCCTCGCTACACTCCTCTCTGCTGCTGTCCTTGCCGCACCAGCACCAGTCCCGGTCCCCGCCCCAGTTCCGACCGCTGAGCCTGAGCCGATTTTTAAAGCGATTGCATGCTACATCAAGGGGGGGAAAGGCTGCTGAAGAGGTTGTTTTTGTTCCCCTTTTTTGTGCGCGTAGTTGGAGGGGCGGGCGCTAGGATGGAGTGGGAGATGTGGGGGTATTTAGATGTATATGAGGGGGTTTTGGTGTATACATATTCTTTCTGGTGTGTACGAGTTGATTTTGTGTGGGGCGGGCGAGCTTGGCTATTTGACTTCCTTTCCCTCTTGTTGTTTGATCACACCTAGAATAGATGCATTGGTATCAACAATCATATTAAAAGATCTGTCTATGGGCCGCCCAATTGATAACACACATGCATTCATACGTGTAATGCTGAGACGTAATTATCTTGTACATGGGCACAGGTGAATCAATTCTATGAGTGTTTAAAAACATGAAATAAACCGATTTACCACAACTTTGAAAGAATCATGTTTCCCTTGATAACGCCTAGCTCTTCTTTACAATATCCTCACGCGGACTAGGGCTCGGTGTATCCTCAATAGACAACTGTAATTGTGCCAGTTTGGTCTGGCCTGTATATGCACTAGCGGTGTGCAAGCCGGAAGAGCTCATCGGTCTATTCAATCCTGGATCACTTAAGTATAAGATAGAAATAGTATTATACGTAAGGAGAGTTTCATAATTAATTGACCTGAGCGATGAGAAGAATCATAATGTATCACTCGGGCGAGCGTTCGGGCGATGCGTTAGGCTTTGGTGGCTGCGTGCTCAGGGGTGTCCTTGGAGTAGAAATATTTTTATAAAAAAGTCGCACCTATGCCCTCTCGAATACACCTGGACGTGAAGACTTGAATATGGTTGGTAATTGCTAGGAATCATGAAACATCACTCGACCCGTCAAGTCCGAACCACATGTTTTATACGGTTTTGTACAGGTTCGTGGGCGAGTTGTCTCGAGGTCTAGGTGGTGTTAGGATCTTGAAAAAAAGGGAAGAATTGTTACTGTGGGCTTCTCGTGCGATGCTGGAGGCGTGTTGGTGTGAACAATATGAGCTCGACTACTAATTAGTTGGAGTTAAGGTTAGTCCTTGCTATGGTTCCTGGACTTCCAATCTCGAATAAATCAGTCTGAGTCTGAATGGCTTCATATATGCAAAATCTACTGCTGCATACACCCGTAATGCATGGGGATCAGACGTTCCATTCGGCGTGGTGAGTTCTGCAGGTGTTTTTGCAGTCGGATCTATGTCTCCTCGTAAGTAGAGCCTAGTCTCTATTCCTTTAGCCCGCCAATTACCTAAAGAGCCCCATAAAAGCTGAGGAGGAAAATAGGTAGCATCTCATAGGACAATATATGCTTTACCTAGAAGATAGCTTGATCGACCCCGTTGCTGATTTTGTCCACGGTGGTAAAGCCGTTGGACGCAAAGATGACATCTCTGCGGGATGCGGACGAAGACAATGGTGATGCTGTAGCTCATCGCGCAGCGGGCGTTGCAGAATGGGGATGGCCGGCAGGAAAATGCGCTGGGCGTGGTGGAATAATTTAAATATGTTTTGTTTAGTTGCTAGAAAAATATGCGGTATAATTTAAGATGTGAAGTAGCTGGATGCGCGCCGGTTGTCTGGTGTTTTGTGTCTGAGTGATGTGTGTTTGACCATGTTGAAATGAAGTGTATCTGCTCTGGGTGTTTGTCATGTAGGTATAAATGGCCTGGGGAGCTGTCAAATCTCAGGGTTAGCTTGCTAGCTAGTAGCTCGTGTGAGAAGCCTTTAAGGCTCGGGAAGAAAAAAGTGCCGCTCGTGAACTCAGCCTGGAAGGTGCATTTTTGTTTATTGAACCTGTTTTATTAGAAACTCGATGCCCCTCCAACCCAAAGACGCACCCCGGCCGACTCCCAATATCACACCCAACAAAAGCCCAAACGACTGCGAGGTGTTGACCGACCTTTACATCCAAGGATGCATGCCGAAAAGATTCCGTGACATCTCTGTTTTCATTCTATAGACGTTATGTAACTCTGACCTCGAGACGATGAGAGTGAGAAGTCGTCACCCACCAGACATCACCAGAATTAGACAGCCACTTCCCCTATTCAACGCGCACTCTAGCCCGACCCGTCGGACAAGCGCACCACTCCTCCCTCTGTGCTCATCATCTAGGCATATCGTTCAAGCCGCGGGATATAATTGACTTATCGCCGCCTGGTTCCTCCCTCTACCGGATGGGTTGGATGGCTGATAGTCCAGTCCCGACCCCCGCGGCGAGAATGAATGCGCTTATTCCCCGCCGTGGAGTCGATACGGCAGATCAGGTGGCTGTGCTGGCGAGATCGAGCTTGGGGGAGTAGGTCTGGGGTGTGGTCCCCGGTTGGTGCTGCTCGGGGGAGGGTTTGATGATACCCGCGCAGATCCCGCCCGGCGTCGCTGCCCGGTGTGCGGGGTCGCCCGTCCCCGCCGCGAGTTTGGCGGTGTTTGGTATCATTCCGCGCGGCGTGGGCGCGCAGGTAGCCAATTCTTGACCCGTGCCGCTCGAACTACTTAAAATCCTTGGGACCCTTGGGGAAGGGTGCGTCGGCGGGCTGAAGGGCTCGCACTCCCGCCGCCTGGACTAGACAGGTGAGCGCCGCTGTGGGCACGGGAATCGATGTATTCCCAGAGTGGAGCGTCACGGTTGACTGCCCGGAGAGGAGGGCATTTAGTAACACTGCCCAATGCGGAAGCGTTACAATTTAGTGTGAGGGCTGTGTGGGGTGTGATTGGTGGAGTTACATAAGCCAGACAGTTTGTGTGTGGAGAGAGCATCATCTGTCACTCGTGGGATTAATATGATACAAATACAAGCTCTAGCTGTGGAGAGACCCATCTACCGGCGGTCTCTAGTACTATCGCTTACCGGTGAGTACCTACGAGTAGATGTACTAGAACTGCAATCACGGTAAAGAGCTCGTAAAGCTCTCAGGGCCAGGGTTCTGTCCCACCCACCAACCGCGATAGCTCTGTGTGTGGCGTACAAACCGCCCCGCGCCACGGTGTCCTTATCGTTTGCACAGCCCACCAAAACCAAACCTTAGAGCTCTGGAGCTGTCTGTTCCGTTTCAGTATTGACAGCGACAACAATGAAGAAACCTACGAATACGGTCCTTCTCAGCATGCTGCTGTCGCTGGCCGGCTGCGCAGACGCGGCGTTCGGCCAGCAAAAGACACTGCTGAGTCGGATTGACACGTTGACCCTGCGCAACGATATGATGACAAAGGGCAGGAGGGTGGATCCGATCCCGCAGGTGCGTGCTTTCTGTCTGACTGATTGAATGGAGGGATTGTTACTGACTGAGACGGCGGGTTTGTAGTTGAAATGTGTGGGCGGTGACGGCATGGGGAGATATGAGGTTGACGTGATGCGGTGCAAGAACCGTGGGAGGTGAGGTTTTTTTTGGCCTGTGTGTTGGTGGGCTGGGGAAAGGTGCTGACGGGGGTGTACTAGCGACTATGGCGATGAGAATATCAGCTGGTCGTGTACGGCGGACCTTCCGAGGGAGTTTAAGCTTGGTGCTACGGATGTCATCTGTGAAGGGTAAGCTGATGGAGCTGTTTTCGAGCTTTGCGATACTAACGAAGGGAATAGCTATGACAGCCCGGACGACAATTACATCCTCAAAGGTAGGCTTTCTATCTATCCACCCAACACAACGCACTGGAGCTACATTTCTCACTGACGCTCTGACTAGGCTCATGCGGCGTCGAGTACCGCCTGGCACTCACCGACTACGGCTACGAGAAATACGGGTCCTCCGCCCGGACAAACCGCTTTACCAACGACAACAGCACGAGTAGTATGTTCCCCCCCCAACCCCTCCTCTGAACGGTTTACTGATGCCCGCTCCGCAGCAAACATAACCCTCTTCATCTTCTGGACCGTCTTCTTTAGTATCCTCGCCTGGATCATATACTCCGCGTGCACCTCGCCCTCCACCGCCCGGCGCGCGCCCCGCACAGCTGGAGGCGCCCGTCCCTCATTCTGGGGTGGCGGCGGCGGAGGAGGTGGTGGTGGTGGTGGTGGGGACGACCCGCCTCCGCCGTACGACTACTCGAACCCGAAGCCGCGGTACTCACAGCCGCAGCAGAGGCAGGGGCCGGGCTTCTGGACGGGGGCTGCGACTGGCGCGGCGGCGGGCGCGGCGGCGAGTAGGCTATATAGTGGCAGTGGCAGCGGGAGAGAGAGGGCACCGCCGCCGCCAACACCGTCGTACTCGGGGCTAGCTGGGGCGGTGGTGGGGAGAGGGGCGAGAGTAGTAGTGCGGGGGCGAGTCATTCGAGTACTGGATTTGGACAGACGAGGAGGAGATGATGGGGTGGTGTGGAATGGAGAGAGTAGTGGGTGGTTGTTAAAATGGGAGCTTCACCGGGGGATTTGTGTTATTTAGCCTGTCGTTTGCAGTTTTGGTGTTGTATGAGTGTGGTTGATACACAATGGGAAAGCACGAGTATTATGTCTTTGGGATCACAGAGCTTAGTATCTTGGATTGCAGTGTTTCTGTATGTGCTCTATCAGCAGGAATGTTACATGCCCCCCCCCCCCCCCCTGTATCAACACATACATGTAGCCTTAGCCTTAGCCTCTCAATACAAAAATGTCACTCGAGCGTACATATGTAGTCCGAGGCCGGCGCCGTGGAATCAACGGCCCGAACCCTACGCTACGTAAAAGGCTGTCGATCCACCGCCGATCGTTATCACCGCGCGGGCCTTGCGGTGGTGCTGGGGCCGCGTGTGCGTTGTGGGGTGGTTTGGGGATAATTTGCGGGAGACAGAGAGAGAAACGCTCAGCTGTGGGTTTTGAGCGGGGAGGGGCTGTGGGGGGGGGGGGGGGGGGAGTGTCTATGGAGTGGATAGGCGGGGTGTTTTGCTCTGCTGGGGGGGTGGCGCGCGGCTGGGGTAGGGCTGGGAGGTGGAAGGTGGAAGGTGGAAGGTGGAAGGCTGGATGGATGGGTGGGTGGGCCAATGGGTTGTGTCGGTGTGTGGTGTGTCTACAGAGGAGAGTGCGCTGATTGGAGTGTAAAGGTGAGAACTGGGAGGGTGTCTACTCTAGAATGCATAGACTCTCTGCGGTTGCTTACTCAGTGTCGGGCTTACCGTGAATCGAATCGAAGCATAGGTTAACGGTGGCACACCCACCAGCCCCTATAATGCCTTCTCGCGCCATACAAGCGCTGTCGTTCTAGTTGAACGTTGTGATTATTCCTGGGCTGCTTCGATAAGATAAGGTGATGGCCGTGTGTAACAATCTTACCTAGCCGTAACTACATGTACTCTTATTCTCCGGGCTCTTGGGCTTGTACCTCGGGGATGTCGGTCTTGTTGTGTTTCTAGACTAGAATATCTCCCGTCGCGCTGCCGGCGGGGGAGATCGTTAAGCTTGTGCCTGTGCCTGTGCCTGTGCCTGCCTGTGCCTGTGCTTGTGCCTTGTACCTGCATTCCTCGCTCGCACGGTTGCCAGGGGTAGTTTAGAGCTAGCTGATTTGGGCAGCCGTTTCAACGTCAGCACCATGGGAGCTCCCACCGCCAACCAACAGAGAAGCCTCGTGTTTCACCGGGGGAAACGTCTTTTTGGACATGCGCTGCCGTTGGCTGGACGGTCATGACGGTCCTGCCCCTTCAGTGCCTTGCTTGCCTGGCCACTTTCAGCCGTCGCTGCTGTTTAGTATGCATGGATGTTTCCTCCTGTCGATCCAGATGGATGGAACAGTCGTGGGCGTGTGTGTATATAATGGGGGCCTCGCTGCTCCCGGTGATGAGAGTATCTTTCAGATTGTGGCCTTATAGTAGTATATCATCACCTTCCTTCCTGCCTTCCTTCGTTTTCTTGCACTATTTCGCCTGTGACTGCCACTCTCGCTCGCTCTTTCTGTCGCTCTTGGGGATATTACTACTGATATTACATTCCATCACTCGGTCACTCTTAAGCTTCATAATAATACCTAATACCTACTACACAAACAGCGTTGAACGCAGTACTACCTACATACACACACACTCACAATGAAGTTAATCCTCGTCTCCTCGCTCCTCGCCCTCGCCGCCGCAACACCCATCGAGCACGCCAAGCGTGGCGGCGGCGCCTTCGACAGCACATACCAGGTCGGCTCCATCACCAGCTCGCAGGTCGTCGCCGCGGCCCCCGGCTCCTCGTCGTGCGCTACCGCATCGTTCGCTGACGAGTGCCACGACGCGGGAAAGGCGACGCCGCTCCTGAATGACGCGTTTAAGCAGTATAAGCAGACGACGCTGGGAGAGGTGGCGGCGCTGCTGGGGCTTATGGCGCTGGAGAGTGGGGATTTCCAGTTTAATGTGAACCACTACCCGGGGAGGCCGGGTCAGGGCAGTATGGATCCCTTGTAGAGGCGAGTGATGCGTGGTGATGATGGTGGCTAACGGAATGGGTGGTGTAGCTAAGGCGATGTTGATGTTTAACTTTATCCACGACTATGCGGTGGACGCGGGCATGAAGGCTCAGGTGGCGGAGATTGCGGGCTCGGACCAAGTCGACTCGATGTCGGATGACAAGAAGAACAAAATCAGGGCGTTGGTCACCACTGACAAGTACGTTCCCCCGCTGCCTAATCTTTCTGTCCTAGGACTGTACTGACGGAAGCCATAGGTATACGTTTGCCGCCGCACCGTGGTTCCTTAGCAAGAAATGCACGCCGGAGGTGCAGAAGGGCGTCAAGGAAGGCGGGTTCAAGGGCTTCCAGACGTACATGCAGGACTGTGTCGGCACTGGCGCGCTCAGTGCTTCTGACGATAGGGGGAAGAAATGGTGTGCGGCGGTCAAGGCGGTGAAGCCGGACAGCATGTCGATGCCGTCGGAGTGTGCGTAAATGCATCGTCGCCTTGTGGGTTTTTGTAGCGGGGGGTGCAGGGGTGGGGGGGTTTTATATATAGCTGATGAGCCTCTTTTTCTTTCTTCTTCTTTTTTTACTATTTGCTTTTGTTTGTGTTCTTTGGGTGTTGGTCATCTAGTACTGGGGGTATGGATTTTTGTTGTATCTACTCTACATTCTTAGCTAGTCCAGTCCGTGGAAAGGGGGAAATGCTAGAATTCCTTTTCACCCTTCACATACCTCACAAAAGAGTCTTCATCTCGCAAGAAATCCATAAAAACCCCTCGCGGCATTCCAAAGCTAGCATCCCCGGTAAACCCCCCCGGACACACCGACCACCGCTCACCGGCGGCAACAGCACACCGGGTACCGAACCGAGCTATAGCTAGCCCACCAAATTGAACCTGCCAAGCATGGAGAAAAAACGGCACCTGGAGTGAAAAAATAGATTTGAAGCCTGAAAATATATGTAGTGGCAGTGATGTTGAAGTTGAAGCCGTGGGGTATGTTCACTGTTCTGCCCCACCACCACCCGCTAGTGCTGTGCCGCATTCGGATCGTGCCGTGCCGCATGCATGCATGCTTGGCTTGGCGTTCCTGCATACAGTAACCAACCTTAAAACCACGACCTTACGCGAGTGCGTTTTTGTGATGGTGTCACGTATGGTGTCTTTTTTTTTTTTTGTTTAGTTCATTAATTGCACGTACGGTGTCGAGAGCATATTGAGGAGTCTCATTCTAGATACCCCGTAGGTTTATTGAATGAAGATGTTTCGCTGAGAGGGAGGGGTTAGGGTTGTTGTAGGCGAGGTTTATGTACTTGCTTTCGTTCCGTAAGTTGACGTGGCTTGGACTGGGGGTTGAATTTGTCGTAGCACTTTTGAATCTTTGAAGCGAGCGTGTCTGGTGGCGGTGGGTTCTTGGGTCGATGGGGGTTTGGTGGTGGGTCATGAGGCGTCACTCGGTGGTGAATGTACAACTTTTTGTGGGTTATTGGGTGTCAGCTTGGATGTATCGGTGCCTGCAGGTGCCTGTATATAGCGTGGGTCTTGATACATACATGTATGTATATACGTGTATCTCTTGCATGCTGTAGAAGCACACGTATATGATACATTATAAATCCGCGGGACATGCATACATGGGCACAAGGGTGGATTGAGAGGTGGTCGTAAGTTACCAGTATATGTATAGATAAACCCACTAGTGCTTTGGACAGATCCACAACAGATGAAATGAGGCCATGTCGTTGATGGGCCGTCCGAACAAATTCCCCGCCTGGGTATTTTTGGGAACCACTAATGCGTCGAGGAGTATAAAATGGACAGGCATGTCGACCTTCATCCTCCTTTCCTTCTCGTCACGTCATACACCAAGAACATGAGAGGATCAACAGAATCGAACGAAGGGCATAGCCACAAACCGTTGCCCTTCATCCTCCCTTCTTTTTTTACCCTTCCCGCCGCCGGTGCCTCATCTACTGCCCTTTCTATCATCTGCTCGGGTTAGTTGGGAATTTCTTGTTTGGAGGCTTGATGGACAGTGCTAACGATTATAGTAGATCAAAAATGTCTCCAGAATCGATGGAGAAGCCCGGACAAGGCTTGAAAAATTGGAGCAGGTAAGATCTACTCACCAAACTGCCACTTATTTACTTATGTACTTATGTCTAACACAAGTGGAAACGCAGACCGTTAAAAACATCAAGCTCTACCTCCAAGCTAGTAAGCTGCAACAATGGACCATGTGGGAGTTTGTTGGGGTATGAGCCATGGCCTTGTGCACCCTCGTAAGTCTTTCTCCTATTCCGTATTATCTGATATAAATACTAATAAATATCTTAGATTTTAGTACAGGTCAGATTATAAAATTGATACAAACAAGCTTAAACGGGAGTTGCAATAACACCTCCCAAGGCTGGATGGGCTTTGGGAGAGTTTTTAACCGTTTGGTTCTTTACTCTCCTTTTCGTCGTTAGTTTTCTCTCGTGCTGTATTATCTTATACATATAGATACTAAGAAATCTCTTGGATAGCTCGTCCTCCAAGTGGTTGGAGAAGGAAAGCTCGCCAACGTGAGAGCCGTACAACTCTTTACCGCCCGCGCCCGTGAAGTTAACCGCGGCCTTGCTGCGGGGTAGAGCTCGCTGTTGTTGGGGGGTGGGGGCGTTGCCCCCCCCGCCGCGGCGGCAGGTGCGGAGGTTAATTGGGGGTGCTTTTTTTCTGCTTTTTTTTTTTTTTTCGACCTTCTGGGTCTTTTCTTTTTTTTTTTTCTGGCTTGTAATTAATTGTAAAGTACTAAATTATTCTGCTAAATGACCGTGGCTAAATGACTAGTTATATAAGATGGACATTTATGTGACTGCAATTAATTGATACGTGGCTGAGCTGTTTATTATTAAATAATCTTTTCTAATTTATTTGTGCTTTTCTTTCTGAATTACCCTAGGGGTATTCACTTCTCAAATCCGTACTCTTATAGGCGTGTGCTTATAATTATATGGACAACTTAAAATAATCGGCAATCATGTACTCTGAAATACATACATGTATGTATGTAATACTAGCACTCAGGAGCGGCTTCCGGCCGCATATGAAATTAATCATCAGTTCGAGGAACCACCGATAACTAAAGCAAAGTGTATAAAGATCCAGAAAACTCACAGTCCTGTTCAATGACTCGGATAAACATAAAGTTCGATGTAATGATATGAAATAAACATCGATTCCTCCTTGCTCGCATGAGGTTGTAGTTCTGGAAGAGAAGAAATATTGCGCTTGGTCAGAGGGCTATTATATATCACGACAGTAGTGCTTAAGGTTTGCCAATGCATGTCGTTTCCCTTAACGCACCCGATTCTTTGTCTATTGACAGCTGTAACTCGCCAGACTACAGAAACCGGGGCAACATATACGTATCATGTAAAGATGATTTACTACATGTAGTACGCTAAGCGCAAATCTTAAATTAATATGCTCCTACAATATGGCATATTTACTTCAGAGGTATTCTAATTTTTGAGAAATGTAGTACTATATAAGCCGCATTGTGATGCAGCGTTATAAAGGCACATGTTTCGAATTTTTAGAAGTTGGGTGCCCCCATTATTTACTACTGCTACGGTAACGTATATCTCTGTCCGTCGTTTAATTACCTCTAGTATCATATCTATTGCTACGGCTACTATTCCACTGCTGCTGCTACTGGCGCTACTACTTCTGCTGTTGCTGCTTCTGCTAATCAGAGATATACATGTATCTCTCGCCCGCTGTAGATTCACACGTATATGATAAACCTGCGGGGCAAGCGTGCGTGGACCTAGGGGTGGATTGGGAGGTGGTCATAAGCTACCAGTATACGTACATGTATGGATAAGCCCGCTAGTACATGCTTTGGACAGATCTGCAACAGATGGAATAAGGCCAAGTCGTTGATACATGGGCATTCCGAACAAATTCCCCGCCTGGGTATTTTGGGGAACCACTAACGCGTCGAGGAGTATAAATTAAATGGACAGGCATATCGACCTTCATCCTCCTTTCCTTCTCTTCACGTCGCGTCATACACCAAGAACATGAGCAAATCAACAGAATCGAACGAAGGGCATAACCAAAACCATTGCCCTTCATCCTCCTTTTCTCATCATCCACTCCCCCTCACCACCGACGCCCCATCTAAACAGCACATCTCGGGTTAGTTGGGAATTTCTTGTTTGGAGGCTTTATGGACAGTGCTAACGATTATAGTAGATCAAAATGTCTCATCAGCTACGAAAAGATCTACGAAAAGATCTACAGCCCAGTCGACACCCAGTGTCGAGCGGATCTAAGGGCCTTAGAGGCGGTAGGTATTTAATCCACCAAACTGCTACTTATTTACTTATATATTTATGTCTAACAAAAAGGGGAACGTAGGTTGTCGAATCCATTAAAGAAAGCCTCAAAGCTTCTAATGGAACCCTTTCCAAGGGCCATCCGGCCTTAGCCGGATGGGCCTTCCTAGAGTTCCTTACTGTGTGGTTCTTCACACTCGCCTTCATCGTTAGTTTTCTCCAGTGCCGTATTATCTTATATAGATACTGACAAATCTCTTAGATGGTCCTCTAAATTACTGGAGAGGGAAAATTTGTCAATCTAAGAATTGTACAACTCTTTACCCGGGATGTCAACCGCGGCTTTGCTGCGGGAGTGCAGCTCGCCGCTGCTGGGGGTGGGGACGTTGCTCCCCCCCGCCGCGGCGGCAGTCGGTGCCGAAATTTATTAGGGTTGCTTTTTTTTCATTTTCTTTCTTTCTTTTTTCGGTTTTTTTTCTAACTTAATATACGTACTTTAGCAAATAACACAGTTATTTTTGCTAAACTCAATGACCATAGCGAGACAATTATAATGTAACTACCGTTGATTAATAGATGACTTGGTCATTTACCAATGAATAACTTTTCTAATTTACTTATTATTTTACTTTTGAGTTATAATATTATGAGCAAAGGTTCAATCCACCCTTCGAATTCACGGATAAATCTACCCTCGAAATTGTTACATGTATTTCTTCCAGCTAGCTAGATTGATATCGCTGTGGCTACGAAATCTACCACCAACGTATTTCACCTACAATAAAAGAGAGAATTCGCACTTGCTACCGCTGTCTAAAACCTAGTTCTATCATGAAAACTAAGAAGAGTGAGTTTACCACGATGGAAATTGGTGGTAATTAGATGCATGTATGTACCTGTACATGTACCTTCAGGCGTTCCAGGTGTTCAGGATGTATCCCTGCCTTTGTCGGCGGGGTCTGAATTGCAGAATATCAATAAGCATATCCCGCTGGAATAAATTACAATCTCAAGGGCATATTAAACACGGGGGTATTCTGCATCCAATACTTATACATGAAGAGTAGACAAATCTTTGCTCATTATAGCTACTGCTGCTATGGTATATATCTGTCCATCATTAGCTACCTGGTCTATCATATCTACTGCTACTGCTACACCTATATATACCACTGCTGCTGCTTCTGCTAATTAACACGATGGATTTGACCTACCTTGGTAATGGTGATGATGGCGGTGCTGATGATGATACTACGTTGGCGAGAGGAGTGCAAAGGAGAACTGATAGAGTACCGATCTATTTTGATAAGCTAGATTAAAATGGAGTGGTGGTGGTGATATTGGTGATGATGATCGTGGTGGCGGTGGTAGTGTTGAAATGTTGGTGTTAAAGGAGAGAAGACCGCCCGCTAGGGTGACTTTACAGCGTGAGGCTCATTTAGATGGGAGGGTCATTTAGATTGCAAAGTCATTTAGTCGAGGTCATTCAAGTATACATAGGGGGCGTCATTTCTCAAAGTTCATTTATCGGACTCACTAATTTAAGGATGAAGTTACCTATAGTTAGTTGTCTCCTGGGCGTAGTCACGGGCTCCGATCTTTTATACATCCCTTCGTCTGTAATCAGCACCTATGGCTTTCTGTGAGATATATACAAGCGGAGTGCGGCCTTTGGCCGCCTAAATGTAGTGAGGAAATGAAGGTACGGGCAGTAATTTTTCTTAGCTAGATTATTGCTGTCATTATGGATTATTGGGTCATCCAAACGCACTAAACCTCTCCTTATATGTAATCTGTGATATATTAGCTCGAGTGTGCACTCTAAGCCATTCAATGAGTAGCGTTAGTATGTACATGTAGTTCATGATAAAATGGTATCAGGGAAATTCGACCTTCATATATAAAAATATCGCTGTAGTTCTGTCAGTGTTTGTTCTTTTATATCCATCAATTGCAATAGCTACACGCCTTTTAATGCCAGTTCCCTTCCGTCTCGGGAGTAGTTCTTTGTCGAATCATGATATGCAATCAATATTAGAAATACATGTAGTGCGCTGCAACCAATAGGAGACGTTCCTGGTGACGATGAGGAAGACTATATAGTTTAGATAGGACTTTGTAATTCGGCCTGACCGCCTAAGGATAACACTAGTCCGGTCCGCTAATTTCCTGAGTAGGTCGGTCCTATCGCAACCTGTGCTAACCAACACAAATCGTAACCATCTAAAGCTACAACGTATATATAACTTTGGGATAACTAGAAAAGCGAAGGAACCGAACATTATGGCGCAGGCGATGTGGCTAAGGTTAGAAGGCGGAGCTTTTGTCCACCGAGAATCACGTAGGACAACACAAATCTGCTGAACCCCTGTTTCGCTCCAAAACGTTTCATGGCTTAGACCATTTATAAAAATCGTGAGCTACACTTAGGCCCCGTTCGGATGTCCTGGTTTACTCGACAAACTGCGATAAACTGGGCTCACTAAGCTACCTTGGTCATTTTTGTGGTTTTGGAAGCTAGGTCCTGTACTGTTCGGCAACCAATAATCTGACAACGCTGGTTTATTGAATAAACGCCGGTGAAGAATCACCTCCTGGGGTGTTTTTCCAAAACTCGTTGCAACAATCACTAAAGAAGCTTCGAACACCCAAAAAACTCTGGGAAAATAATCTGGAATAACCGCATCTTGAATAAACAAAACACTTCAGGGTAATGAAAAAACTCAACTCGATTGTTACAGCCGAACGGAGCCTTACTGTTTTAAAAACTGTCGCGTAATTTATTAAATTTAGCTTCGAGACTTCAGATATAAATACCTCTAGGAATATATCTACGGGCCGGAACGACTTCTATAGTTTAACTAGTACGTGAATATCGATCCGAGAAGAATTAGGACCTTTGCTCGTATGACCTAGTGCTAATTCTACGATTGCGTAAAGCCTTATGGAAACCCAAGATTACCCTTTCACTCAGTGCTACTTTACCGAAAATCCTTTGTAATTGAACCTGCACTGATTTCTCATTCTCTGTTTAAGTTTTGACCCCCGATCATTCACTTACTTGTTTCCTTTTCAGCACCATCTGAGCCTATAATTCAGCCGATATCAGTATATTAGTTCAACTAGTGCTTATAAAACAAACGTAACTCACGCCCACAATACTCTGGAAAATGCGGTATATCATAAAAAACCACAGCAGCGTAATCCCAAGCATCATTAGGATCTCAACTCCATTCAGACCTGCCTTACCGGGATGTAATACCTTTAAGGTTACACTCCTCCACAGATGAAGCCTTAGTTCTTCTAATTCTTTTAATTCTTTCCTTCTCCTCCTTCCTCTGCTTCATCGCTGCTCTCAGCTCTGCATAGCTACTCGGCTCCTTCATTTGTTTGGGGTGGTTGAGGAAGGCAGCAAGATCATTGAAAATACCATCGTTAACTCCATCGGCAACATTACAGTACTCTCTCTTAATAGAAGAAACAAGAGAATCAATATTATTATCTCTGATTTTCTGCAGAAGAGAGGGTTTGCTAGTTATATAGATAGCAATTTCATTGATGGCCTTTTTGTATGCTTTGGGGGGTGGTATTCTTTTGGATCGGATAGGAGGCATTTTTGTGGATCGGATTTGTAGAAGCTGTAGGTAGGTGAGTCAGGAATAGACAACAACAACAAGAACAAGTGATTGTACTCCTAAGTATAGAAGGATATCAAGGGCAAAGCACCTGAATATTTGGCTTTTTATCTTCTCTTATGTGTTGTGTGTTTGAATTCGCAAGCGAAGGGTGTTGTGAAAGGAAAAAGGGGAAGAGGGGAAACCCAACGACAGCAACGCAACCGAATACTAGCAGCCTTACCCTACCTGAACCAGCAAACAGTACCCGCGTTACCCCCAGGACCCGCATCACCCCACCACCCGCTCCCAGCACCATCACCCGTTCCCAGCACCCGAATCGCACCAGCACCCGCTCCCAGCATCCATGTCGCACCCTGGAACTTCCCAATGTCCATCGCTACCTTAATAGAATTCTCTTATTGCCTATCAGAGACCTCACAGTACCTCTCGCTACCCTTTCAGTACCCTTCGCTGCCCTCTCAGAGGCCTCCCAATATCCATCGTTGTTTGAACCCGATATCACCAATAACAGCACTGAATAAGAACCATGCGGAGTAATAATAGTAATATAATGCTATGTACATATGTCTGCACCCGCGCCCGCACCCGCGCCTACCACCTCCCAGCGCCTGATTCCTGCCTACGCCTGCACCCCTACTTACACCTGCGCCAGTGGTCGATACGGTGCTCGAAACGGTGCCTGCTAGGCGCTCGAAACGGTGCTCAAAACGGTGCCTGTTAGGCGTCGATTTGCTGCTAGCTGTCGATTTGATGCCTCCTAGCTGTCGATTTGATGCCTCCTAGGCATCGATTTGGGCGTCGACTTGGGCGTGAATTGGGCGTGAATTCGGTGTCGAATTAGGAGTCTATATAGACGTTAGCACAGGTGTCAGAATATAGAGGTAGGTAGGAGGTGGAGGTGGAGGTCGATCCTCATACGGTGTCGTATTACGTACTAGTCCTGAATGAGCCTAGCGCATATGTAATCTTGCCAATATAACACATTTCTGTCAATATAACACATTTTCTAACCGGCCGAAGGCCGGAAACAACTTGTATATAAATAAACTTATATATCGAGACCGGCTCCCCAACCAGCCAGGGAACATCCCCTCGCGAGTTTGGCTGCGTGGCAAAGGGTTCCAACCCACGCCACTTAGCCAGAATTCGCTAGAATTCGCGCTCGCCGCTGGGGAAATAGGTGGCCATTTATCACCGTTTGGAGTCAATCTTATAAGCCTAAGCCAACTCGGACCAACGTAGTTATAAGCCTTTAATAATAAAGTAATCATGTAGCTTATATGATGGAAAATATGATAGACAGGTACATATACACATATACAATGGGACTAGCTTTCTTTTTCGGGGGTGGGTAGAGAGGTAAGAAAAAGAGGCAGCCAACAGCGTGGACGTGCACGTGGTACTGGAAGCTGTAGTAAATTTGCTAGTGTATGGAAAGAAACTGAGTTTTACCTGAACAGAACGGTGTTCGGGTGGCCTAGAGCTAGCTACTATGATTCGCTTCATGAAGTTTCACCCGGGTCATGGGAGGTCACTCGGATGACTGCGCCGCTTTTTTAATTCCTTCATTGCATGCAACCCTATGGTTATGGAAGTATCGAATCACACTCCCCAGAACTACCCATCTGTCTCCACCACCTCTCACATCGAACCAGAACATGACCGCGCTGCTTGGCGTTATTTGTGGATTCTGATATATAGGTTGATCGGTCTATAATTAATTGATTGTTATTTGAAATTGTGCATGTTACTATTGCAAGTACTTGGTTAGATATTACACGAGGAGGGCTCATAAATTAAATACTGTTAAAGCTGCTGGGAGAGCTGACAGTGAATTACTACTCTTCCACCGTAACTCAATGATAATAACTATATGTCTAATATGTTATACAGGATTATAAACATGATGCAACACCAGTACTAGTGTGGTCCCCGAGGCATTGATGCTCGAGGCCTCGAGGAAGCTTAAGGCATGGGTGTCAACGAGGGGAGCATGCTCGAGGCAAACCCTCTTACTCACCTCGAGCTGCTCGAAGTTTAGCTAATGATGTATGAGTGGCATATAGCTCAGTGGATTTAATGTTTCTGATGGGACATTGGAAGTATTCGCTACATTTTCATACCAGTATTGCAATGAAATATGACTTTCACGAATCTAAATATAGTAATTATCTGCCTCGAGTTAGCTCGAGCACCTCGAGGCATCACCTATTTTTCACGAGCAAGCAAAGGCATGGATCACACAAGGCAGAGGCACCTCGAGGCATCTGTCTCTGCTCGCCTCGGGTAGCCTCGTGGATCATAGTAAGGAGACCATAGAAAATGTGGTGGACGCCGGTAAAGGATTGAAGGGAAATAATAGGAGGGTGTACATGTAGACAGTGTTATTTGTAGAAAAAAACTGGTTAGCACCGGCTCTCTTATTTTTCTTAAGTTTTAAGGCCAGATCGATCCCTACAGGTGTTATTTAGATGAGAGAATAATCAACTATTGATATCTCACATAGAGTTATGCTAGTCTTATCTTCTTTTGAATTATTTGATTTGAGCCAGGTTTTGGGGTCTAGCTTGAGGCAGTGGTGTATATCCCAAATCGCATCAAACTTATAACATCACTGGAAAGCGCTTAAGTACTTGGACTTCCTCATGTTAAAAGCGAGAAAGATGCAAAACTTGAACATTCTTTATACTACTGGAAATAAGATAGCATATGAACTATATTTAAACTATATAGTCTTCCTCATCGTCACCAGGAACGTCTCCTATTGCCTACAGCGCACTACATGTACTATTTCTAATATTGATTGTATATCATGATTCGACAAAGAACTACAATACCAAAAAAGGCTATGGATTCGCTACACCTAGGTAACGCATAGATAAGAGAGATTGCTTTAGGGAGAATACATACCTGAATTTGGCATCCAGGCTCCTCAAGGTCGCAGGGGCCACCATGGTATAAGGATAAGTATTTTGCGTTCATATTTATTTCAGAGTAGGATGTCGAATATAGAGGTTTATGAATAACGGGAGGATAATGATTAAGAAAAAAAGAGGGAAAGTCCCCTATTTATAGGTACAGTTTGGAGAACGAAGTCGCACACAGAGGCTTATCAAATGACGCGAGGATAATGATTAAGGAAAAGAGAGGGAAAGCCCCTTATTTATAGGTACAGTTTGGAGAACGAAGTGGCGCGAAGAGGGGGAACAGATACAACTAAACGTTTGGACAGCTGTACAGATGTATATATGTCCAAACAACGTACATGAAACGTTGATGCTATAATACATGTATTCTTTGGAATCATGTCTTACTGATGTAACTACGTATACGCGTACGTCGTGTGATGCGTGTACATAATTCATAATAAGGTGAACATGGAATGTATGTACCTGCGCATTACATGGCTAAGGACACGGACCTGGCCATAATATTACACGTAATATACATGTTCCACAACCTTTACAGCAGGTTTCAGAATACTAGGCTCAAATTACTTTCACACACATACAGTATGATTCTTCGAACCTTAAAGTAATAATAGCCTACTTAGGAAGCCCGAGCCCGATATTCTTCCGAAAAAGTAATTTCAACTGCCCAGATAGCCTATCTTTCGAGAATTGTACCATGTTTTCTGAGCCTAGTATTATGAAACTCGATGTAAATGCACTGTTCATGATATCTCGTACTGTCTATGTGACCTAGACAGTGATGGTACAGCTGTGCCCATGGTAAGTTCGTATTGCATGTAGATACGTGTCTCGACACCCAAGGGTGTGGTGTAGCTACGTAGGGGTAGTTATGTTGGTGCAAAGAGATCGAGAACGGTGGTCAGTGTAACGAGTACTAGTATGCAGTTGGAATGATGTTAAGAGGACGCGAGGTCACATGTTATGAAGGTGGTCTGTATTCGTGGTCAGAGTATGTAGATGAAGACGATCAGGGAGGGAGAGGCATTCCCTCTTATAATTACAATCATCATCGTAATAATCAATAAAGAATCAAGTTGTTACATCTATTCAGGCGCATAATTCATGTGGCACAGTAAAGCACGATTAGCTTCCAGAGTTCGTAAGCGTTCATCGCTTTACAATTTGTAGGGAGTTATATAATTTTAAAGCGATCATGTTTGCTTTATATATAATGCGTGTGTAAGACCTATTCCAAGCCATCCTGCTCCAGGAAAATCACGACTGGTACTAATTAAACTACATATATATATATTATAAAGGCTCTTGACTGCTATTCCTTGATCAGGAAATTAATCAATTGAGCTCTCCACGACCCCGAAAGGTAAAGTTTCGGGATCATAATCTATCTACCAGCTACATGTAGCTACATGTACATATATACCTTTCCTCCATGCATCCCCCTCAGATACATTCATGTTCTCTCCTCCTCCCTGCTACCCTGGAGTCTTTCTCCAACCTCTGCAGGATATTATCATCAACTATATATACATAAGCTTCCCCGCTTTCACTCACACCGGTAATGGGAATGTTGGATGCCAAAATGTCCCTCATTATGCGCCTGTCGATAAATTTACGTTGAATGCCGCCGAACCACATATCGCATACCTTTATCGTGACGGCTGACAGTTCTGGGACACATTCGGTGAACGGGGAAGTGGTAAGGATGTATAGCGGTAGGTAATAAGTGATGGAACATAGCAATACCTGTTTTGGTAAAACGCCACCAACATTGAGTGTTTGTACACTCAGGGAGTTCCATCATTTATTACCTACTTTTGCTATACATGGTCTTTAGGTAGAAATACATGTAATAATCATCTGCACTAGTAGTACTCATTCGGGCGTACATCCTGCTACCCGTTTGAACGATTTAGGGAATAGTTCGACTCTTAAATCTTTCCCCTATTCTCGGTGTTTTTAACTGCTTTTCATGTAGTAAAGATATCTTAATCGATCTTTCATTGTCTATTTTTTTCGATGTGGTCCTCGGGGGTGAGCGTCCGCGTCCTTGCGTTGAGGACATGTCCTCGATGACACGCGAGGGCAGTGGTCCAAAAGAGGAAGGAACCTTGGCGCTTACCTTGAGGGCTTCCAAGAACAATTCTTTGCTATAATACACACTTAATATGCCATAATCGGATGAGGCCACGAATAAAGGGTGCCTTTTGTTTTGGGAAGTATCACTTTTTGGTTTACTGGGTCATGTCATTTCTTTATCGTTCTCGAGTTACCTTGAGACACCTCGAGGACAAAAGTGTCGGAGCTCGAGGATAGACAAGGATAAACAAGACAGAGGTTAGCGAGGATATGGCAACCCAAATTACCCTGCCTCGAGCATCCTCGTGGACCACACGAGTTCTTTTATAACTTAATACTAATTTCTTTTTTCTGAGTACCGTCGATTCAACGGGAGAGCTTTTGGAGGGTAAGATTTGACCGAGTGGTGATCCTTGATCGCATGCATATGTATGCTTGCATGTGTGTATTTGGGTTTCATGTGCACATGTATATAGGTACAAGTGGTTTCCGGCTTCGGCCGGTACTATATGTATATCAACCAGCTTCCAATATACAGGCAACTCGTAAAGCGGTCTGATTCTTCTAGTATTTGCCTGGCAGGCAAAGTCCATCACTATATCTGCTCCGGTCGATATGTGTCTTTTCTGATATCCCCCATATATCAGTGGATAGATCAGACAATTTCTCCCTTTAACGGCAAGCCGCTCAAATCGAACTACTAATTGATTCCCACAACCAGTAGAAAATCTATTAATAATCTAACACCACTCAGCGCAATATCCTATGTTCATATCCAACACAACATCTCTTAAGTGAAACAAATCTCCCTCAATGAGCCAATCAGAAGCTTTTAAATGCACATGTATATGCAGATTATAATTATATACTTATTGAGATATAAAAGCACAGGTTTATTCTCATCCGGACCAAATTTTGTCCCACCCGTCCATGATTTAGGTACTATGGTCAAAAATGAACCAAAATCTTGCCATCCTCGTAGGTTGGGTTCTCCCCAAAATATCTCCCAGTATAATTGCTACTCAAGGTTAATCGCATCTTCTATTCAAAAGGAGATTTTAAGGTAAACGCGGCTTACCTCCACTTCATAAGACCAGCACAGACATCCTTGCATCCCAATACGAACTTTCGGAGCTCTTCGTCCGATGTGTCATTCCCAGACGGCAGTGGTAGATCTCGCTCGGCGCTCTCAAAGTCTGCATGTGCTTGTCGAAGCAGTACCGCTGCATGATCCATTGCTTCCTGTGGACTCATACCTTCATGATACGCCAGGACACTTACGATATTATCGACGTGTCCTGCGCGCTTGTGAGGAAAGATAGATAATTAGACTACTATTAGCAGGGTTGTCCTAGATAAGAAACCTACAAGTTCCCGGGCAAGTGAAACCATGTCATTTGAGCTACAGTGGAGGAACCTCATTAGCATCTAGTCACGCATCCTGGCTGCACAGAATGTTCATCAGAAGGGTACTCACATCATAACTATGTCTCTTGTTTTTTCCAGAATTTGCTGAAAGGCGCGGTGGCCTACCATTGTCGGCGGGATGTCCAGGCCATAGCAGTATCTACAGCACTCAGGTCATGGACTAAACTAGACAGCAAAGTGTGGATGGAATTTACTCTATAAGGTCGATAGTTGGTGCTACACCTACGCATTCTCGCCTCATGACATAGTACTCCGATAATGTAGGCACGTTATCATCCTGTCTTCCATACCAGCTGGTAACGTTATGGACAAATTCCTTCAGATCGCGCAACAGGCGCTCACGAGGTTCTATGTCGGGGTTATATCAGCGCTCAGATTAACGGACAGTCTGGGCATACGGCAGTACCTTTACACATCTTCTTCTTGATGCGGCCTGCAAACCAGGAGAAGGAAGAGTTAAGGGGAGAGACAACGGACGGCTTAGGCCCCGGTGGGTCGGCAAGTAGATATTCAAAATTGAGAGTTGTCTCTTCCCGGATTTGCATGCTGTCAACACCTTCAAATTGGGTATCAAAGACGTCGTCCCATGCCCACACCTACTATCTATTAGCTTTAGAAGCTCCGAATTAAGCGTGTCTGGCGAGGGATTAACAGAGGAACGACATACCCAGGCGTAAAAGCAGGCAATAGTAGCAAGAGCCTCCTCGTCGCCGTCAGGATACAAGAACTGTGCGACAAGTCCGAACTTTGCTGCGGCGGTCTTTTTAAAAAAGGCTTCGTCTTGGCTTATGCTTTAAGGGCTGTTACTCGTCGTGTAGACACAAAATGATATATGGAGTTGTCGGGCAGTAGGGGCGCGCGACAAACCTTTTTGCCCATGAATTGATAGCTTCCTTTACATAGGGGCTACAGTCCTCTCTCTCAGTTACTCGCCAGCCTGGCAGGGTACTGGGGATGTCTGGGAGTAGAATCTTGGTCCCTTTGAACATTGCTTGAACCTCTGACTTTGGCGTGACGGCGGACATTGCGGTGATCTTGGGTAAGAGCGTCGACTTTCCAACGAGTCCGAGTTTTCTTTACTGGTTATATATGTATAGAACTTCAGCCTTAAAAACTATTATAGGTGGTTAGCTACTTGTATCTACTCGCAATCGGATAGAGAAGACGTGGGGTGGGGATATATGTAATACCAATATATATACTAGCTACATGTAGCCAGTGGGCGGCGTTGGAGGTTATCCACCCCTCACTCGTGTAGATAGAGCTAGATCTAGGCGATACTGAATCGTTGGGTAAGCCCGGAACATCATGTCAGTAACCAGGGTCCTCAGACGGCAGATGCATGCTTTCCAGGTATGCAGGTATGTATATACATACATGCATGCAGCTATACCTAGAGTACATGAGTACTATCCCTTCGTCTGGCAAGCTGACCACCCTATAATAGGAAAATGATATTTGTATGGAAGAGCTATTATTTGATAAGAGAGATAAGAGGATCTGTTAATAAAGCCACACAAAGGTTTGCTTTTTTGGGGCATAGGGTGGTCAGCTTGCCAGACGAAGATACATCTAGAGTAGAGCACATGTACTCTAGTTGATCGAATCCAACGTCGACAGTCATGAACATACATGTATATGTATGTGTTCTGAAGACAATCTTCCTATACCAACTTGAACCAATAAACGGGTCAAGCTTGTCCTTCAATAGAGCGGACCTATCCCTTCGTCTGTCGATGCTGCCCACCCTATGATAGAGAATTTAAATTTGTATGGAGATCTGTTATTTGATAAGAGAGATAACGAGATCTGTTATTTGATAAGAGAGATAACGAGATCTGTTATGTAGTAAAGCCACACCAGATTTGCTTTTTCTTGGGTGGGCAGCATTTTCCGGCGGACGAAGGGATAACTACATGATACAGTCGCTCACCTACTGACGGCGGATCCTGCCTGATGGTTCTGTTTGCCCTTGGCGCCCAAAACCTAACTCTTTTATTGGCCTCAAATCCCTGACCGCCATCAGACAGGATCCGCCTTCACCCCGTGAGTGACTGTACATGTACTTAAGCTATCGCTACTCGTATTTCTCTGACGTTTGTGGACGCGACTGATATTGCATGCCATACAAAAATACGCCAAGCTCATGATTTTGGGTGTATGCAATAATGGCCCAGTTCAAAAACGTCAGAGAAATACTAGTACATTTTGAACCCGGCTACTATTGCATGCACTAAAATCATGAGCTTAGCGTATTCTTATATATCTAGTATGCAATAATGGTCACGTCCGCGGACGTCAGGAAAATACGAGTACTCTAGACTTGACATCCTTTCACATACACATTATATATATATATTAACGCCTATAACAAGGCCCGTACATTGACCTGCACCCTAGGTTGCGGGCCCGCTTTCTTTAACGTCCCTATCTTCCACCAATTGCGCAAACACACGTATGTATATACGTACCGTATATCGCTGTCCACTGGTGACGTGTGGATCCTTTTACACTCTAGACCGGTCAAAAGTACCTAGGTCGGGGTGATTTTCCACGTCGCAGGTGTCGCTGCATAATGGACATCTCTCTGGGATCCATGGGCTAGGACCATGGCCCTGGAAATACGAAAGGCTAGCCCACAGACTAGGGGGTTGAACCTATCATCTGAGCGGTTTTGGCAGTAGCCCGGCCTGATCTAGTCGTAAGTGATCCTAGTGTCCATTGAGTTTGGAGCTTAGGATTTGGGCCACGTAGTGATCAGAACGATAGAGGTGAGAGAGAAGGTGGAGTTTTGATTCCGCCACCCTTTGCACCTTCTGCAAACTTAATGTGACCCTACTCATTCTATAAGACCTTACTAGTATATTCGGTTTGACCGATCAAAAACGAGCTAATTACATACATATCACCGCCGACGGGTTGAAAGGCCTATAACCAACAGGCAGGCTTAATTAGGAGTAGACTTACATGTAGTACAAATCGGCAGGAAGGCCGATCGCTTGGCCACTTATACACCAGCTTGAAGTTGGATTCAAGGTCTTTTGAAGCGCAAGAGGGGAGTGAATATGAGTCAAGTATCAATCTTACATATAGTTCGAATATTTCAATTAAAATTTAAATCTGACATCTAGATTCGCGTGGCGCCTACCCTGAGTGTAGGGCATATCAACGGCTGTCAGAACAAGACGTTAGGAGCACGCATAACCTATCTTCGCGATCGCCAAATTTTAAGGAAGACCCAAAGTTGAAATATTATGGCTAATCTGACATATTTAGTTCTCTCTTCTATGTAAAAGCACATTCGGCAACAAAACAAAACGGGGTTTACACGGTTCAACTCCGTCTGAAGGGCCCTTTCTTTTTTTTTTCAACGCGTGGAAACTCTATTTGTATCATTGCTAAACGGCCCCTTTTCAAACTGAGGCTTGGCATCGAGTGATAATCTGTGGACACCGGCAACGCGCTTCCTCGATCATGAGAATTTTTTGTTCGCCCACGAGTTGAGAGAGAAAAAAAACTCCGAAGAGAGGAGCAGGGGAGAATACCAACCGGATTGGGGGCATTTTCAAGCCAAGCCTGCCATGCATAAAGCGGGTATTAATATTCCTAATTCGTGGAGCCTGTGCTTCTCAATTGCAAGATCGCGTTGGATATTCTTTAATTCCAAGTTTGTTTCTCGTGCAGTTTATGCTCGTTTGACGTTGAATATAGCGTGTGCTTCTCATCCGATGAAGGACAAATGATTCACTTTGGGTGACAAACATTTATTGTTATACACAATACATGTTGCATTATCATTTCTTCCAAATATTGAGAGGGAAGGCTCACTAAAGCCCTTGGGACCAATGAATTAGGCAGGAGAGGGGGCCCTTGGGATCAATAGCCCAACGGAAACTACCTCTCTTGGACAGTAATCTCGGTGGTAAAAACACTCCCTTGCGTCCAATCTGCATATGGATGTGCCATTACTTCCGTTAGAAATGTATCATCAGCTAGCCACTCATTAACCTACACATTTCTCCGACTTTAAAATCTTACTCTGTGATAGACTGTCTTTCTTAAGAATATTTCTAGGATACATATTAATCTGCAATCGCTTGAGACATAATTATAATGTAAGGAAAACTACTTCGCCACTGCCATAAAATAACGATTAAGTACGTTGACTTCACGAGTTGATAACCAACCATGTGTCTTAGAGAACCCCACTATAACTGACGCTGAATCATGGGATCGTTCAAATCTATAATCGGAATATTAAGGGGTAGGCATCTTGCACCTTTACCATCCGGATTTAAACACTCCACAATCTTCGTCGACGACGCGAAGCACTCACACCACTCTAGCAGGTCATTCCACTGGCTCAGCAACAGCGACAACACCCTATTAACCCTGTTCGTCTTACCATACCAATGATGACCCTTTTCAGTTATTGGATGTCTCTTGAAAAGCTCTCCTCCCGGATGCCCCACTCTCCAGAAATGCGTCACATTGATATAGATTTCCACAACTTCAGCAGGGCGGTGAATTTATACCACGTCACAAACAACGCCAAATACGCCTCCTGGTCACGCCGGGTATCGCTAATGCGTTTTGGATCATGGTTCAGGTCTGTATGATCCTGCACCAGTTTTCTCACCGCACTGGCCAAATCATCGAGTGCTTTACGGACATACAAGATATCGGGATCGAGTTTGGGATCCCAGACAGTGCTGCTGCCGTGGAGCCAATCCCAGGGCACAACAATGTCACCGCCGGGGACGTGGGGGTGGGCTTGGTAATGCGGAAAGGGCGGTAATGGTGGGATAGAGGGGCGTCACTGTTAACCGGGATGGGGTTGTTCGAGTAGTAAGAGCGGACGGTGGTGCAGTCGCCGGAGGGGGTTCTGGGGTCGTGGGTGCGTGGCATCGTCTGGTGGTAAAACTGGATGGGGTATGTAGTTTGAGTGAGGTTTTGAGAAGTAGATGTGGTACTTTAGTAGGCGGTGACGTGGGGAGTTAAATAAACCCATGGAAAGTCGTTTTACCATCGATTCAGTTGTCTTTTTCTCATAGAATGCCCATATATCCTCTTAACCTTTATTTCTATGGAGCGATAAATGTGTCAAAAGTAATTTTACCACCGGTGGTGAAAATAATACAAACTTTTCTGATAAAAGCACAGACCTTTTGGCCAAAATGGGCCATAGAATGCCAATATATGGCCAGAAGGGACCATATAATGCCACTATATATGAACATTGTCCACCGGTGGGGAATTCCACCACCAGTGGGAAATTTTCATAAGATTTTTGAACATTTACTTATGTAGTATAGCGCAGTATAAAGACTGAAATTCAGTGTTGATACTGGCACAAGGGCTGAAATTCAATGCTTATACCACCGGTGGTAAAATTACTTTTGACACATTTACCGTCCCATATATTTCAATGTATTTGTCTATGTATGGACATGTTTGAGTTGCTAATTTCTGAATCTACATAGTAACGATCTCTATGAAATAGAAAGCCATCCTATTTATGATCTTCAAAGGTGACGTTCATGTTATACAACGCGTGTTGACAAAATCTCACAAAAATCCACCTCCCCTAAGAACGGCGACTAGACACTGATTTGAGAAATAGGGTTGTTACGACAGATGTCTTATATAAGGGACTGACTCTAGGCGCTGTAGCATGTTGAGGAACGGAGAATGTCTGCTTCATGGGGGAATTGGGCCAGATTACAGCGGGGCTACATCCCCCGAAGCCAGTTTTGGTGGGATATCCACCGTAAGTCAACTTAGATGGTGCCTGTCACATTATTATAGGTAGATATCGAGGTAATGGCTTACTAGAACAGAGATTGTTGATTAGATTATCTATGACTGAATCTAAGACCCTGCTCAATTGCTGAATTGCACCTCCGGCTGGAGTCTCCCTGATACTGGTTTGGGAGTATGGAGCGACGAAGAGGCTCATTCTATGGATATATCGGTACGCGGTATTGCGATGCTGCTCGCTTTGGGTCATCGTAAATTATCAGCTCGTGACTCATCTTCCCTCTTGTTCAATTGACTTAAGCGGTTCCTGGATCTATGTGTTTGGTCGCAGAATTTTATTACACCAGCGATGCCTTAATGCAATGCAGCCAGTGAAACAACAACTATAGACAGCTGCGAGATACGTGTAGATATATCGAGTCAAGATGGGGGATAAGGGCTCTTATTAACATCGTCTACCATGTCTAGCGTTCGCCACTCTCTCAAGAGAATTAATACTGTCTCTGGATATATCCATGTAATCCACCAGGATATCGCATAATTTCAAAGACTTAGATCACGGATACAGAAATAAGAGCTTGTGCGATACGGAGTGTACGGGTGTCTGCAGAGCCGTTGGGACGTGTTAGATGTGCGGTCTCGTGTGTAGAAACCTGCGCCGGGTGTGCATTGCAATATAAATCTAGTCAGCGGGTATTTGCTATGCATGGTGCCAATGCTGTCGCTGCGCTGAAAAGTAGACCTATAACTATCGGCAACCAGCACATTCTATGATATATCCTATGATCTGGTTTGTTTAGCGATGCGACAAATCAATTTATTTGATGCTCAGACATCCATCTTAACTTGTTCCTGGCCGTAGATACACACGGTCAGTAGGTTCAATAGTGTACATACAAGCAACCCTTCGTTCAAACCTAGTATAGATACCCCGGGAAAGGTCTAGTTTCTTCATGCGGTAATGAACGGAGGTTTTGCAGTCATGAATGTTGGACATACATGAGGATGAGTATGGTCTTTCTTCAGCCTGTATTTTTTAGGATGCATGGTGTACGTCGAAACCAATAAAGTATGCGGTGTGGAGGAGTGATGACTGAAACAAAGTTGTTTTGGAGAGGATACCTTGTTCTCTGGTGTCACTGAGCGACGATCGATGGTTACCGGGGAGCGAGAGCGATACAACCCCACTCAAGCCGGTAGCATTTCTTGGCCATGCATATATGGCCGCACATCAGCGGGCAGGACGTCTCTGGACTTCACTTCGAACTTTTCTCTACCCAAGGTATTTCCATATGCGAGCAGTTAGCAAAGCTTATGACAAGACAGGACAATACCGAGAACCGTATTTCCCTGCCGCGACTGGTAATAAACTTGTAGGATCTTCTTACCCCGCTAGCGCTATAGCACTACCTATTCGGCTCTCATCAATACCTTTCTTCTTGAGAATCGCTCCTTCAATCAAATTGCCTGCTTCGTGTCAGGGTTATCTGGATAGTTTGCGGGGTGAGCTTTAATAACTACTCACAGTGTGGTTCGACACGAGGGGAAGCTAGCGCTTCGTGCCTCCCCTCGAAGCAAATACCTCGATGCGCCTCATTTTCCTGGCCAGCTTGATGGGTTTCCTGGGCTGTACTGGACGGCTCAGAAAGCCATAGTAGTCCAGAGTGCACAAACCAGCAAAGCAAATCCCGAAAACTGTGCACGGAGTAATCCTTGGCTATCAATAGGGGTGAGTCATCCGTCTCACTAAGTATCATTGGGGTCACGGGTAATCACTCGAATCACAAATAATCACTCAAGCCGGTATAATAGTGCCAGGAGCGTACTATTTTTTGGTGGCAATTTCGAGTTGCCTGCATGTTCGAGATCTAGGAAATGGTGAGATCTCGAGAATGGATTCTTGAGAATTATTTTTTGGAGGCCCCACTCTTAGTAGTTCAGACTCGCCTTCAGAGAACTACGTTTGCTGCGTTCCTCCGATCCTGAACCTGCAGGCAATCCGAATCCGCCACCAAAAATAGTACTTGCCGATTTTTTTCTTGTATCACGTACTCGAGTCACAACAGGAGATTTCCGGGCAAACCCCGAAACCAACACAGGCTTTATACCAATACACAGCCAAAAAGAGGAGAATAGGCAATTACGCAAGTCTCCGGGTATAATAGAAAGAATTGATAGGTTGGCTCGTAGTTATAAGAAAGGGTGTATATAAGGTAAGCTAAATAACGAGAAAATATTGCTTTGAATTCGAGCGTTAGGGTATTAGGGAGCGCGCAAGAGCATTCAAAAGATACACGTCAAGTACTTCGGAACACTAATTAGAATCACCGAAGCTTCAGGTATCTCTAGGCTAAGTTGTACCTATCCCTCTACCCGCCACTACACTTAAACCTCTAGAATCTATATCATCCAGTAGATCATAGGATATCACTCGGATCACGAGTGAGATACTATGACTAGCAGGCGAAAGCCTGACTGTTGAATTATAATGCAGGGTATCCTACCATTACAGAGAAAGAATACGACATGGAAGATCTCAGTCTATAATATTATAGTCAAAAAAATTTAGGTAAGATACCACCCCACTTCCTTTAGTGAAACACATGGTAGCAAAGAATTCAAGCAGTTCATTTTCTAATACGGCTCGCCATATTACCATCCTATATAGTTTTTATAAGGACGATCAGAGGTTAAGCTCTGAGACGTATGAATGCCTAAAGTAAAATTGTCCCCGGGAAGCAAAGTTACATATAAGTATGTAAATCTTGGAAATTTCACCTTCAGGCTAAAATACATATAGGTGATCTGGAAAAACCTAGATAGCCGTTAGCGAGTGGCTATCTAGAGGGATCTACCGCGATTCTCACCTATACAATGTGTGATATGTGCTTAAGACATGGCCGACTATATATGCAAATGAACATATGGTCTCATTCAAATCACTCCGGGCACACCGAGATTACCACTTGGAGTACATCTAGTTTCCAAGCTTCATTTCACTTATGGTCTATAATCACCGCCATCCCAAGTCCACCAGCTTCCTGAGATTCTTTTCAAATTCTCAGTGTCATCATTCCCCTTCGGCGGCTATATAACCCCATAGCACGGTGAGCGCACAGGCTTCAGGGTTAGGGTTTCTGAACCGTTTTCCCGGATTTTATGTAGCCGCCCGATTTTACCATTGTAGACAGATCATCAGCAGTTTATAATTTTTGAGAATCTCCACTGCTGGCTCGAGCACGTGCGTGGGCTTGATCCCTAGGCGGATAGTCGGATGCAAAGCTGAAGCACGCAAAGGGCAAAATCGCATTCATTATTCTCTGTTTGTCTATGCATAGGTCCCGCAGCCTGTAGGCGCGCCTCGTTTGGTCGGAGAGCGCAAAATTAAAACATATCTTGTAGTTAGTTATAGGTGGCTATAATTAACCGCGCTGAATGTCTAGCTAGGCAATGGGTCCACTTCTTTTGTCTGCATGAAAATGTGGGTTTTCTACTCTACCCTGGACGAGTAAAGCACACCTACTCATGCGCGGGGGCGAATGCGGGTGCTTTCCAATGTCTGTCAAAAGTTTAAGGCCAATACTGCATGTGTAGTAAATATGCATAGAGTAGCTGTAGTGCTACATAGAGTTAACATTGGAATGCCAAGGCCGGCTTACCCCAGACACAGCCCTTAGACCACACCCCAGGTGAGCATGAGGGAGTGTAATCTACAGTAGAGTTATCACAGAGTTCGTCCTATAGTGAGCTATAGAGAGCACCTACTCAAGTGACATGCGCATGCGGACCTGTGTCACATCACCATACCCAGCGACACGGTTAGTTCCGTTGGCCCTCAAGCTTGGTGCTGCGGCGCTCTCAAAGTGGTGACTGCAGGCATAGGGCAACCGTAGAGAAGCGGATCGGAGTACATTAGAATATATACCCACATCTCTGGTAAGGTGCGCGCAGGGAAGAGAAAGTGATGCAAATTACCCAATTAGTATAGCAAAAGTAGTGAGTAGCGCTTGAGCAAGCTGGGCCTCTACTCCATGTAATTTGGAGATTAGATTCGTCGTGGGACGAGAGACCTCGAAGGTTACATGTGTCCTCGTGATGGATAAATTAATCTATGAAGATTTCTCTTTTACGACGTTGAGTTCTGCTCTATTGCTCACGTCCAACGAACCAGGGTGTGTACCATGTACCATGCATAGATATGTAGGTGCGATGTAAATTCTTATAGTGTCACACAGCAGGAGATGCTATAATGCATGATGTTAACGCTTCAAAATTGGGAAAGTCGGTCAAGACAGTCAGCCCTATAGCCTACCGGGCTGAGACATATGCACGGTTACTTCCGTGACTGTGGGTACACAATCCAGGTCTGAACATATTCGCCTGTACTCTACCCGTCGTACTGCGCGCATGTCTGATGTTACGCACATACATCTATGTTTGGAACCCAAGTTAACCCCGCATGTACGTAGAATGTATCCTACAATACTTTCCCTCTAGAACCAGTGCACCGCGGGCAGGGAAAAGATGAAAATATAGCGAACTGTACTTATATGTATCCTTATTGATTCTACATGTTTGTAAATCTATTTAATTCAATTTATACTATGTAGGTACGTACATGTATGTAACATGTAGCTCGACGTACCAGCTTGGCCAGGCTACATGCATACATGTATTCTAGCTAGTAGAAACGACCCCCCCCCCCCCACCTTTTCCCAATCTCCCGTTCTCCTCTGCCTACACAAACTACATATATGGATTCTTAACATTTACCTACTACCGTATCATGCGCCTCATTCTTGCTGAGTAAACTGAAGCTCCGCCGCTGCTGGAATCTGCTGCCCAGCACCACCCAAACACCATGCCGTCGCTCCCTTCTCGTAGATCTCCCCCCTTATACCGTTCCCGTCAGACCGGCTATCCTCTTTCCTCATTCATGGGCCAGGGACCTACCTCCACTGTCCACCACACTTCTGGGTGCTGTCGCCAGGGCAGGGCATACTGCACTCACTCGTCTGAATAACTGTTCCATTGTTGATGATATTTCCGCACCAGCACTATCTGCATTCATGATGTAGCCATTATCGGGGGCGCAACCGGCCACCACAAGTCACCGTGAGGAGGATAGAGGGTGGGGGCTATATATAATATATACCTAGCGTTCTCCACCATCCCGTATTTGTAGCCTCGGCATCTGACCAGGCAATCTCCCACATTATTGTTGTTGTCGTTAACCCAAACTGGGCCTAGGAGACGATTTCCAGAGTCAACGTAGCAGCCAATCGAGGTCCAGCCATAGGTGCCGGCGCTGCGGGTGGTAGCTAGCGCGGTGATGGAGAGGAGGAACAGAATGGAAGCGTGCATGTTGGAATGGCGGGCAAGTGGATTTTGGGGCTAATATGAGAAGAAAGCAGAGTTTGTGATTATGTGGGGAGGTATGAAGGGGCTTCGGCTCCTTTTATAATGTTGCTGGAGCGCCCGGAAGTGATGTATATACACATGGAGGAGGTATGTACATGAGACGCCGGAGTCAATGGTACGTATAGTGGATTCGATGTTGATGTAAGAAGTACATTCTGACCGCTTGAATGATTCGACTACGGATGGAAGGCAGGCACCGTAGTTGGTGCTTTGATTCTACCAGGGCAACACATCAACAAAATCACCTGACCCCATACCGTTTCGCCCTCCATGATTCGATTCATCACACGCCAATCATACGTGTTTCTATGTGTGCATAATTTGCCATGTAGGTGCCGGTATGCGTAGCTGCGCAGATCTATGGTCAGCTTTATTGTAGATAATAATTCTATACTCGGAGTAGAGACGTGGATGATCAATTATTTACTTGTTCCTGAAGACACTAATACCAATAATCTGTGCCCGTGATCGATGATTCGATGATGAAGGCCTATCAAATGGTGATAAAAGTGCCCCACACCGAATAATAAGGCTCAGTGTGATTTTGAGTTATGTACATCCGACGGCTGAGGATTTTCTGCATTTCATGATCAGGCCTGATATTACATGTCTGTTATTCCACGCCCCTGTGATGATCAATATGCGTGATCGAACCGATAACCGGCCATTTTGTGTTTTGTTGCCCTAGGCTACGCCTGGGCAAACAGGAAATGACGTAAATCCATGTCAGGCATGTGTCTCGCAATGGTATTATTTGGGCCTTTATAATTCCAACCACATATTTGCGCAGTAAACGGTTTAATATAGTTTTCAGTGAGATATTCGAGGGTATGTTCGGTAAGTTTGATTAGACAAGTTCTTTTATAGTACTAATGGACGAGCTACGGAAAATACCACCCTAAAAACAAAGCCTTCTCTATTGCTAATTAGGTGGTGTGAGGAGCTGGATCATGGTAAGAGAAGGAAACCATGAACCATCACCGGTAGCTGTTGCTATTCATGTCGACTGCGTAATGTTGTTTTCTCTTTTGTTACTGTTAACTCCTCTATCGATTTGACTGCGTAATGTGCGTGATTTGAAAGTGTCTGTGAGCATCATAGTGGGTGAATTAGACTATCTCCATCCGTTAACTCACCATGCCGGTGAAGCCTCAGCTAATATAATAAAGCTTACTAGGTTAAAAAGTTCCCTAATCAGTGTCCGAGCTTAATTGAGATTAGCTGCCCTCGCTCTGGTGGGCATCTCTGGGGCCTAGAGACAAGCAGAATCTTTCCTATGTACAGGGTAAATGAGCACTCGTGAGTGGATACAGCCAGACGATAGATATTAATTGATACTCATACGAGTGAGCGGATATGACGCGGGACCGAGTGACTAAGTATGATGCGATAGCGAGTGATTGGGGATGATCCCAGGGGACCATGTGACATTAACTGATTGATTGATGTGGTAGGGCTTAGGGTGCGCACGAACACTAAGGGTTCGAACTGTTAGTACTAAAGGTTCCTACCTAGCGGGTGCGGCCACAAACCGTCACCCGCACGTACCCACAAAGTCCTACCTTTGATCGCCCTTGGCCGCCTGCCTACTAGTATAAAAGGATCTATTTTTGTATGTAGTAATAAATCAAGCAAGTTGTACGCGAAGTTTACAATTGATAAGGAGTTCATTAACTGTATAAGAGTAAAATAATTAATTAATTAATAATTAATTCTATGTAGCCCTAAGGGTATGCTTGGTGCAGGGGCTTGGCATTGATGTCAGCAACTGTCTGTCTGTCTAATGTCTGCTGTGACCTAATGTCTCACATAGTTACATATTATGTACGAGCCTGGCCGGCCCCCATGCTTGAGTGAGTACCGTGAGTACCCTGCCAGTTTCCCTCATTACATTGCCTTCTGACGTTCTGAAGATCCCACCGCAAGGTTCAGCTCAATCCTGACCTCGGCCACGCAGCCAAATCTTTTTTTCTCTCTTCCTTCTTGCCCGAGCTAAATCCCGCCCTTGATACCCCGTCCTTTAGTCACCCATTTCCATATGTCTAGATCTGGGCTCGATGGACATATATCGGGCCTCAACATCTTCGGGGAGGTCCCTTCATCTCTAATCACTAAGATTCAAGATCTAAACATTATTCTGTTCAGGCAATTTCTCCCTAGTAGACCTAACCCAGCTCTCACTAGCTAGCTAGCACCCACCCCCCCCCCCCCCCCCCGGGGCGCCGAACCGAATCTCTTCTACTTATATATCAATAGATCTTCCCTTTACGAAGTTGATCTAAACTCAATTAGCTTTTACCTATCAACCGAGTGAAAACTGATCACAAACGAAGGAATGGAGGTGGCTGCACCGATTGTTGGTCTTCTCTTGGCGGGCGCTACAGTGTTTGAAACGTTAGAGAAGTTTATCTCTAGATACACGGGTGCTCCAGCGCTCGCGCAAGAGGTATATGTAGAAGTTCGTGACTTCCGGTACGCACTGCGGAGGTTGTGTTCCTACGTGGAGGGCTCAGCGGATTACCCCGCTCGGAGCGGCCTCCACCGATGTTGGTCACTTATCTCTCACACTAGGATCTTGCATGGCTACGTTCTCACAGCTGGGGCGAACTGTTGATCGTCTGATACCACCGACTAGTGAACTGGGCATTAAGGCGAAAATCCGGTGGGCGAGGGCTAAAGCAGACCTCTCTGAGCTTGTACGGCGCAACTAGCAACACAAGATCACATTGAGCTTGCTTCTTACGATATGGAGAAGGTAATTTCCACCAGAGGAGGGAGAGACAGGAAGAATGCGGATGAGATATTGTATCATCGCGTTGAGCTCAGGTCACCCTAACACTACTCACAGTGAATCCTCCGCAGAAACAGAATCCCTAGTTGATTCCTTGAATGGCATACTGAGACATCTAACATCACTCACCCAAACATCTACCCCGTCGTCGCCGGGCCGCTTATCCCTAGCTTCTGCGTCAAGGCGGTCCATCCCGAACAGCGATACAGCTTCAATAGCTACCAAGGTGTCACATGTATCCTTCAGGTCAGTCCTGCGCAAGACAAGGCCATACCGCAATAGCGGAGTGTTAAATGCCTCCGGGGCATCCACTCGTTCCAGCGGATCGAGTGCCTCGGTATTCTCATTACCCTACACCGAGCTTGGGGTCTCTCATGAACCGCTTTCAGAACAGCAATCTATGGCACTGATTAAGCTTCCAGTCGAGAAGAGATCGCTATATAACCATAGACGGTACGGCCACTACTACCCATGGGCAGGGGGTATGAACACTCAGAGTAACATGCGTGTACTGCCACAAATAATGGATACCCTAGAATATTTCCAAAGCATTAAAGTATGTTCTACACCGCCCGCGCCCCTCTTCCCCCAGCCTACAAGAAGTTGCCTAACACCCCACTTTACAAACAGGTCGTCTCTAGTCATGAAGCCACCGACATCCCTAGTAACCGTATCCGTGAAATAAACGGCCAGACCGAAGACATAAACCACGGCTTCGGCGGGAAGTAAGTCCTCCTCCTCTGCCCTAGATCCTCCAACGTACGCTTACCTACAGAGATACGTCTGGCTCGTGCCCGTGTACGGCACCACCGCCACCACCGCCGCAACCGACTTCGAGATCGTGGTTCAAAATACCCCCAACAAGGGCAAAGACAATCTTGCTGAAGGTGACGGAGGAAAAGCCCGCTACCTGATTGTAGGGAAAGATCCGTTGGCACCCGAGAGGGTGACTCATGTGGCGTTTCCGAAGACTATTGAGAGTGTGAAGGGTGTCCCGGTTGGTTATAGTGGTATGACGATCGATATTCATAATGGCAGGGGTGGCGACTTTTTGTATCTGTGTTGGAAGTCGGAGGGATTTTGACAACGGGTGGAAAGCGGTCTTGACGTTCGAGATAGGAGGGAGATCAAGATTGAAGGGGGCCAGTGGAAATAGGGTTTAATGTACATGTGGGTTGAGTGGTGGGTGCGAAGCTACCGCTTTGGGATTCGCCCAATAGCGAGTATAACGCTCCGCCAGGCCAATGTTTATATTGACCAAAAGAAGCGATATGAAGATGCACGGACTGCCTATAAGGTGGAATGGTTTTTTGTTTTGTTTAATTCATTAATTGCATGCAAAGGTGGAGTGGTTCAGGGGGCTCAGGTACGCTCTATCGTCACTGTCACTCTAAGATGTGTGCTCTTTATTTGTGTAGCGCAGCTAATGGTCGGGTATCTAATACTTATAGAATGAGCATAGTATTATTAGAGCCGTCGTCAATTAAAGTTAATATATTTAATGAAACAAAGCAACCAGTAAAACAATAACCGTAACGAAGCCGGATCATAGTATATCACTCGGTCATTGTGTCCGATCGACTGGGATGTCTTTTTTTTTTTTTTTTTTTTCTTTCTAATTCATTAATTGAATGTCGACAGACATTTCGATTACAAAGGAAGGAACAAGTTTTGGAGACTGTTAATTTGTGATAGAGACACTAATATTACGCTACCAATCACATTGCATACCCCGTACTGTCTGAGCACATCAGGATCAGAATTCCGAAACCGCGGGCTACTTTAATCCAGATTTGACATCTAAGGCTACCTATCTATTTCCTACCTCGCTGCCACATCCAAGCAGCTTCGGTGTATATACGCTACCTATTTCGTTGCTGCCTGTGCGGTAATCGAGGGATACATGCAGTATGTTGGAAATTCAATTAATTTGTTGGCCTCTTGTTCGCTGCTCAATGCCAGATTTGAGCACAATGAGACGTCAACCCGGTGACAGGTTTGAGGGTACATAGGTGTATATCAGGCGGGAAGTTTCGTGAAGGTGATACTACAGATAAGATATCTGCTATCAATTGGCTGTAATAAACCCTGATGTAATGGCTTTTAGTTTCCCAGCACTCGACACACTGGCCCGCTTAGACGGAGTGAAACTCCCATCGGGCTCCTCCGCATCCCCGTTCATGAGCCACGAGGTACTCTGCGCAGCGTGAGACCTTCCTTGCCCATTCTGTTGGCCATTTCAGATTCAACTTTCACAAAAGAATCCTCGTCTAGAGGGACCGAACCCGGCAGCGACCCGATATCTTGCAAGTACGTACTAAGTCGTGAAACGTAGGTTTTCAACTCTGGTTTTTCAAACGGTGGTTTGCAAAATTAAAAGGCATTATAAGGATTTTTCGTCAGGTAGTAAACTGGGATGAGACCGAACATCTCAGTTTCCATTATCCCCTGGGTTACACTCGAATATGACTAAACGCTTATTCCTGTTCTATAGGATTTATTATCGGCGCTTTTGTTATGATTATATACATGTATATTTACCAGACTATCTTGTGGCTGCCTTATACTCTACAGCGGTAGGTAATAAGTCATCGGACGTCCTAGCCACAATTTTGCCTGCAAACACGGATTTTGGTGGCGTTCCGTCTGATGACTTATTACCCATCGCTGTACATACAGTACGATGCCAGTCGTGAGCGTCAGGCGCGGCGTCGCAACGCCCCCCGAATCATCACGGGTACCAGCACAGCAACCACAATTGATCCTTTTATCTTGTGTACCAACCCGCCGTGAAAAGGTTGTGGAAATCTGGTTGCGCGCCTGACGCTCACGACTGGCATCGTACTGTACATATGTGGCTTGGGTATGAGATGTGACACAATTGTGGTGTGGCGTCCAATTCAGGCATCCCATACGAAAAGAACCAGTTGCTCAGGGCAAGGATTATTTGTATGGAGTGGCGGTGATCTCTCATACAAACTATCCCTGTTTCCGTCACTTGCATTTTCTGGTTCTTTTCGTGGTAAACGAGTACATGCACTTATAACTACATAAGGAGCACGCACACATTGCCGGAGATTTATTGTGATCTCCTTCATATATGGCCTCTGATATCAGCCTATTTCACACAATCTATAAGGTTTGGTGTTTATAGTTTTTCACCCTCTCCATGTTTGTTTACAATCTACGCCTTTACCTAACCCGCTCTCATATGCAGACCTCCTACAAAGCTCCTGTTCCCCTTACAGTTGATAGCGTTCGGCCATAATGGACGCCTCACAGGTTCCGTCAAAGCCATGTAGCATCTGCAACGAGCCGACATCACTAAAGTGCAAATCCTGCAGCAGCAGTGCCTACTGTTCCCCCAAATGCCAGAAAGAAGACTGGTCCCTCCACAAGCTCCTCTGCAGCCGGCTCGCTGCCTTCTCCACTCCACCTGGCACCAATTTCCGGCGCGCCATCTACCTCCCAATCCACGAGAAAGCGCCCAAATTCGTCTGGGTACCTGTCGAGAAGAGCAGACTCTGGGATGGTGAAATACAAGATGATGACGATGCGGATTTTACCGAGTGGCTAGGAGAGAGGAGGTTCGGCTTTAGAATGATGAAGAGGAATCAAGTGCGCAATAGAGAGCTAGAAAATGAGATACAGTTGACGTTTAAGGTGACAGCTTACGGAAGTTTGGGGATTCCGCCGCTGGAGGTTAATGAGTGCACGGGGCATGTTGCGAAGGGGAAGAACATTTCGCTGTGGCGGGGACCGATACTGGCCATGAAGATGGTTGGAAAGGATTCTGAGCTGTACGGGCACATTGATATGGAGGATTTGAGAGATCTTGCGGATTTCTTTACGGTGACAAATGCCGTTATGGAGATGTGATCCGCACGATAGGACATTGAAAACCTGGGATTGAGTGGGATGCGTAAAGTCTGATCGATGCAAATATAGGGCATTAGTTACTTTTTATTCTTCACCAAATCTATTCGAGTATACCTACTCCTAATTATTGCTACATGGATCTTTTCTTTTACGCCCTTAATTTGAAATATCTCAATTATGGTGTATATTGAAAGGGAGTTGCCAAGATTTGGAACCTGCGCACTTTTAGGCTTAGAATAGATGGCACGATTTTTGTCTGATTTTAATTCTGGTTGACATATGCGCACCACTCACATCTTATCACTCGGTTCATACCGGCAACCACTCCTGGTGTAAATCACCTGTAACCCCAGCCAGGTTGGGTTGGTCCTTTTATGTTTGTATACACGTAGAGTACATGTATCTACTGCATGAATTTTAGCCCACACCTAGACACTCGAATAGGTGGTTGGCTATAGGAGTAGCTCTGCCGTGCACGTCAATGACGGAATTGAATCTTTCTGTACTGGGAACGAGTTAGGAGCCCCAATTGGGGGCTGCTAGGTTAACGTTGTACCTGGTAGTAACGTGACCTCCAAGCGTGTAACTGGGCAGAGTATCTATATGTTCGTCTCTGCCAATCGGAATCTTTATCTCTACGGTGTGACCGTAAGAAATGCTTCGTGCTGGAACATATCCAACATGCGGTACATAGTCTGCTGTTCGTTTATCCCGACCCCGCTGTCCGCTGTTTGGTGATATATGCTTGCTCTCTCACATCTCTGGCGGTGCTGGTTGGGCAGTGTGAGGTAAGAGGACACCTGGATTGGACAGACATAGGTAGGACTCGAAATTACGTAGGCCACCTTATAGTCACTTTTACGATGTTAAGCCAGACAGCCAACAAGCCAATACACGATTAGAATTAGATATGGGTACAGGTTTCTCGCAGTCTTTTGGCAAAGTATTAGACAGAACCTCCTTCTCTACAGATAACTTTGAGAATGATATTCACGACGCCTGGGTGAAAATTGCCTATTGCCGTCGCTTCTACAGTAACATCTCCAGTGATGGTACGGTCCACATTAATTCAGCGGGGTTTATTATATGCATAGACATGAGGTAGATGTTTCATTGCCTTGTTAAACATATATATTGTGTAACAAAAAGAAAAGAAAAACACGCTCCAATACCAAATCCCAGACCAATGTCCCAAACAACTCTTCGCACCTCCACAACCCGTCCCTGGCCAAACACGAGGACCCAACAATGCCATCCGTACTGGTACGATTCTCAAGACTGTATCACCAATCAGCATGAACCTCACCATAAGATAAATAGAATAACTCACCTCCAATAAACTGATCCGAAAAAAATGTAACCGCTATCGAGCGTGGAAAACGACCGCTACCGAGCGCGGAAAACGAACGCGTATCGCCGTGGAATTACCTACACATGTCAGTAACACGCACACCCTGACCAGGTTGGCAAGCTGCCTTAAGCCTCCACGCGCAGCCCAGGGCAAGCTGCCCAGCTTTACGCGGAGGCCACTGGTCGGGGTGGCAGACCGACAGCACAAGTCCACACCATTACACACCCAATCCCCCAGTGACCGGGTTGGCCAGCTGCCTTAAGCCTCCACGCGCAGCCCAGGGCAAGCTGCCCAGCGTTACGCGGAGGCCACCGGTCGGGGGAGAGGGGAGCGATGAGGGTGAAGACGAGATATATACATACCTGGTACTACCCAAGCCCGCACCCTTACACACCCAATCCCCCAGTGACCGGGTTGGCCAGCAGCCTTAAGCCTCCACGGGCAGCCAGGGCAATCTGCCCAGCTTTACGCGGAGGCCACCGGTCGGGGGAGAGGGGAGCGATGAGGGTGAGGACGAGATGTATGCATTCGTGGTGCTGATGTTCTGGGGGGAGTGTTGAACATGTTTGGTGGTGATGGTGATGTTTGGTGGTGATGGTAATGGTGGTGGTGGTGAGGTTGGTGTGTAGTGGCGATGGTTGAGTTCAGGGATAGCCTTGGCAAGCGGGGGGTGTGGCGAGTGGATGAGTAAGCAGCACTAGTGTCTTGGCTACTGCCTTAAGCGAGGATGGCTTCATTTGAGCCACACACTACATGTATTTATTCTCTTTGAGCCGCATTTTCCTTGGCGCTCTGCTCTTTCAAAACATCGCTTTCTCGCACACCTTTGGGACTTGGGGTGGACTTTGCCGTCATGGCCTGTCACTCGGACAAAGCCGCGTGAAGCTGTGGTGGTGGGAAGGATTGTTCCTGGATGACAGGTACCTACAATGACTATGAGCAGGAGTGCGTAGACTTCCGGGTACGGTCGAAATCAATTGATGATAAATAAATTGCTAATGTGATCAGCTATCTGAGTACATATCTTTTTTGGTAACGGCCGTCCATGTATGTATTTACATGTACATCCAGTATATATAGCCTAGATAAATTAAAGGATACATACTTTCAAGTGAGATGGGAAAGTTTTCAAGATTCTGTGTGTTTTGCTGGTTACGCAGATACATAACTTGAAATGCGAGTAGTACATGTATGTAGCTTGTGGAAAGGGTCGACCAGGCTACATACCAGGATCTAACCACCACCGTATATAATTGTATGTACCTCCCCTCAATCCCCTCTCGCTCTGTCCATTAGCTACATACTACACCCGCAATGCCGTCCTGCTTCATCCCCACAACCTACTTCAACTCGGACCCCGACACCTGGTCCCTAAGGGGCTTCTTCGCCGCATCAACCTCGTCTCCCATAGAAGGTCTCGAGCTCCAGCACGTGGTCAACGTCTACGTCCGTACGCTCTCTGAAATTGCCGGTGGTAGCCTCGATAGCCAAACTAGTGGTGGTCCCAATGTCCAGGGGGACAGTGGAGTCACGGAGGCTGCCAGTAGGAAGAGGGAGTGTGCTTCTCTCCTGCTCACGGCTTATAAACAGGTGTGTTTCGGAGCAGCACCCACCTCGGCCTGGCCTCTATATACTGATTGTGGACGGCTGGTATGGTGTCTAGGGGACCGACCATGCTCTTGCGCGAGCTCTATGGCTAGACTACATGGCCACCACCGGTGGAGCCGCAAGCGAGGCAGCGGCGGGGAAGCAGAAGAAGAAGCCGAAAAAGATAGCCAAAAAGCGTCCTGCGCGCGACCTACCAGAATCACCCCCGCCGCTACTGCCCTCATACGCAGAAGCCGCCGAGTCCTCCGACAATAATCTCGAGATACTGCCTGAGGTCCCCTCGAAGCGGCGGAGGGTGGCCTCCAAGTCATAGTAGGCACCGCGATCCCGGCCTCCAGCTGTGCGTTACTAATGTTTTTTTGTGATTTTAGTCTGGCTGAGTTCGAGTCTTTTTATGCAGCCATGGATCCATTGCAGAAATGGACATTGACAACCGGCAAGGTGGTCGAAGACGCCATATACGATGCCATTACTACCACCGCGGTGGAGAGTGAGCGGCTAAAGATGTGGGTCATCGATGCCTCAGACCCGGCGATGTCTGTAGTATTCTCGAAAGAGGAGATTGCTGAGCTACTGGAAGGGCGGACAGACAGCGTGAACGGCGTAGAAGACGTGTGGGATCGCTATAGCGCCGTATGTTACCTTTTATTTCCCCCAGATGGCCAGACTACGCGTATGCTGACACTGGGTGACTAGATCACCACAACAAAGGGATTACGGAGTACTCTATTCGGTGAGATCCCAAGGCAGGGCATAAAAGAGGAGTGGATTTACGGCGTGATGCGGCAGCTGTATGTATCTCTCTCGCGGGTAGGGGGCCGCTATTGACAGCGGCGGTGTTCTCGGGTCCAGGCTAGCGCTCTACGAAAACACATCCGCGCCGCTTAAGAGCGCACAGCTCGAGAGCTGGTACGAAATAAATCTTTGGGGGCCGCTGATCGACGCTCTGCTACTGCGGACAGTGCCAGACGTTGTCGTTCTGCGGAAAGAGTCGACCTCCCACGCAGCAACAGTGTCTCTGAACGTGGCGCGCACCACTACCGGTCCGGGGAGTTACGTCAGGACGGGGGCCCGCAGCGATTTGGTGATCCGTGGGGTAGGTGTGGATTGGCCGCTGGAGTATGGTGCGGGCGAGACAGGAGGGAGATTTGCGGGCATTAGAGCGACCAAGTATATCGTCGATGGGATGAAGCTGAGGGGCACCATGAGAGGCATGTTGAGCAGGTTGGTGGACGAGGGGAAGGCGGGGAAGGACGTGGCGGTGGTGGGTGTCCTGTGTTCAGGTAAGTGAATAGAGGCGGTATCTGAGGTTGGGGCTAATGAGGGGGGCGATAGGACTGCGGCTCACGCTGCTGGAGATGTGGGCGCCTGAGGGGAGGTATATGGGGGTAGTGAGGACGGTGGGGCCAGTGGGGGTGCCGGATGATGTGAGGAAGTTACCGAGACTTGGAGCGCTGCTGGCGGCGCTATGGGTTATGAAGGTGAGTTTTCCCTCTGTGGAGGATGGGGAAAAAGACAAGGTACTAATGAGTGTTGTTCTGAGAAGGAAACTGTTGAGGGATGTGTTAAAATCATGCACAAGTGTTAATTGGAACTTGGGGGAGGGTGGTGGTTAGTTGCGATTATGTCCTTGGTTTTTGCGAAATCTGATTAATAGGTTACAAAGGATTATGCGTTATGACTGTGTCGGATCTTGTATATCATGTTGGTGAATATATCAGGTATGCTGCGGACATGCACAGGTGATATAAACATAATCTGCTCCAGGCTGGACGGAATGTCAACGAAGCAGACATAATAGCAAAGAAACCAAGTATTTGATGACGATTCATCAGATGTATTTATGCTTGCCCATAGGAGCATGTATCGTGCTGGCACATAGCTCAATTGCAACAACCCCTCCGCATCAAGATGCTAGGGTGTAGACGTACCCGAGAATGTCCGCCAATGTCACTAATTGGTCAATTTTTCGTGCTCCTCCATCGAGTGTCCGCCCATCCATAATGCGAATAGAAGTCTGTTGGAAGATATTGGTGGGCGAGACCGGTGAGGGAAACGAGTGATGGGGGGGTGATTGCACCGGGAGTGGGAAACCGGCAGTCGCACATAAATACTCTACAACCTCAAGGGCGTACTCTTCTGTCTGTCGACATCTTATTGGCTGCTGTAGGTAATATCGTTTGCGCAAATTCAGTCGGTTGTGGTTACTTTGAGGCGGGCGCGGTACATTGAATATCGAATCCACAGGTTTCTGGATATCACTAACTCCTGTAGTACTAGTACTGTCTTATAACAGTGGTACCATGCTTCTAGTAGTATATAGACATCTCTGTAGACAGTACAGTAGGAGGGACACTAGTTTTCCGTCGTTGTAGTTATCGGCCCGAGTGAGCTAGAGTATTGGGCCTGCAGGGATTGAGAGATAGACGGAATTCTCGGTATGCAGGCCGGTATGTATTCAAAGTTGAGGAAACTGAAAGTGAAGATCCTGTATATATCTCTTGTAGGTATGTAATATTCCGAGTGGGTCCCGCGGTTTGAGCGAGTGCAACAACAACGCAACTTTATACGGCTGATGATATTGTTTGCGCATACCTGTACTTTGTATTCCAACTTGATTTATGTAACATACAGTACTTGATCTATCAACATTCGAGTTCTCACTACTTGTACCGCTGCGCATCCGAGACCGGCTGCGCATTTCGTGATGCATGAAGTGTTACAGTCCGGCACTCAATTAATCCAATGGCGTTGCAGCATCACATTTTCTACAAAATCCATTCCCTCTCGGCAAACACGATGCAAACCACCGAGGTGTTATTCTGGCAACATCCGAAGCTGCCGTTATTCCCGCCCAGCTACTTATTTAATTATACTCCTGGACATCATCGTGTTGCCTTCCTGTCAAAGAATACATACGAAGAGACATGTCGACGTCAAAGATCTTTCGCATCTCGGGACTCCCTCTTGAAATCGATATCGACACATTACGGGAAGCTCTTCGGCTAAAGCAGGAGGGCATTGATATAAAGGCAACCATCTCTCCATGTTGTTCTGATCCTGGTACAAAAGTCGCAATTGTGGAATTCAAACCATGCGCTCCATCTTATTTGAAGGATGTGATTTCCGGTGCGAGACCCGATCACCAGATAGAGATGAATGATGACCACGACGACTTGAATATCGACATGGACTTTTATGGGCTTACCCAACTATACGCCACTCCGCACAAAGCAGACATTACTGCAGAGTAGGATACTACTGAGCTATCTGGCTTGATTCACTCGGATAAGATGGCGCAACAACTAACATTATGTGATGTAGTATTGTCGCAGTGACAGGCATTGCCGGCCATGCGTTCGGGTCGTGGCGAGGGAAGGGCAACTTGCGAAGGATGTGGCTGCAAGACTTCCTCAAAAAGGACTTGCCGAGATGTCGAACCATGATTTTTGGCTACGATTCAAGGCTGGATAGCCCTGGTGCTCATGAGATGCAGGATTACAGGGACAATCTTCTGACGGAGCTAAAGAAGGCTAGGACATCAGACCAAGTAAGTATCCAGAGTTTCTCATTGGCTTAGGTGCAGCGGGGAAAGAGAAGGATCATGTTGGTAGTTGGTACATGCGGATACATGTCTTTTTACAGTACGAGAATTTTGCTACGGGGTTTAAGTCGGGCCAATTGAGCGGTTTTAACTTCTGAAGTGAAGATTTCCGGAGGTTTACTTCGTGGTCCAAGCGCTTCATGGGCGAAACCTCATCCCCTTTCAGACTTCTCGATCGGATACTACAGTTTATAGAACCTACAGCCATTCTTTTTTCTCAGTTTTATCTCGCTGTACCATTTTCAAGAAGAGGCCGCTAACTCCTGATAACCTATAGGAGCAGAATAGACCCATCATTTTCATTGGTCATAGTTTCGGGGGAATCGTAATTACGCAGGTAAGTATATATGTCCATTTGCCGAAGTAAAGATATGTGAGGGATCACCCGAGGACCGAACATACATTCTGACGGATAATCAATATTCCAAGGCTCTTGTAAAAAGCCGAGACTCTAACCCGGCCTCCGACCCCGATACCTATGCAATATACAGGGCAACTTACGCTACTCTCTTCTTTGGCACCCCCCATCGTGGTTTTAACGTGAAGAGTCTCACCAAAATGGTTGATAGAAGAAAATCGGAAGAAAGACTTAGCCTCTTGAACTCGATTGGAACCGACTCACCACTATTGGAAGAAGGTTTAAAGAGGTTTCTTACTTTTGCGCATCAGCTGAAAGTAGTGAGCTTTTATGAAATGTTAAAATCAAAAACACCGGAGCAGGTATTATTTCGGTGTGGACTCATGGTAGATTCCGGACGAAGGTTTACCAATTTTTAGGTTACTACAGGATTCGAAAGAATAGGTCCGTATGAACTTTCAGTTCCCAAAGAATCCGCTTTACTTGGGCTCGACCCCGAGATCGAAAAAACGGTGGGTGTGAATAAAGATCACACACAACTGGTCAAGTTTGATACCAAGCAATGTTCGGCTTACAGCGACACCATTGCCCATCTAAAGGTGTACCAAAAGAATTTATCTCTCCCAGACACCGGTAATCAGTACACCTCGTACGACTTTTCACCCCAAACTAACATTTAGTTATAAAGGTTTTCTCTCGCGTAGTTCAACCAATACAAACTCGCATTACTCTCAAGACACTACTGGGAACTTCATCGCCGCCTATGAGGCCATCGAAAGGAGCGATGTTGATCAACTTGTCATTTTATGTGACTCGAATAAAATTAATAGTGAAAACGTAAACTTGAGGCATGACGATGGTTCGACATTACTCCATATCGCTATGTCCACGAGGGATACGAGTAAGCGCCTCAAGATGATTCAATCTCTACTCGAGAAAGGAGCGGATTTGATGGCCAGGAATGAAAACAGAGTGACACCATTGGTACAGGCAGCGATGAGTGAGCAGAAAAAGGGGGTACTGAAGCTATTACCTCCTTGGTTACCAGTAAAGGATCTCGGGAGAGATCGTAGGGGATGGTCCCAACTACATGTTGCAGCCGCTTACGGCAATGCAAATGCAGTCAAAATCTTGGTTCAGCTGGGGTGGATATTGAAGCAAGGAATAATGACCTGTCTACCCCACTCCACGAAGCCATACGGGCCGGAAACAAACCCACGACAACAGTGCTTATATCTCTTGGGGCAAACATCCAGGCAAAGGATCGGAACGGCACGACAGCGCTGGATTTAGCGGCGCTTGAGGGAAAGGTCGAGCTAGTGGAGGTGCTGCTCGTTAATAAGGCGGATGTGACAGTAACAGACATCGAGAAGTGGACGCCACTTCACTCAGCTGCTTCTCGAGGTCACGAGCCTATAGTGACAGTACTGCTAAGCCACAAGGCATCGATCGATGCAAGAGACTCTCAAGGCCAGACGCCTATCTACCAGACGATAAAAAATGGGCACCGAGATTTGAGTAGTCACCTATTGCTCAAGGGCGCTAACTGGTCAGTCTCCGATAGCCATGGACGGACGGTGTTGCATTACGCAGCAATGGCAGGAGATGGTCATGTGGCCAAGATGTTGCTAGAAAAGGGCGTGGATGTTATGGCAGCAGATGAGACTGGCAAGACAGCCTTGCATTGTGCAGTCAAGAGTGGGCACAGTGGTGTGGGTAGAGTTCTCCTGGATCTTGGAAAGGCGGATGTTACTTCAGTCGACAACAAGAAGCGAACACCTCTACATCACGCCGCAGGGAATGGACACTCTGACTCGGTCGAGATGCTTCTGCGCCATAATGCACCCATGGAAGCAAGGGATATCCACGGATCAACACCACTTTTATATGCTGCCAACTCTGGCCACGAATCTACAGTGACGATTCTCGTAAATGAGAGTGCGGACATCAATGCCATAGATGACCAAGGGTGCAGCGCGCTACATTTAGCGGCAAAGCAGGGACATCTGCAAGTGTTGATACAGTTGGTTCACGAAGGTGTAAACGTGGATGCGACAAACGTCAAGGGTAAGACAGCACTGCAACTTGCGTCTGACGAGGACAACGATAATATAGTAAGTGAGTTGAAAAAGGAGGGGGGGTCTCGAAAGAACGTGAAACACAATGTGGAGGAGGAAGAAGTGAAAGTAGAAAAGGTGGAGAGAAATCGAATTCTTGAACACAGCCATTCGGGGAAGGCATCAGCCGACGGTGCAGGAAAGAAAGCAGAGGGCGTCCCCAGTTCGGTCTTTTACTTGTTGATACCGGTTCTTATGGCAGTAACGTTCTTCACGGTGCGATGATGTAGGAGACACGGCATGGTAGTTTATAGTAATTGCATGAGTTTATCATTTAAATACTGTCATACCGGGAGAAAAGAAATTGCGAGCTTTATCTCATCGCAGCGTATATCTGGCAGCGGAATTATGAGATGGGACCGGTTTCGCTAGGGATATGGTGATGATTGCTTTGCGGGGTGCGTTTCTGCCATTAAACTCGAGGAGGAACTGGGAACTTGAAATGATAGAGTGAAACCCTGTGTATTTGTCCGAGAAGATTATTACAAATGGCGAATCGAAAATATGAGGGTCTCTTTGATCTCTTTGATCTACGATACTGGCTACCGCGCTCTTTGTCGAACAAGGAGCTCAACCCCAATTCGACATATACTTTTCACGGGCCTTCTTTGGAGTTGGCTGTAATTTACTACAGGTCTAAGTCAACTAGATTATTTATGAGGTTCTTAGAAAGATTCGTATGAGACAAGATCTTGCAATCAATTAGCCCCGTCCTTGTCAAATATGCCCAGTTTGAACTGCGAATATACTTTTATTTATATATTCTTCACGCGTTGAGGAAAAATCGAAACAAGGCCCAAATCTGTGCGATCTTTATCGGGCGGGGTCATAGAATATCACTCGAACAGCTATTTTTGCATAGTGTTGGAAATATTATGATGCGAGCCAAGGAGAAAAGTCCTAATATTCATATGAGTTTCAGTATATATGTCAATATGTACAAGTAGTCATATATAGACTATTCTAAGCACAATATCTTTGTATAAATAAGGGCTTGATATGCCCCCTGTATTATAGTCAAAGTCTTCCGTATTTATTATTATTTATTATTATTTATTACTATTTATTTCCAACACATAGATACCCGCGGTATGAACTCAACGTTATTGCCTGACCTGTACAGCCATCGGGAAGTGGAATGAATATACATACCTAGATTAGATCCACTCAGGGTAGCTTATTGCTAAGCTCTGTACCACTAATCCTCATGACGGATATAACCTACACTGAGCGCATCCGCTGAAGGGTTCTTGACCCGTTCCCAGGTAGACTCTACATCTACATATCATTGATCGAGTCATATTGATATAAATGTCTTGGCGTCCAAAAGCATGCCATCAAGACTCGGGATATTTGGGACCAACAAACTAGGAAACCACAAGTACGTAACAAAGATACCAAAAATACTTATGAGTCCGTTCGGTTGCCACGGATTATTGAATAAACCAGCCAAGTGACGAAAATCTGTAGTTCCATTCTGGTGCGAACTGTTTGGCAACCAAAGTAGTAGAAGTCTCAATAATCCATAGATTTGGGAAAACTTGGCGAGTTGTAGAATCACCTCGAGAGGTAATTTTTGTTCGTAGATCATCAATGCCAACCACAGCCAATGATGGAAAGAACACTTTTGAGCCCCCAGAATTTACTTTTGATCGCATCCGCAATTGGTACATATGAACGTCTTCATATCGAAAAGAGCCCTCAAAATGTATCCAAGCTTTCCAGTGCAGATTACATCAGCGAAATTCTGCAGTCCGGTAACCCACATACCATAAAGAACACGTTGCGCATGCCTATCTGTACGTTTCGGAGGCTATGCGAGTGGGCAATTACATGAGATCTGCTGCATCCTACAAGGAGTATCTCAGTAGAAGAGCAGATAGCAATCTTCATGAAAATTGTAGGCGAAAATGCTTCAAATCGCGCTGTTCAAGATAGATTTCAGCACAGCGGAGACACTATTCACCGCCATTTCTACAGTGTTTTAAACGCATTCCTTCAACTCTATAAGGAATATGTCACGCTTCCATCTTCCACTACACCGCCACAAATCCGTCATAATCCAAAGCTATTTCCCTACTTTAAAGACTGTATCGGAGCAGCAGACGGTACCCATATTCCAGCATGAGTACCGAGTAACGACGCAGTCAAATTCCGGAATCGGAAAGGTGATATTTCACAGAACGTCCTGGCAATTTGCAAATTTAACTTGCAATTCTCATATGTTTTACCGGGTTGGGAAGGTTCAGCACATGATGCTCGGGTTTTACAGCATGCATTATCATCGGATCTTGTTGTACCAGATGGTAAATATTATCTAGTAGATGCAGGATATGCTCTAAAGAAAGGATTTCTGGCACCGTATCGCGGAGTAAGATATCATTTACGGGAGACATTAATGTCAAAGCACAAGTGAGAAATCATGCTACTTGTTTTCTCATTCAATGTTATGTACTAATTCTTTGTAGGCCAGAAACGAAAGAGGAATTATTCAATCTCCGTCACTCACAGTTGAGAAATGCAATCGAGCGTATCTTTGGTGTCCTGAAGCGCCGTTTCAGAATTTTATCAAATAATAATGAATACCCATTTCCTTGTCAAATACACCTTGTACTCGCCCTTACAGCTCTCCAAAACTTTATTCGAGCGCATAATCCTGAAGAGGAACTGCGGGAGTGGGAGTCAGCGGATGTCGAAATACGGAGAGAACAGGATGAAAGGGAATGTACAGTGTCAAATGTGACAGGGCAGGATGATAGGGAAATGTCAAAGTACCGTGATAGTATTGCAGAGGAAATGTGGGAGGACTATCAACACTTACTTGCTTCACGTCAAAGAGAGACTCAGAAATAGTATAAAGTTTTCAATATATAACTATTTCTTCAATTCCTTCTCGAGCCAAGCATCTCTCAACTTTCCCGGGTTCATTGTAATAAAAATTTCCGCTTTCCGGATATTCTCAAACAAGTTGATAGCTTGAATCAAGTCATCCATTTCCATCGTATCTTCATATTCTTTTTGAAGAATTGCAACAGCGTGTTCTGTTTTAGACGTACCTAGGACCTGTGCAGTGTCTTTAATCTCTAATAATGCCTGAGCTATAGCCTTTCCACTGGATATCCGTTCCCTCTTTACTCTTTTCAAACTGGGCTCCTCTTTAATTCTCTGGCTCATTGGAACTGGTTCCGCTGCCAGTGGTGTCTCTCCATCGGAACCTGGCTGTGAATGAGGCTCAGAATTTGAGGGTTGTACGGAGCTAGCGGCGATAGGTTTCAAATCGAAGATCGTACTCGGCGTTATTGCATATTCACCAGTTGCGCGAACGCCGAGAAAGAGTTCCTCTAGTTCCCGATAGTGCTTGAGAGTTTTTTTCCGGAACTCTCTTGCCTTAGGATTTGCCTAGTTGCCTATTATTAGAGCAGTCATAAGTAATCCTGAATGGGTAGACATACACTGAGGTAGCGTTCCCAGACATCAATTGGAGCGGTTGGAAGTTGATTTTCCGCATCCCAACCAAAGCCAGAATTGCTTTTCAATGCAGTAAAAACATCATATTTCTTCTTCAACTGTATCTCAATTAGTAAAGGCTGCTATATCCTAAGTTGCTTCTTACCGAACTGTATTTGTTTTTGACTTGCTGCACATCTAGTGTAGTGCCATGACCTTCATTGATGAAGTGGGCAACACGGCTATAGGATTCCTTCTTGAAACCATTCTCTGCCCGCTTGCCATTTCTCACTTCAACTAGAAAAGCATCAACTAGATCCTTTTCCATCTGCTCATCCCAAAAGGCCCTTTCTGCATCATCGCCGAGAGATTTCCGCTTGGTCATGGTTGCGCTGTTGTAGAACTATCAGCTGTCGAGAAGGTTGTGGGAAAGAAGTCACTGGCACGCTAACAACCTTTTTTACACTACCCGAACAGTCCCAAACTACTAGTACAACTTGAACTAGCAGCTGTTGACACCTCGAGGGTACCAGAAAACCCAACCCGCAAACCATAGCTGTTGCGCCCGAACGGACTCTATATATAAATCGCGATGCCAAAATATCAATCTTCCACCATTTTGATCACAACAACTGGGCAATCACACTATGCCCATTCACACTTGCCGCACGCTGGGCAATTCGTTCTCCATATTCTGTGTCCGCATTGTACTTGAGCAAGAGTTTTACCACCTCAATGTGGCCCGATTCTGCCGCTCCACGCAACGCCGTTTTACCACCCTTGGGACTGGGCTCAGCGTTGGGATCTGCATCTTGGTCCAGCAAGAACTGCACAACCTCAATATGCCCGTTCTCTGACGCTGCCTGAAGAGCTGTTCGACCACCGATACCGAGGTCCTTCGAATCAACCTCTGCTTCTAACGACCATAGGTATTCCACAACATCAAGTCTGCCGTGTTCAGCAGCTGCTTGGAGAGCTGTTCGTCCTGAAATCTTAGCTGGCTCGGCCTCAATATCCGCTCCGGCGCTAACGAGATCTGCGACAACTTGCATAAAACCTCCCGCCGCGGCCGCTTGTAGAGCGGTTCGCCCATATCGCTTTGCCGGATCGGCGTTGATATCGGCACCGCCATCCATGAGGAACATGACCAACTCGCGGTATCCGAGCTCCGCAGCTACTTGAAGCGCGGTTTTTCCACCAATGTCACAGGGGTCACCGTTGATATCCGCGCCATGTAAGAGTAGAAGTTCAACTATTTTGTGGCTGCCACTAGCGGCGGCAGCTTGTAGGGCCGTCTGGCCATAACATGGCGCTGGCGCTGCATTGACATCCGCCCCATGACTTAAAAGAAATTCGACAATATCTCTGTGTGCACTTCCAGCCGCAGCCTGCAGCGTAGTTCTACCCTCCTTTTCTGAGCATGCTGCGTTTACATCTGCTCCCTTTCTTAGAAGGTATGAAACAATTTCGATATTGGCAGATGCGGCAGCTCCTTGGAGTGCCGTTCGTCCTTGTACAGCACAGGCCGGGGCGTTGATCGAAGCGCCGTGGGCAAAAAGCTCTTCGAGAATGTCGATATGACCAGCCTCAGCTGCGGCCTGCAAAGCCGTTCGCCCTTGTTCTGCTGACGGCTACGCGTTGCAGTCCGCGCCCCTTTCAAGGAGTACCCTTACAATGTCGATGTCGCCAGCACCTGCGGCAGCCTGGAGCGCTGTGCGGCCACCAGTCTCACTCGGGACGGAATTGATATCGGCTCCATTATCGAGAAGAGTCGTGATCATATTAGCGCGTCTCAGAGATGCCGCCAGTTGCAAGGCCGTCCTGCCGATTCCTGGCAAGAATTTGTTGGTATCGATCCCCATGCCGATTAAGAACTGAACAATTTCGACATGTCCAGAAGCAACTGCAGCGTGGAGAAACGATAGGAATTGGCTCTCTTGGGTTGAGGAACTGGTATCATTTGTGGTAAAATTCCGATCGAAAGCCCAAGTTCCCGGCGCCGAGTGACTTCCTTTTGGTTTAGCCCGGATGCACAATAGGACTCTCAGCAACAACGTATATCCGGCCTCACATGCTCTAAGGCGTAAGGTATCTAGGTCTCCCAGAGTATGAGGAGGGAGGTAGTATTGAACATCTATGACGCGTTCTTCCCCCAAGAGCATGGCCAAATTCTCTGCAGTGCGATCACTAAGACTTACCCCTAGAGATATAAACTGACTTCTGATCACTTGAGCTTCCGAGGCTGGGGTGCAAAGCACTGGTAATGAGTGATCCATAAGCCATCGATGCCTGAGAGCGTCGGCCGCGCTGGGCCTGCTGTTCGGATCAGGAACAAGTAGTTGTTGGATGAATTCAATGCAATTGTATTCGATAGAAGCCTCCTCAAGGGGAAGGACCGGAAAGTCAACTCTATTATAGCAGAAGTCCTCGAAGAGTCGGTAGTTAGGAAAGCGTGATTGGAGTGGTTGATCGAGGCCAGTGATGTCGGATAGCTCATCTTTTTCAAGGAATGGTATCTCAAGGGTCATTAGTTGGTGGACTAGGCACCCAAGCGACCACATATCTATTGCATGGGTATACTCTGCTGGATTGCGAGGTCGAAATCTTGGAGGAAGAAGCCCAAGAAGTTCTGGTGCTTTAAAACCTTTAGTTCCGACCTTTGTTTGGAAAGCGGTACCTCGATTTGACTTGGACACTCCAAAATCCGCAAGCTTTACTCGTATCGGGGAATCGCAAGCGACAAGAACATTCTGTGAATTATTAGTTCTCGGTTTCAGAAGATGAAAAAAGAATATAAAGAATAAAGTGGTAGCTACCTGTGGCTTAAGGTCACGGTGACATATCCCTTTATCGTGTAGGAATGAGAGAGCCTCCAATATTTGACGTGTGATCTCGCTCGCCTTTATCCGCATACCGTGACCTATATCCTTCAGGTGTGTCCCCAGGTCTCCTTGCTCCAGATACTCCATGGTGAGATATATGGAACGCCTGTCCTCGTACCACCCTAGGAACTAAACGAATAAATCGACGTTCTACGAAAAGATTAGTTCTGTGTTGAATAGATAATATAGGAAGTTAATTGAGCACTCACACCCTTGACTTCTATCAATGTGAGGAGCTCTCTCATATAGTTCACTTTATTCTTGATGTAAATACTTTTCGCTATCTCTTTCACCGCAATCTTTGTATCCGGCATGAATCTTCCATCTGCCCACTCTTCTTTCACTGAGACGATGCCCATATTTCCAGATCCCAAAGTCTTTCTTTGTTTTAAAACAGCATTCCTACCGCAGCTCATTTGGAAAGAGTCGGGAACATCGATTCTCTGTCTCCATCGGTGAGGGTATGTTGCCCGAACTAGTTTCATAACCTCGGAGCCCAAAGCTTTCTTTGGACCGTCGCGCAATCTCGGGTGGGGGTGCAAGTGCGATTTCAGAAACGATGTCCAGGCTTCATTAATGGGGGATTCCTCCAAAGGTGATAATGGGAGGGTGATAACACCAATGCAATAATCCGTCAGTTTGGATCGATCGAGTTTGATGGGGTGCAGGGTATCTCCCGCCTCGCGTGCCCCAAATAAATCTTCTGAGGTCAACATTTTATGTGTCAGGCACGCCAAAGACCACATGTTCGCAGCTATACTTGGGGCAGTGGTGGCCGGTACGTCTCCTCCTGCTCCTCCTGCTCCTCCTCCGGGCCCTTCTGGTGGCTCGACTCCGATGCTGCGCATGAGATCCTCTGCCAGGCGCTGCACGACTTCAAGGGGAAGATTGTGTGTGCGCACGATTATGGCTGGGAGGTCTGAAGAGTAAACCCCCCTGAGATGACGCTGTCTACTAGCTCTGGGGCCATGTAAGGGTGTAAAAGCGACTCCCCTGACCCAAACTCACCTAGGAGAAGCTTGACCCGCATAGGGAACACAGAATATACAAGTATATTCTGTAATACGTGGTGCTTTAGTAATGTTGATACAACTTGTATTATCCTGAGGGAATGGGGTGGGGGTTGAGGGGTAGCGCTGGTACCTTAGGCGTCAGGTCAAGATATGATATTTCGTTGTCCTCTAGATATGATAGAGCAAGGAGAACCTGGTTCGTAATCTCACCGACTTCTTCCATTATATCTCTTCTCCTGGCGAGTTGTCCTTCAATAGCTTCGTCGGAGCCCATAATACCTTCCAGGGTCCCATATTTTGTATAGTCTGTTACAAAATAGATGGATTTTTCATCTTTGTACCATCCAACAAACTCGGCGAAGCTAAGCGGATTCTATATTGAGACGCTCATCAGAACTCAGTATCTGTAGAAAGGATTATCTATCTACCTTTGATAATATATTCAGCATCTCGACCTCGCAATCATATGCAAGTTGCCTGGCACGCTGTACTTCATGGTTCACTCGCTTCACCAACATGACATGTTCAGATTCCTCCGCCTTGAAAAACGATACCTCTCTAAAATGGCCGCACTTTGTCTCCGGCACCTCTGGCACCTCTGTCCACCGTTTGCCTATGTATCCAACACTGCCAACTCCTAAAATCTCCATGTCCAGTTGGTACTGAAAATGGTCACGATTTGTAATCCAACTGTGACTCAAAGCATCTTTAATAGAAATTCTACTTCCGATATCAAGCGATGTGAGTCCAAGGATCAGGTTTATCGCACCCTTACTTGCACCAAGCTCTCCAAGTGTTTTCGAAAACGCAGCTGGTCCATCCTTCCGGAGATCAAAGCTCAAGCTTTGGCTCAGGATAGAGCCAAACCCGGCTGGGGAGGCGAAAATCCAGTATAGTATACTACCAATAGACCTCATACTACTACTAATCGGTAGATGTACCAGGGCGCCGTTCTATGACAATTAGTTTTGATATAATCGGTTGTACGCAATTAATGGTGTATATCCTGGAGCGTACCGAATCTAAACATATGGAGTCGATATTGCCTAACTTGATCTTGACGGGTGATAAGGAAGATAAGAATATATCCTACCGACCGCGATAGATTATAAGTAAGAGTCTCTTATCGGGGCATTTTAGCGGTACCTTTGGATTTAATGGGCCAGTTGATAGTCCAATCTGATAAATAGCCTCAATGGCTTGAAGAAGTTGCCTTGAAATCTCTCGGACGTTTGATTTGGCGTCTAGGGTGGAGCCAGTAACGTATTCGACAAGATTTCCCTCAGCGAGAAATTCTGTTAGAAGACATATATGGGATCCATCCCAATACCAGCTATCGAACTTTATGAAATATGCATTAGATATCTGCAGATGTCAGAAACGTTTGTCGAGGGGCTAGTTATAGGTCCGATCCTCACTCACCTCTCGTAGTTTAATAAGTGCCTTCACTTGAGTTATGTACTTTGGAATGGTGTCAGTCATGTGGATCTTTCTAACAACTCTCAACTGAGGTAGAGAGGCTCTGCTCTCTTCAATATATCCAATTCCGTCCAAATAATTCTCGTAAACCTTAGTAATCTTCCACCTTTCGAATACAACCCGTCCGTCCCTGCTTCTACGCTGCGATATACCGTCTTTAAGGAATTCCGTTTGAATGCGAGAGGAGTCTATTTCCTTCAACCTCGAGTCATCTGGAGGTGGGGCCGGGGAAAAGGAAGAAATATGTAGAGCCTCTAACACACGGCGAAGGTTTCCATCTGTCACGGAATTGAGAGAATTGCTCTGTCAGAAACTTCATATAGTTTTATTGGGTAGAAGAGATCACAAGAAGCGCACTTGGCTGATAGAAAACCGAGCGACCCGCGGCAGACGCTTCGCTATATAGGACGCCGTCACTTGAAAGAGAGTCCTCAATGGATTCCGCTAATACACAGAACCTCTCCTAGTGAGATATAGAAACGTGGAGTGGGAAGAAACTCGAAGAGAAAACATACACAGGAGGATGAATTTCAACTTTAGCCTTTCGAATCTGTTCGAAAGACGTTCGCATGGGTCAGAGAGACTTTCATCTGACTCTAGAAAGTCAACAATCACTCTCTCCTGAAAAACGGTTGAGAGTTAGCTTGATACCCATGCCTGACCGTAACTAGATAGGTTTATGATCCAAAGTGGAGGCGAGAGACCATACTAGGGGTAAATGTTTTGACCGTTAGGTTTTCTGCCCGTGCATCGAGGTAGAGATCCAACTGTTCAGGCAATACTCGGAATAACGCTTCTGAGATCAGTCAGACCACCACATCTCTTAAAAGATTTAGAAGATTAATCTTAGTACCGAACATGTACAAGTCATCTAGGTTACCCTTAACTGCTTAACTGGTTCTTTGATGTCTAGCCTCGCCAAGAGCCGATAAATCCGATTCGTTGCTTTGGTAGTTGCTGTGGCAGACCTGGAGGTTAGTTATCGAACTTACATGTACGTAATGTATACATATATGTAGTTGTAATGAGCAGGTGGGAGAACGCACAAGAAGCACTATCTCGAGCTAAATCAGGAAAATAGGAAAAACCATAGGAATTTTTGGGACGCGGCGCTGAAAACCTCGATCGCGACGGCGCTGGGTCACGGTAACGTCGCATTTGAAGATGTAGATTCACCGGGGCTTGTGTCTTAGCTTAATGTTACGATTTGACCTCGGGATTATGTATTTATGCTGAAATATTTTGACGGAGAGCACTAGGAGTAATCGAGAAACCTTAAACTGACGGATACTTGACAACGATATTCTGTGATGTCTATCTACCGAGGATATTCTGTGATGTCTACCTACCGAGGAGAGGAGGGAACTGTCCTGGTATTTATAACTTGGAAACTGGGGGTGAACATGTAGTAAATTTGGGGGGGGGAAATATTACCTGTAGTTTAGAACTGGAGTGCCAACATATCCTGCACCTACGATAACGGGAGATCGCAAAGAGAAATCAGGTACATACAGTCCAGGATATAAAACCAAACAACATTCTCTATGAGAAAAAAGAGATGGTCACCAAGCACTGCCGAGCTCACCCCGGCACCACGAACTCTATGCGGCGTGCGGCAAGAATTTACCACTGTCGCGTGTTGTGAGCGTTTGGCGACCTGTTGAGCCACGTAATTCGGTTCAAGTTTCAGGTGACGATTTGCTGCATTGCAATGTGTTTGCATAGAGACTTTTAGCCAGCACCTTGGAGCAACGATCAAAATATTGTTTATTTTAAAGGATACAACTATGTAGCCTAATGCTCAAGATTTCCCTCTCAGAGTAATTGTGAGGCCATGCGGGCCAAGGAGCTAACGCATGTAGAGTGGACATTATGAATTGTTTGTTCTGATCGAATGAAAAGCGGGATATAGCTAGTCGGAAATACGGATAGCTCAGCAGCGTGATTTAAATAAAAATAGGCGGTAAGAAAGACTCAAAGTACTAATCCTCAAAAATATTGGATATTTTTCACTGGAACCACGAGAGAGCCCAGCTAACTGGCAAGCTAATGTATACTTATCTATCTGGGCTGAGCCTGAGCTTTTCAAAGATGCTTTGGGGTGCGCATGCCGTCAAAAGGTTAACTACAATACAGCTGAGACCAGGATGATAGAGTGTTTTAGATGTTACACCGACAGGTTGAGAAACAGGGGTCTAAAAACAGGGTTTATATGGCTGGGCAAGCCAATAGGACTGCTCCCATACTTCTACTCGTTTACCACGAAAAGAGCCAGGGGATATATACAAATGGTGGAGACAAGGTTAATTTGCATGAAAGATCACCGCCACTCCGTGCAATTGTAATCAGATTCAAACTTTTTTATTTCAAAGCCGGCTTCTGCTCTGGATAAGCTTCAGTTTTGATATAATATCTTCTGCTGCCAGTATTTTACGCCCCGTTTCCGAGCATTCAAGCTATAAACGTCCGAGTTCAAAAATAACTACACCCCTCAAGTCTCTGTATTGTTGCACGCCACTGTCAAGCCCTGTCAATTTGCGTTGAGCAGCTAAACATGTGATAATAGTACTTAACTTCAGACAGACAGTCAGAACACACTAGAGCAATTGGTGGTTGTTTCGGGAATGAGCATCAGACTAGGCAAAGGCATACACCGCCCAACACATATCCTACTGGCCAGTATAACCTTAAAGTGAGAGTTGTCCTCCCTTGGTCGGTCATCAAATCTAATGTATATATAATTGCTTGAACGCGTCACTGTTGAACAAAATCCTTGTGATGGGACACTTGGTGTAGGTATAAAGGAACTAGAACCCAAAATTGCCGAATCTGATTGAGGTTCACCGTTCTGGTGGAAATAATGTATTTTCACTAAATGATTTATTGCATTTTTGGTTGTTGTATCCGAATAGTGTTCTGCTGTTTCAGGATTCGGACCTAATACATGATTTTGTTTAGCAACTTCATTTGCTGATCTTGGTTGAGTGGGGTCTGTATGCGAGTCATACATAACTTGCATCGCCACTGGTCTCTAAGAATTCTGTTCTTATCAGGTCCCTGAAATAGTAAACCATGTTTCCAAACCCAGCTAGTTCGTTGTTTGACTTTGGGTAGAAAAACTGCTGGGATTTGTCCCACGTTAGAGACGCGTCCCTCATTGGGATGGACAAATTCACCCAGGCGGATTGTGCTGTATCAGCTATAGATTGTTCGTAGACTGAACTAGCCCCCGTTTGCGAGTTGTTTTCTATCAAAGACATTTTGGTACTAAAAAAATAAACCTGTACGATTGATATTTTCAAGTTTAAAGTGATTGTTGTTAAAACTCGTCGGAGTCTATAATTCTACATCTCTTATACTGATAATCATATTTTAGGCTAAACCTCTTTTGGCTGTTATGCAGTCCATGCAGTCCATGCAGTCCGTCGCAACAGTGGACTGTCCGAGGTAATAGCACCGCGTTAACTGAGTTACAGCCTTTAATAACCAATAGACCGTGGCCGGATCAGCATTAGTACGAGAACTGCACAGGCCTGCGAATAACTTAGCTTGAGACTTTGTGGTTGTTTATTGATCACCCCCGTTCGAGAATAACGAAAGACTATCCCTAACAACCATGACCTACTCACCGCCAGCTAATGCTATATTCCTTATACTAGGTGTCTCTATCCTCTCGTACATCTTGACTAGGCGTGCTCGGCTTCAACAGAAGGTACAGAGAAGCTTCGAGGCCCCCGAAGCCCCGCCAAACACCAGCTCTGAACTGAGTACTGCGCTTGAGCAGAGCTTGGTGCTTGTTCCAGCTGTGCAATCCACATCAACACAAGGAGATCAACATTCACCATCCCATTCTACTATCCATCGACCGCTTAATGGCCCTATGTGCTTTCGCATATCTGGTATTCCTTTGGGGTGGAGTAGTGAAAATGTCAAGCAGGCGTTGAGAGATATCGACCCCATTGTCGAAACGGAGAACGCCGAACTGTCCGGACCTTTTCCAGACTGTTCTGACTCTTCACAATGTGCATTACTAAACTTAGATTTCTGTACTGATTACTTGACGTTCTCCGGGCCAAATGATGTGAAGCACATAAGTATTACAGAAGATGGAAAAAGATCTCAGCTTACTATCGACAAACACTTTTACGATTTGACGCCAATGAACAAGCCCGAAAAGCCAATTGTCGCAGAGTGGGTAAACCCATTCTACCTGTATCGATTGTATTCATACGTAAAGACGTTTCAAGTGCTGACATTGGTTCGGCGGTTAGTATAATTGCTATTACAGGCCTCGGAGGCCATGCTTTTGAATCTTGGAGAAGTCGAGCCTCCACCGATCGTCCCATCCACCGCCCAATGTGGATACGCGACTTTCTACCAGAGAAATTCCCAAATGCCCGAATAATGACATATGGATATGACAGCTGTCTACTCAATCCGAACAGGGCAAGAATGACAGATTACAGGCGTAACTTTACGCAATCTCTCCGTAATTCTAGACGCGATTGCTCAGTATGACCTATGCCCCTTCCATTGCCCCCATTAAACCTCAAATACTGCCCTCTATCCAATACCTATGCCCGTCGAATTTACAGGATCGACCAATTATATTTATCGGACATAGCATGGGGGGACTTTTAGTAATTCAGGTCGGAGTTCCTTCTTATTTCAATAAGTCAATGTCTAATTTGTTAATCATCAGATACTGGTGGAATGGAGTCGAAATTCACGGCAACATTCGCTTCGCGACTGTATTCGTGCTATCTTCCTGTTTGGCACACCTCACCAAGGACTTCTGACATTGGAGCTTAGCAAGATAGTGGATGACGAGTTAGATAACACCAAAGTCCGGGACTTGCTTGCCTAGTTAAAAGAGGGATCGGAATTTCTGGAGAATCAAAAAGAGTCTCTGACTGGGGTCTGGAACGCATTCAAAGGGAAAATTATCAGTTTCTATGAAACCGAACCGACAAATTCAGTCAAAAGGGTAGGAGTACTCACTGATTTAAACCTTATTTTGGGGACCATCAAATTCTGATATTAGCAGTTGGAAACCGGGCGATTTGATAGAATTGGGGGCCCTGTACAAGTGGTGAAACCATTCTCAGCACAGCTCTATCTCCCGGGAGAAGACTGCTTTCCCATCATATCCACTCATACAGACATGGTAAAATTTGCTACAGCGCAAGATAAATCGTTTCAGACTGTTGTTACGGGGGTGAAGGCTTGCCTTGGTGTGTAATTTCAAAAGAATACATATGCCATCGTTGAACCTCATGCATGAAGTGACTGATTTTCCAATAGCAAAATCAGATACGGATATCATCATCAGTCTCCTCGGGAAGTTAGCGAGTGTAGATGTCGACGAAGACTTTTAGATCAATCCCAACACGTGTCTGAGCCCAAAGAGCCCCGCCTAATGAATAATGATCCGGAGACATCTAAAGATGGTTTTTGGTTCTTCAATCATCTTGACTAAATAAGATGATCTAGGTAGGGGGGGGGGGGGTTACCGGCTTCTAATTGCCAATGGGCATTCTCGATTAAGTTACATTGCATCTCATTATGCACGGATTCATATGAAGAATTGGACAGGGATTGACTTGCTGCTATGCTTCTTCTACCGAACCCTTTCGTGTTTACCCTCGACAGATGCTGGTGGTAACAATGCCCGTGTTTTATGGACATTATTTAGACAGATCGTCAGCGGTTCTTCGAAGGAGCACCAACAGTCTCTCTTTGAGCTGTTCGAACAATTATATCCTACATGGACACAACCTCCTGGTCTCGAGTGAGATCAGATGGCAATCTAACCCTTCGAAGAATCTTGCGCATTTCTTCTCTTTCGGCCCCATGGGAAGCAATGGGAGTAGTCCTTCGAAAGCTGCCGGGCACCTCTCAGAATAGTGACCTTTATCAAGAGACTTCAAAAAGTGAAAAGTGCAACCTGACGCTGGTTCTTGATTTCGACAAACAACCTCGAACCGAGTGTCTTGAAATTATAACCAGTATACGTCGGTTGGGGGAGTTCCTGCAAGGAGATTACTTGACGGTCAAGGTACTCCTTACAAATCTACCGGCCATTTATGATCTTGAGATAAGCCGTCCATGGGAGGAGTATATTCACTATGATAAAGAAAGACAAGGTTTACAGAAAAGCTTATTCTAGGTGCATTCACATCAGCTAATGCGAAGCAGATTGTCTAAAAATGCTCCATGTACCAACCTCGCGGTATGAGACTATTTCCGCCCACCACGAGAGAATATTCCCCTGGTTGTGGGAGAATGAGGATTATCTTTCATGGACCTCTCTTGGGCCTAAGGATCCAGGCTTACTACTCATAGAAGGTAAGCCAGGCAGCGGAAAAAGCACATAACTTCGGTATTTAAAGGACAATCTCAATCCGTCCTGTGAACGCGATCATCAGTTCTTTCTTCTATAACGCCCGCGAAAATCCAGGGCGAACCCATGAAAACATGCTTCGAAGTTTGTTGTACCAAGTTCTGAAGCAGGATGAAACATTTTTCGTTCATTTCCAACGAAGGTATCGCGAGTCTAACACGGGGGCCGCTTGGTCTTTGGAGAATCTTAAGGCGATACTGAGGGCATGTAAAAAGCACCCTCTCCAACGGACGCTCTACTTTATTGTGGACGCTATCGACGAGTCCCATTTTGACCAACGTCACGAAATCGTTAAATTCCTACTCGACATATCGGGCGTGTTAGAAAATGATGCAGGCTGTGTGATCAAGTTGATCATCAGCAGTCGGCCAATTAATGAATTCCAAGATCAACACTACACTGGAAGGCGTATAGTCCTTCAGAATTACACCGAGGGCGATATCTCAAAATACATGCACTTTTGCCTCGAGCAACCAGAATTTGCAAACTAGAAGACCATTAAGGCAAAGATAGAGGACCACATCTTGAATCATTCACATGGAGTATTTTTGTGGGTACATTTGATCATGAAAGAACTGGAAAAATATGCTAGAATCGTCTCAACACCGAGGGAATTACTGATGTTCCTGAAAAGCCTTCCTAAAAGTCTCGAAGATTTCTATGAGCTCATACTGAAAGGATTGGAAGATGACAATCACAGTATGAGAGATAGGAGAGATGGAAAGCGAATTCTACAATTTTGTTTACTTTCTCACCGTGGTCATGTGGAGCTTAATGAGTTACATAACGCACTTGCGATACCTGGTCTGGGACAGGACCCCGAGCCCGACTTCCGCAACTGGCAAGAATTAGATCAATCGCCTGACATTTTAAAAAGGGTAACCCATTGTGCTGGAGGATTTATCGACATCATATAGTGTAAGTGTTAACACCCCGAATAATCCTTTGCTGCTAGTTCGTTCTCTCATTCATCGCGTTTTGCAGTAAACAATACGATTACCATCGCATAGATTATGCACCAAACAGTACGGGAGTTCTTTGAAAAGCCAGCTGAGTGTGTGATGAACTCGTCCTTTTATACCGCTAGCTCTCAAGATGCTTCGGCGATGATTATATTAACATGCATTCGCTTTATTGAAGTTCTTCATGAAGAAATAACCAAGGGTATGTCTTTTACTGAGGACATGCTGTGGGTCTCGGCGCATGGCGGAGATTTCCTCAAGTACCTAAACGAAAGAGCTTTCTTAAGGTTTTCGCTGGGGTACTTAGCCCATAACCAAGGATCCATCCCTCGTGAAAGTTTGAATAGATGGGAAGATTTTCTCGCCGCTCTTCGGAATAATCCGCTTTCAATCACAAATATGTTTTTTGTACGATTTACCGGCCTTGCGGCTACCCCTAAACACTTAAGGGACCTCAACGATTTGCTGCTACTTGGTGCAGAGATTGGATATGCTACAGCCGTTGGAATTTTGATTAGTGTCCCGGCGGAAATTGAGTGCAGGAACCTCAAAGATCAGACTCCCTTGCACCTGGCCGCTCGAGAGGGTCACTGCTCAGTCGTGAACGTATTACTGGATGGTGGCGCGTCCTTGCACACTAAGGATAGGTCGGGAATGACGGCCCTACACCTCGCAGCTACGAAAGGACAAGGTAATGCTATAAAATTATTAGTACACCGCGGCGCATCAGTCAATGCCGAAACCTGGTTGTGTACAACTGCACTACACGTGGCAGCTCAGGCTGGTCATGAAAGCATCGTTGAATTTCTGCTTCAGCATGGTGCGGACATCGAAGGCGCCGATGCCTGCGGATTGAGACCATTACATTTGGCCGCGATCGGTGGAAACAGTGTGGTAGTTCAGCATCTTATAAGGCAAGGGGCATCTATCAAATCACACAATCGTTATGGATACAGCGCTATTCATGTCGCACTCTTGTACGGACAGGTGGCAGCTTATAATTATCTCGTTGATGTCGGGTTTAGCAACCAAGAACCCGAAGGAAAAGAGGATTTGAGCTCGCTATTTTCGGCTGTTGGTGATTTTCGCACAGAGACCTTTCAATCTGGCCTCAATGCTCTACATGTTGCAGCCCTCTATGGACACGACACCGTCGTAGAATATTTGGTAGCGCACGGAGTCGAGGTTGATGTTCGCAGTCAATACGAATATTGTGCCCTCCATCATGCCGCTCAAAATGAGCATGAAGCTGTCTGTCAGGCGCTCTTAAGGCTTGGAGCGAGCGTTGGAGTTCTTGATCCAACTGGGAAAACTGCACTTCATTTAGCGGCTCAAAATGGCCAGGAGCGGCTCTGTGTAATATTTCTTCGTCTTAATGGGGTCAATATTGAAGCTTTTGACAACGTAGGAACCAATGCACTGCACTCGGCGGCCCAAAATGGACATGATAATGTTTGCCGCCTGATTTTGGATCATGGTGCCAACGTCAACATTGTTGATCGAACTGGAAAGGATGCACTTCAATGGGCGGCTCATAATGGCCATATAGATGTCTGCCGTGCGCTCCTAGACCGAGGGGCCTCTATCGAATCGCACGACCATACCGGGAAGGGTGCCCTTCACCATGCCACTCAGAATGGCCATGATGACATTTGTCGCTTACTCGTGGACCGGGGAGCATGTATACACCATCAGGGCGAGGAGGACTCCGCTCTGGCTCAATTAGCCACTCGGAATGGCAATGGACACATGATAGATGACTACAATCTTCCTTTCGTAGGCGATCGATCGATTCCCTTAATTTTGGATGAGGTTCAGTGGGTACCGGCTACGCGTAACCTGACTGGCATAGAGTATTATATGAACCTTCACCAGGAAATCATTACTCAATCATATGGGGAGGAGAGTGAAAGGATTTCGTCCCACGACGTTCGAGAGGATCAGTCTGTCGATGATTTATGGTGGGAGGTAACAGATCAATCAGAAAGCACGGAGGTTGGAGATGATCCTTTGCATGGCAATTTGGCGTTTGGGGGTGGTGGGCGCGTAACGGTTCAAGAAAACCAAGATGAACCTGACGGCGTCAGTCAGATCCACCCCGTAGCAGAAGACTACATGGAGTGGGATGGATATAATACAGGTGTACCCCGCTTGGAGCCGCTGGCCGACCCGCGACATATTCCTGATTCCGTGGTTATGGTTACAGGAGTGCACGCAGACCGGATCTACCAAGATAAGTCCGGAATATGTGCGCAGCTACACCGGGCAGCTCGCCTTGGGGATTCAGGTCGTTGCTTAAACCTTTTAAACCAGGGAGCCTATGTGGGGTACCAAGATAGCGATGGACTCACCGCACTTCACTATGCCGCACAAGATGGTAACTTGGAAATATGTCGAACTCTCTTGATCGCCGGGGCGGACTTAAACACGCAGGATTGTAAGGGATTCATCGCTCTTCATTACGCAGCCCAAAATGGGCATGTGGATACCTGTGATCTTCTGGCCTCGGGGGTGGGCAATATAAATGTAGGTGTTCTTCACCTTGCAGCCCGGAATGGCCACGCGGAAATATGTGCCACCCTACTGGCCGCGGGAGCGGATGTAAACGCAAAGACTCCTACTCACGGACTCACCGCTCTTCATTATGCAGCGCAAAACAGCCATGAGGAAATATGTGGTACTCTCATTGGCGCAGGGGCGGATGTCAATAGAGGGACCGATGATCGACACATCCCTCTTCACTATGCAGCGTATAATGGCTCTGCAGATATATGTGCCAGGCTACTGGTCGCAGGGTCGGACGTCAACGCGAACGCTGATGGGGAAATCACCGCTCTTCATTATGCAGCGCAAAATGGCCATGTGAACATATGTGTTACTCTCATGGGCGCAGGGGGGGTGTGAATAGAGAGACCTATGACCGACTCACCCCTCTTCATTATGCAGCCTACAATGGTCGTGTAGGTATATGTCGCCAGCTACTGGACATGGCAGCGGATGACAGTGCAGGAGATCCGAGGGGACTCACCCCCCTTCACTGTGCAGCCTTAAGCGGGTATATGCCTATCTGCAGCACGCTCCTAGATAGGGGGGTGAATATGTATCCAAGTGCTGGGTCCGGCACTAGCGCGCTTCACTGTGCAGTACACAATGGCTCTGAAGTGCTGTGTCGTTATCTTGTAGACCACGGGGCTGAAGTCAGATGGCGTGACCAGACAGGATCCACTCCCCTTCACATAGCAGCTAGGCATGGCTTTGTGAATATTTGCAAATATCTTCTAGATACCGGAGCCAATGCTCGCGATAACGAAAGTTTAGGATTCACTGCGCTTCACTGTGCAGCTCAAAATGGCAGTGCGGATATATGCCTGATGATCCTGCATGCGGGAGTGGATGTAAATACTCAGGCGCAAAATGGTCTTACTCCTCTTCACTGTGCGGCGGGAAATGGTCATGCCAACCTTTGCAACGTGCTTCTGGAATATGGTGCGAATCCCAATAGCAATGCTTACAACGGATCTACCCCCCACCACCACGCAGCCCAAAAGGGCCAGTTCAATGTTACCACCACTCTCTTAAATGCTAGAGCCGATATTAATCATGTTGATCAATATCGGGTTACAATTCTCCATCACGCCGCAGATCATGGCACTTTGAATATTTGTAAAGGGTTCCTGATGTTAGGCGCAGATCTCGAGGCACAAGATATTAATGAACTCACCGCCCTCAGTTATGCAGTACGCAAAGGTCATACTGCTGTTGTGCAATACCTGTTAAGTGCCGGAGCAGATTTTCGTGCAACTGACAACCTGGGATACACTGTATTTCACCAGGCAGCAATGAACGGTTCTTGGGATATCTGCAGGAATCTCTTGTATGTCGGGGCTGATTTCAACAGTCAGGCAAACGACGGAACGACTGTGCCAGGCTGCGCAGCACAAATGCGTTATGACGAGCTCTATGAATTCTTGGCTACCGCCGATACATCTGCAACGAAAGATATATTATCCGCCTCACTTCAAGAGGCCGCCGAGAAGGGCTATTTGCGTTATTGCTATTACCTTCTTGAAGCAGGTGCGGATGTTCACAGACGTGACGAACGGAAATACACCGCACTCCATAAGGCAGCCGCTGAGGGACATAATGTCATTGTTCAGTGTCTCCTAGATGCTGGTGCCGATGCTGATTCGGTAGACGCTGAGGGAAAATCACCTGTTGATCTAGCGTCGGAGCGTCGTTTTAATTCAACAGCACGCATTCTCAGTTATCATAGGAATTCGGTTCGTAAGGATGGTGGGAGGTTGAAACATGAGGCAAAGGTGAAATATCCAAGACAATTCGCTACGACGAGGGATGTAATGGAGGGAAGGAGTAGTATAGGAGAGGGGAGTACAGCTCAGGCTAGAAGAGAGGGTTTCGTAGATCTGCAGGAGATGATTGTAATAAATGAAACGGATGGAAGGGATCCGGAACGGTTACAAGGCAGGTTTAGTAGCAACCAGGCGGGAGATGAGATTATAAAGGATTGGTTGAAACGTTGGTACATGAAGCAAAAATTCCGTATGTCGAAAAAAGGGAAGGAAGTGGACAGATAGTTTGGTTCTTGAGTCACAGTATATAGTAGTTCTAAAACCTGTCGTACTATACATACATGTATATATTATGAGTTATAGAATGTTAGCTAAAACACACTGTTGTATGGCTAATTTTGTATCTTGCTTGTGTAAAAATGTGTGTTTGGAATTGACTGCAATCTGATTCAGTTGGTTACTTCTTAGGGCCTGAGTAGTAGCTAGGTGTTTAGAAACAACCTTCTTGCCAAATCTGTCGTGCTATCCTTGACCTCGCGCGAATACTAGCTGTAACGGTTAGCTAGGTAAGGGGTAGATACTATATAGCCCAAACCGCATAGTTCGATATATTGCAAGCTGGGCCGCGGTGGGCGGCGGCGGTGGCGGCGGTAGCACGTATTGGCTAGGCGTGGGGTCGGTGGTGGGGATGAGGGCTGGACCCTGGGGGGGGGGGCAGTGGAGACGTGGTGGTGTGTTTGCATGAGAGATACTCCGATATCTTCGAATTCCTTACATGGAACGCCTGAAGGGTTTATTCGTTTTTTCCCGCCCCCAGATACATGTAGCCAAGAGGGATATCTTCTGCTTGATTGTATATACAATACTGATACCCGATGTTTGACCAGCAGCACTGCGGACGCGGGGTGCGTCATCGACCATCACTCGTAATGTCAAGCATCGTGTGGGAAATCATAGGCCATCACTCGGAAGCCAAGGCTTGGCATTTGTTGGAATTATGTTGCGAGCCTAGGAGCAATGTCCTAATCATATGAGCGTCACCATATATGTCAATATGCAGTCATATATAGACTGTTCTAGGCACAATATTCTTGTATAAATAAGGGCTTTATATGCCCAAGGTATTATCCCTTCGTCTCTTAAAGCTGCTACATTATTATAGAGGGATTAAACTTGTATGGGAGATCTGTTATTTGATAAGGGAAGATAACAAGATTGTTAGGAAAGCCACACAGATTTGCTTTTTCTTGTGGTGGCAGCAATTAACTGACAGACGAAGGGATGGTCACATAAGCAAATCAAGCAAGAAAGCCAAGTTCTTCCGGATTATTTATTATTTATTATTCCGTATTACCATTTATTTCCAACACCATTACAAGGGGTATTTGGATCGTGCAATTTGTGTAGTGAAATCTTGGAGTATGCTGTGTGGCTTCAAATATCTCTGGTACAAAGTTTGGAATTGCTTTTCGTTAAACCTACCGCATTCTCATAACCACTGGGGTAGTTATAACTGTAACTCAAAACTCACGGTCGGCTAATTATCCCCGAAATACTTTCACCTGTCTCATCAACTCACTTCAGCAAAGCTCTAAGAATAAGTACAAAAAGCAAGCCCGCGGAAGACTCACCCTACTATATATGACACTCCGACATAATGGGCATTTCACTAAACTGTTTCCGAATATGGCGCTCTCGCGAATCCCTAGGGTATCGCAACAGCTCTACTCACTTCAATGAGTAATAGGATCGCGCTTTGGAAGAATATAAGGCCATACTTCGCATAGAATCAGATGTCCACAAGGCAAGAGCACTATATTTACAATCTCACTATAACAGATTAGACACTCCGCATTTACAGTCAACCCAGTCAGACCCTCAGGCCAGGGCCAAGCGCCTTCCTCTCGGCCGGCCACAGCGTCCCTAAGTCGTAAATCTCGCTGGATTTCTAGTATGACGGTCAGTGCGTTGCCGACCAGCTCCTGATGTTCTCTCCCGAATCTTTCATTGTCGCCAAGCCTCGTTCTGCTGAATATAGTAAGGAAAGCTGACGCATCCTCCGCTGCCTGACTGAGGTCATGTGTGGCAGCTGATTGGGGGTGCCTATGAGCTATCCCCTGTACCCACGTGCCGCATAGCGTGAGGGACAGGTATAGCACTGCGCGGTGAAGAAACAGCACTCCAGTCCAAAGCATCTGGCACAAAGAATAAAACATCAGCGTTATACAAGGGACGGCCCTTGTATAAAGGTGATATACCTTTGATTTACAGCGAATGAACCCTGGAAGAAGGTGGTCCTGGAAATATCCATAGCTCAACCGAAGAAAGGTGTAGTCAAACTTCAGGTACGAATTCTCTTTCACAAACCACGAAATCCATGCTGTGGCCAAAAAGAGGAACAACAAACGGTCGAACATTGTGTCTACTGTGTCTGGTGTCAAGTCTGCATAGGTGGAGGATTGCATTCGAAAAGCAAACTGCGGCGGTGATGCCCGTAGAATGCGCGCGATATCGAGCCATGGTAAGTCCATCATATTTTCCTTCTGACAAGCAGCATCATGCATTAGCAGAAGGGGCACCGCTGTCTCTTCGTATAATTCTTGTAGCTCTTGAAGGCGCTTTCGGTGGTAGCCATCGCCTATGTGGTCAGCTTATCTTAGAGAACTAACCTACATAGGAGCTTGTGAGGGGCAGGCTAGGGGCATTTGTAACACTGTAATAAGTTCGGGATGAGTTACTTAAATGGTATCCAAAGCAGAAGGCGCTGAGTCCCAAGATAAACTTGAATTAATACTCAATCCCCTCGACGATTCCCAAAACAGAAACCCACCTCGTCAGTCCTGCAATGCTCACGAAGGCAATGCTAATTGTTTTGCTATGGCCCTGCACATAAAGCCACAACGTGGCTCCAAATATTCTGGGCAGTGGAGAGGCTTTCTGCGGCATGATTTTGCTGGCGGCGTGGGTTGGGGAGTTGGAGTGCTTTCCTAGCTGGGAGGGGGTTTTTTGCAGGGGATTTCCCGTTCTTAAGCGGCGTAAATATTCGGAGAAATTCATAGAAGGTAGCGGTTCATTGCTTCCAGCTTTGAATAGTTGTGGTGTGCTATGGTGTAGGTAACTGCGGGGAGGACACCTCCATTGATTCACAGACACAAGGTGTCGAGTTCTGCGGAGACGCTGAAATATCTTGGACATTCGATTATTTCAGTATCTCAGTATAACTACTCTAGGTAGAGACCGATGGTTAAAGGGTAACGGTAAACTGATGGGTTAAGGCGGGGTTAAGGCTGCTAAGTAACCGCCTGAGTCACGTGACATTCTAATTTAAGCACCACTGCGAAACCCTAACCCAAACCATCGGAGAGACACACGGTTAGTGCGAATTGGTATAATAAAACTACTTGTAACCGTATGGTAGCTGTGATCTTTTGAACACGGTTGATGTTCATTCTCCCATTGGGCTGATACACCTATATCTACCCAAAGGTCAAGGGTCCTTTTTTGATAGTAGACCTCATGTTTCCGACACCGACTCTACCTTCTCTTACATGGTCTTCAGGTATACACTACGCCTCTTTCGGACACTTTGACATTTCTCCAGGAGGGCTTAAGGTACACTAGACCCTTTACAGACCTACCATAGCCTCCATTCACCTTTTGAGGGCTGGTTGACGTCATGTTCCGATTTATGACTATCTACCCCGCACCCACCAAGCTCGCTACTCTGTTGCCAGTACTTTGGCAAACTCAAGCGTCGACATCCTACCTCTTAGTGGACTCGTATTACATTCTCAAATCACTGACTTTACCACAAATTCTGGCGCTTGTTCTGACGCCTCCTGGGACGCTGTAGTACTGGTTTACTCAGGAAGTCGGTTCACTCAGGAATTTCATGAGTGAGCCGTTTACTCAGGAAGTACAATATATACCGCAACGTCACCAGTCTCTTCAGGAAGCACTTAGCTCACTCATGAAGTGCTCGTAACCAAGACCGCCTTAAGTCAATTTCCATCAACTTGTATCAATCCCCACATCTCGGGCTTCCTGGTTAGTAAAACGGCAAAAATGGAGGGTACTACAAGTCAACTAGCAACTGGTTAATACAGAGAGTATAGGGGCAGTGCAATTATCTTCCTCCAGGGCATTTTAGGCTTTAAGACTTTAAATACCTCAGAAGAACCTCTCTCCTGGACGTGGCGGCCCACCATTGATACCACCTGGAGGAGTTATGTTCCGTAATAGCCAAGAAATCCTGGATAAATCAGCCACTCATGGGACTTCCTGAGTGAACCGACTTCCTGGATAAACTAGAACCAGACTAGGACGAGAATAAACGAGGACGACGTACCTTTAGGGTGATTTGAAACCTCGCCTGGAGCGCCCTCATGGACCACACTGGATGTGAAATATGTCCCGGCACACGTATAAATAGCAGTAGTCACCGATGGTCAAAACAATATCCTCCTTTGATTCGTTTCACCACGTACAGACGAGTCGTAATACGGTCAGCCTACAAACGCCTTCCAGGACGTCGCCTTACATACTATTGGTAGATTTGCTGCCTACTAGGATGCCTCCTCCGACCTCGATTTACTGCCTATTTGAAGAATTTCCTGTCAACTTCAGGTGCCCGTGACGCCTGACACCGCTTTAGAATAACCCCAGGACAGTACGATATCCCAGGGAGCACATCAGGGGTTTGGCGCTAGGAAATGTTTGTCACTAGGTACAACTACGTACCTCAACTACGCGCAATGAAGTCATCCCCGAAATCTCATAATAGTGAATCACTCACCAGAAGAGGTTTGATGGATGCAAACCATTAGGGCGACTTCAGTGGTGCGCTCTTTTGTCCAGAGAGTATGTGGAATCGTGACTTTAATCAGTTACACGCTTACCATTAGCGAAATTATGTTTCTCAGACTACTCTTTAATTTCCTGATTCTTCACATTTCATCTTTAAATTTTCAACCTTTAGCAGGTTAGTCCTTATAGGCCTCCGCACCTTGTGAACTGATTGGCGGTTTCTAGGACATGGGTTAAACCTATTTTCGGGTGTCACTTGGCGCAGAGCGCCAAGAATTCTCGACATGCTTCGAAGCTCCGAGAGGAAACATTGGTTGATTGATTGATTGTTGATTACTCATTTCCGGATTTTGCTTCTGTATAGAAGTAACCAAGAGAGAAATCCATTATTCCGAGATTTAATTACTACACGCATCTCGATCATTGGCCCGAGTGATCCCTGGTGATCTACGCTTCCGAGCACCCTTCCAGTCACAGGATGCTGAACTATTTTCAATATAGGCCATCCCTCAAAGAAACTTCGACCAAGCTTGTAATATCGGAGAATTAGTTTTGGTTGTGCACCTAATCCGAGTATCAAGTTGATTACACTACATGCCAAATATGTACACCAATAGGACCAACAAAGGAAAGGGAATGTGCCTTCAACGACAACGGACGTTGTGAAAGCAGCGCCTGAAGTTGGTACATCGCAGACCAAAAGGCTAAAGAAAGTAAATGGAACACATATCGTAAGACCACGAATGGAAATTGTATAAGTCACTTAACCCTCCTATATAAACAACAGGTTATTGCCAGAGGTATCTTTCCGATCTCGATCCCGCAACCCCTATAATCCACATATTACTCCCCCTAGGTCTCTTTCCCAGCCGGCGGCCCGGGATATGGCATGATAGGCAGAGCTATTGACTTTTCCTTCGCCATGCACTGTGTCGTGTTAGCCAAGGATATACTAGAAAGCTTGCCAGTGTTGACAATTTGTCAACGCTCGGAAACTGTCAGTCTGCAACATACCTCTTTGGTCTCACTTTCCTCGTGCTCAAAATCTTCTGCAGATAAAGATCTCCCGTTCAATATGTTCCCCATGTGTGTTGTAGTATAGCTCTGCCCTTTGCGACGCATCCCTACTAATGTCCGCAGAAACGGCACAGGACTTTTGGTGAAGGTTGAATCTTTCATCTGGAGTGGTTTACGACTTGACTCATCGACAAAGCCATCACTAGCTATTTCCACGTTCTTTCCCGGGGGCCGTGCCTTCAAATACAGTCCCAAGAACCCACATATTCTTTCGTATGTCTCATAGTTTGAAAAGTACAACTGGCCAGCAAAGATGTTGACCGAGTCCATTAATTCACGGTTTAGTTGCCATGACTTAGGTGGTCGGGGGATTGTGCAAAGGTCTAGAGTTTCGTATGACGGGCTAGCCTTCGCGGTTCGTGGAGAATACATGTGTAGGACGACCGACCGCGACTGACGTATGCGAGGTAATAAGTCATTGACCTCGTAGGGACTTAGGATAATCAAGGTCGAAGGATCATGATTCATGGATAAAATCCAGTTGACAGGTCGAATATAATCGTCCGACCTACTGTCACGCTTTCCCGCGATCACAGTAGCAAAATCGATTGTTGCAAGAATTTTCTCGGGCCACGATGCCAGTTCAATATGCTGATTGGCCGAAGTTTCGCGGAGAATTTCGAAGGCGGGAATAAAGGTGCCCCGTCGGCGGGCCTGTGGTGGCAGGGACCCATCCTCTACCAAGCCTTTGAGATCTTCCGTGACCTGGTGTTTCTGAGGGTCGGCCTTCGGGGGGCGCTGTTCTTCTCGTTCACACTCAATCTCATGTGACAGCTCCCGCTCTTGCTCTTCAAGCATCGAAGCTCCACCGAACGATTTCACGCCGAACTCCTTGCACTTTTGCTGAATTGCAGTTAACTCACTGCCGTCTGCTCTTTGTGTTGAATTCCATGATGGTAGGATATCACCCCTAGCCCGCTTAAACCCGTAATGTTCCTCCAGCGATTTTGATTCTTGCTCAAGTAAGATCTGTGGAAATGACAGTCTAAGCTCATTGCATGCCTTATACCGGTTGGTATGACTGATGCCTTGCTTTGCCCATATAGGCAATAGTTTGCGGGCATTATTACAAGTTTGCGTCATACACCAGTGCAAAACGTCCCGGACCTCAATCGACTGACGGCCCGCCTGGTTAGCCACTACAAGGATTTTTCGATCGACTTCCGGAGGCCCGCAAAATAAGACTGAATGGCCGTTTCCTAGTTTTCGCATTCTCATACATGCTGAAAAAAGTTAGATTAGCAGTCCAGAGATCTTCATGAGGGTAATAACCTTGTACAAGCCTATCCTTTGTCAAATTGGGCCCGAGGGTTACTGCCGCTCTGCTGTTACTCGGGAGCTTGAGGTCTGTACCCCGGGTATGCGCTTCATCAAGATACACAAGGCATCCATCCAGTCGTTCGGCGAAAGCAGAAATCAGGAGTGGCTCCGTGGTTCCATCACGAGTTACTACGGTCAGCTCGTCACTGTCGTTGAAATATACTGCAGCCTTGGCGTCGTTCTCCGGTACCATTCCCAGCCATGCTTTCGCAACGTCGTTGTTGCGCAACTCCAATACCTGAGCTCCAACATCCAGTAATACTTTAACCCTCGGATCTCTCTTGTTCTGCGACTCCAGTGCTTGAGCTCCGGCGCCCGGTAATTCTTTGACGTTCGGATCTCTCTCGGAATCTGTTAAGATCTCTAGTAACTGTTTGACATTGAGCCGTTCACCGCTAGTTCCTGCGGTCCGCATATAATTATTCTCAGGCTGCAATAGATAGCTAAGGACTTTGGCGTTGGTGTTGAGCTGCTCTTCCGTGTCGTTTTGGGTAATTGATAGGGGAAGGAGGTATTGATTATCGTTGGTGCCGCTAAAACCAGTCGTTGGGTGAAGCTCCTTCTTCTCAGCTATGTCCCAACCCGACGTCGAAAGCTTCTCCGAGAATTCCTTAGCTTCCATAGGAAAGACCACCCCGGAAAGATAAAAGTCAATGACTGCTTTGTTATATTTAAAGGTAGGAAAAATCTCCTTCTTCCATTGGTTCCTATCCTCCAGGTTGATGGCGTTCAAGTATCTCAACTTGAAGCTATGGTTAGTTACAGAAACTCCTTTCAACCAACGCTCATACTCCATTGTTGGATTATCGGACTTATAGACATCACGAAAGCAAATCTCCAGCTGACTTTCGCTCAATCCGCCATAGTAGTAGCTGAGACAGGTCAGGGTTATTGCAACATCCGGATGACTGAACTCCGACTGCCCAGAAGGTGAATCCTTTGCCCTATAAGGGACCGCAAGCTTCGTGGGGCGCTTTGGATCGAGGCCATAATCGACCTTCCATCTCTTATCATGTAACACATACAACAATATTTTGTGAGCAATGAGGCCTCTTAACAAATAGAGAATACCGGTCGAGACAATATTATCTTGATATTGTAAACGTAGAAACACGCACTCTTCCTCCCGTAACGTTGGATCTGTAATAAACCTTTCTGCCATTTTTCGTAAATGCTCGTGCAGGAACCGGAAAGAAAGTGCGGGGAGATAATCTGTACAGTATCATAGAGCATTGGTCAGCCACCACCTTCTGCGTACTGTGTATCCTCGTTGCAAGGGGATGGGGGTAGGGGGTTTAGGGGAATACCTGCGACGATCTTGGAGGCAATCTTTTTCAATAACCTTTGCCCCGCAAAAATGCTAAGGATACGTATTGAGTCAAAACCACCCTCATGTGAAGAAGGTACTACCTCAAATTCTCGGGGGTCGAATTTTGCCTCGCGGAGATGCTGTCTAATAAGACCCAAGACCTGTTGGATAACAATCCAGCGATCAGGATAGCCTTCGATAGGTCTTGAATTCCCAATGGTGTATATTAGTTCATGCCGGATGCTTAGAATCTCGTCACTTTCGTCCAGGATATCTCTTGATTTTTTCCTTAGCCACCGCTGGGTTTCAAGTAGCTGTTGAGCAACTATGCGCAGTTCTCTTGTGGCCCCGGCGTCGGCTTTGGGCGCTTGTTCAGCGTTATACAACCTCTCCAGCCCAAGAAGCTTGAAAGACAATATGTGCTCCGGCTGGGCCAGCAAAATGCCCCCGTTCTCCATACACTCCTCAAGAAGAGCATGAACTGTCCTCGCCTCATTTACTCCTATCTTAACCCCGCGGGAGAACGGCAGAAAATAAACGCGGCGGTTAACCAAGCCCCCCAGCCTTTGGACCAGTGTTTGAAACATTTGCCCTATCAGTGGCTTCAGCACGACGACTCGGACCAATTTCTCACCGTCGGCAAGGGAGGCGGCAGCAATTGGGACAATGATCGAAGTCTTGCCTTCCCCCATACAAAGTTGCATGATTGTATTGCGACCTTCGTCTGGTGAGATCATCTTGGACGCTATGTCTACCTGAACCGGTCGCACAAGTAGGTTATTCTCAATTTCCATTAATAACCAGTCCGTTTTCTCCATTTGATTCCAGTGCTCATGCCCACAGTTTTCCAGTTCCTTTAACAGGTCCGAGGAGGCCCCTATTCGAGCATGATTGAGGAGGCGCTGTGTTCGTTGTAGCATAGAGATTGCTTTACCGTAATTGACGAGCACCGTTCTCCACTCATCATTTAATTGGACTCCTCTATTCGTTGCTAATTGTTGGAGCAACAACATCGGTGAGATCCGTGGCCATAGGCCGGCTCTGTATAGCATCCAACCTTTGTCGTTTCGTTTTGGAAGAAGTCTTTCTCGAATAGCATCAAACAACTCCGTTAAATACTTCTTACACTTGGCTTTGGAAGATTCTAAGATGTTTGCCGGTGGTAGCGCTCTGCCACTTTCCGCAGAAACAGGTAAATCTTTCAGAGCCTTCAAGCTCTGCTGTAAACCCTTAACATATACCTCCCAGAAGCCTCCCCGACTCTTTGACTCAAAATCTCGTAGAAGTGATTCGAGACCACCATCTACAGGGGTTGCTTTTGGCGAGTGCTTAGGGGAGGCAGAGTCTCGTCCAACTGTAGGAGGAGGAGGCACGAGTAGATCTGGGGGGTGTACGCGGAGTAGGTTCTCGAACGGAACGGCGCTGTTTACAGATGAGGTTGACTCTCTGCATGGGTCAAAGTTATAAGCCTGAAAGTTTCTTTTACCCTCTGTATTCACATTGTCCAGCATAGCTTGAACCCTGAGCACATGGCGTTGGAGGCCCGAGTTCCTATACCAGTCTCTGAAGCGCATCTTGACCTTTGCCATAGCCACCGGGACATCCAATAGCGGGAATTCTCGTGCTGGTTTCCTTGGGACCTCGCAACGCCATTGAGAGACCATTGCATCGACAAAGGAGTCCAATTGTTCCTCCAGGTTACTGCGATAAGTCTGGTGTCGCCGAATACAAAGTTCAATTTCGCTCTCATCAACATTGGGCTGCAGGTCTGCCTCGTCGCTGTCTCCAAATCTCGTGGCACATCCCTCGAGCGCGTCACGCAAAGTTTGGGCATCGGGCTCGAATCCTTGTTCAAAGTCGTAGGATGGAAAGTCAGGCAGTCCCAGCGATCTAAAGCATTCCACCGTAGCAAACGCCAGTAAGCTCTCGATCAAGTCCATCTTCGTCTTTCCTGAATATGCAATTGTACTGAGCAGGAATAACAATCTGTAAGTATCACGTTCCTTGGTGCTCATGGTGAGAGACTGGTACAGCTCAAACCAAACCTCCGCGAGATCTTGGTCCAACCATTGCTGATCATAAACAAACTCAATCGTTTCGCTCCTAAGCTCTCCCCACCTTTCAAATACACCCATCAAGTTGGAGCAGACGTTCAGTCTCGATGGCCAGCGCTCCACCAAGGCAGAGATGTAACAAACATGCGCTTCATCCAGTGACGTCTTCTGCGGCACATCGCGCGCCTCGTAAACAACATCCTTCCTCTCTGCCCCATTGGAGCCGCCAAATTCATATGTACGGAAACCCGCGTTACGGTGAGCAGCCCTCTTCAAGAGCCTTGGCTCGCGGGATTGCGTGTTGAGCGTTGGGGCACTCGATCCAGACCCATCACCGCCTCCTTCCACGAATATCTGAAAGCGACTCGCATGAGCTAGAACATCCCTCACAATGCTGGAGAACTCCTCATGCTGTGCGATCGGGGACAAGCAGCTCCACGTTACTTTCTGCATAGTCTTCATATGCTTCGGGTAATAAACACGGACGGGGGTCAGGGACTCAATGAGCCCAAATAGCTCCGCCTCTACCCCCCAATCTCCAGCTTTTGGAATGACCAGGTTGCTGCAGCCCGAAGTAGATAGAGAGCCTCCTCGGTCCCCGTCCGACCGGTTAGATTATCAGGCAGGCACGATGCCGTCACCGCGTGAAGGTATATTTTGTAAAGGTGACTGGCCAAGCTGCCGTTCCCTACCAGCCGACCGAGAATGGGGTCAATGGTGTAGATGTGATATTTTACCCTGTCTTCGTCGACGTCTCTAGTATCGATCTCAACCCTCACATGGTGATTCTCATACGGCTCGAACTTCACCTTGCCGTATGGGATCAACACGCTCCGTATGGACCCCTGACGCACAACAAGCCGGTTCCCTAGCCCTGTCAGGGTTCCAATATTCGGGTCACTATCAATGAACATGCCCGGAAACTGTCGACACTCCAACTGTTGGTCCCCGTTGATAAAAAAATCCAGTTTGAGCCGAGGCAGATGCGCTGATACCACTCCACCTTTCCAGCGTACATCGATATAGCTTTGGTATTCCAGCGGACTAAGCATCGAGTTGATTGCCGCTGTTGTCGCACTTCGGACATCAATCAATCGTTGATCTGCCCCAAGGTGGAGCTCACTCGGAGCAAAACCGTTCGTATCGGAGATGTACCGACTGTGTTCTGGAACCCATGGTTTCTTTTGGTCCCGCAATTCGATCCTATTTGTTGAGAGATCCAGCCAGTGCAAATGGTTCGCAATAATGTGATCTGGGAAGTCACCATGCAGCTTAGCACGGGGGATAAGCTGGTGCACCACTGAGTCCGTTTCCCTCCGAGTCCGAATGATAAGCTCTTTTCCCTGCATTGCGAACCCCACCTGTACCGAGCTTGTTGGAGAAGTGTCATAAAGATTACTTTCATCTATTGCTTGATTTGTCTGAAATACCATTCCATCCATATTCGCCCGATATACATCAAGAACTTTCTGGAAAGCAATCCTTATCAGTTTTCAACCAGATAACAATTCTTGGGTCCAGCACTCACCTCGCCGAATAACTCTACATAGGTTGGGTGAGAAACATACTCCAGCGGCAGCCTACCAAGCGGTAATCCATCGACAAGTAGTTGACCCGTAAGTAGATTGTAATGCACCATCTGAGAGCGGTCTCCAGCGACACCAGCCGTGGAAACCACCATCCATCTGGCGTTAGGCTCTGCTAAGCTCTTCCATGGGGACCCAGGTCTGTATGCACTCCATACGCAAGTAAGATCTAAGCCGATTTGATCCATGAGAATCAGAGAGCGAACGTGTTTTTCGATTGCATGGGACAGCCTTCTGTCTCGATCGAGTAGAATACGTACTGGAGGAGCCAAGGTATCGTTGATGGCCGGGACATTATCGTGGATAATTGTGGCGCATTCAACGAGAATAGCAATGTCCTCCCGGGAATAGAGTAAATCGTGGAGATGTTCCTGCTCAACGTGATAGGTTTCTCGGCAGACTGCCGCCACCTGCACAATGCGAAGTTGAAGTTCTCTCATCTCCTGGGGTTTACAGTGCCGCAGCTTGGTAGATAGTTCTCGTGTCCACCCCGAGCACACCCTACGCGCGTCACGCAAGAACCTCGCAGTACCCGCTATGATGGATACATGCCTGGCAAACGAGAGGAGTTGAGTCGCCAACATGATCAGGGTCTGCGCTGCGACGACTTCTTGCCAATTTGACTCTATAATTGCGAGGAAATTAACCAACTCGGAAAGAAGGCTTCGCCCAAACTCTTCATCCTTGAGGACTATATGAGATTCTCTCAGCGCCTTTGAAGATTCCGGAGGTCCCCGGGGCCCTGCTTGCCAAGCACACTGTGAAAACAACATATTGACGGCGTCGCTACTGAATGTGAGGGTGCGGCTTCTGAGCTCTCTCAACATATTTAGCCATTGAAGCCGGTGACCTGACCGCACAAGTCCAAATGCAATGTATTCGTGAAGCTGAATATCTGCTGGGCAGTCCGACTGCCTGGATATAACTGCGTTTGGCGTGTGGGTAGTTAACCTAACAGTGTACTGCAATTTCTGGTAAGGGCCATCAGGGAGTTTGAATGTACAGGACCTCCGAATACTATACCCACCGATAGCTTGGTGGGTCCATTTTTTCCCCTCCCCGTCATAGAGTCCATAGCGCAACCCATTATTCACACAGACTGATGCCATCGTCGTGGGAAGCTTCGCAAAGCGGTAGTGAGATTTGAGAAATGATTTAGTGAACGACGACCACTGAAGTTTCTGGGGCCTAGATCGTTGAATGACCTTCCTGTACTGCTGTAAGCCGGGATAGGTGTCAAGGGTCTCGAGAGGATTCTGAATCTCATCCGGGAGGAGATTGGATGGTGTGCACACTTCAGTCAGAACTTTGTATGTCGTGTCCCTCCATATCGAAAATCCTAATGGACATCGGAGCTCGAACACTACCGCCTTCCGCAGCAGCTCCTCTTCGGGAAGAGGCATCTCAAATATCTCTATCTTCATCTTCTCTGCAGTGGTAATAAAGAGACATCTCTGGCATCTCCGGTGATGTTGCGTCCATCCCTCCTCCCAATGGGTAAAATACTCACAAGCCAACCTATCGGCTGCTTCGAGCAGGGCTTTGTACTCCATCTCCTTCACGTAAAGCTGGTCCTCCTTTCTGGTTATTTCGTTGTCCGCATCATCCAGTATCTGACGCCGAAGGCGCTGGTGGTCCTCTGAGGTATCAAAGTACCGCACCGCAAATGATCTCTCGGTCACGATATTTGAATATATAGAATCAGTGGGTTTTTGAAGTGTCTCGATGTTGCGAGCTCTTATGTACTCCTCGATGGTACGCAGGCGGATTCTTTGCTGAGCCTGAGGGAGCAGAAGCGGGGTCAGGAAGTCTTCCCCGAACCCAGGATAGTAATAGCGTAGCAGCGGGTGAAGTTTCAAAGCAATCTTATCGAGCGCGATCCAGAGCTCCATCATTGTCAATATGAATACCGAGCTCCTTTCTGGGTTGACTAGGGTCGACAGCTTTGCAGCTGAGATGTAATCCTCTATTCGCTCTCCAATCTCCTCGCAGGCTTTGCTGTAGTCCAAAGTCAAAGTGACCCACGTGTCCAGGTTATTCTTCACCCAAATCTCAAAGTCTGCCAATATAATTTCCTTGTCTGGGTTTCCCTTGAGGACACCAAGTGGCGGCAAAGTGCCTGAGGTTGTATTGATCCGTTTGGATTCATTTGGCGTAAAACAGTTGATCTTCTGTTTTGTAACCCCCAGACTCCTGGCTACTCTCAAGTATTCTTTGGTGTTGTTCATCGAAAGTCGCACATCCTTCTCGGGAGAGAGGGACTTTGGATTCCATCTGAATGGACTGGAGTAATATCCCTGTGCTTGGGTCCATCTTTTGTCTAGGGTATCGTGCGCCCGATCGCCCACCCTGCGTGCCTCCACCATAGCAAATTCAGGTAAACCTCCATTGCGCATTTTATGGACTCGACGGCTTAGCTTCGCGTTCATGACAAACAAGACATCGCTGGGAAAACCATGCATAGATAACGCCAAATCCAACAGCCTGGCCATGAGGAACACCATGAACGCTTTATACTCCTTATGTCCCTCACCAGGCACCCTCAGCGTAGTCTGCAACGCAACCCTCACGACAAGCCACAGTGGTGACCGCCGCCACGGAAACCGCGCATTGTCCCAGAGTACATCGTCGGCGATACGTTTCTCGATGCGCTGGACGTTGGCCGGGCTTCCAATCCCACGAAGGATGCCCGTAAGCATCTCGGTGATGAATTTCGGACTCTGCGTTTCCCTGTCCTCCAAGACCACAGATCCCGCTTTGGCGCCCTTGTGTGCTGCTTGATCCAGGACCTGCCGATTCATCTTCTCTAGAAACATGGAGAGTTCCTTGAGGAAGGCGGCGTTCTTGACTTTCTCTAAACTGACCGCAATCGCGGGGCCAGGGTATGAGCAACGGAGCTTCCCTACGGTTCCTACCACAATCCCCGTGAGTGGGGATGCTTCGAAGGATTCAAACACCATTGTATTCTCTAATTGACGTAGGATGAGGCCGGCGTTTTGGGCGCCAATATGGAGTGCCAAGACGTCTGTTTCCAACAAATTAACACACGCACGCTCTGGTACAGAGAGGGGACCATATCTACCTCCGCATCCCATATACTTCACTGCCTTTCTGAAAGCCTTTGCGTCAAGGGAGTTGTGTTACAGGAACTACGGAACACTGTTCTAGAGGCTTAGGACAATGAGGGATACGAGTGACGGGCTGTGATGCGAGGACGGTCGGGTAACGAAAGGACAAGCATAGAAAGGTATCGGGTAGTGTGGGAGCACGCGATGTTACCACACTAGTGTTATACTATTATGACGGCACGTTTACTATTGGGTGTCTCACCCGGAATAGAATAGGAAGCGGGGCTTACGGCTGTAGGCTGTTCTACTTAGGGAAGTAGGTCTAGGATAATAGTATGGTACAACCCGATGACTGGCAATTGCAAGGTTCATGGTTACGTGTCGGAATTAGAATGGAGGACGGGACTATGCGGGGGCGCTTTTCTATCTGGGTTATCTTCGGGAGCGTTATCTTATTCTATTATCGTTGTATCAGTTAGTATTAGAAAGCGGGCCTTGGCATAGGTTCCAACATGTATAAATAGGGCTTGATTCTGCGAAGACTTGAGGGTATCATCAACCATCAAAGTCAAGGGAATCCGGTTTACAATATCATCAGTTTAAACGCTACAGAATTATCGCTTAGCACTGGCCATTTCCCCAAACAAGTTGTTATTCTCGAGCTGACAAAGGTTCGTGAGCATCTTGACGGCTGACATCCACTGCTCATCCATGTCGTAACCCCTTCTCTCGTGATAGGATTTGGCGATGTCCCGCACAACTTTCAATAGCACAGAATTGCCCTCTCCGACGTCGGTCTCGGCTCTCTGTGGGAGCTGTGGTGGGAGAAAAACATGGTTGATGATGAAGGACAGGGAGTCCAGGTCGATATCTAACGGTATTTTGCACTTGTTAGAAATCGCAGTAACCCAGACGCGTCAAAAAGGGACCGAGGGGAGGGATAAATCTGTAGACCTCTGAACTGTGCCATTTCCGGAGAACGACACGACAGCGAATAGATGAAAGAAATTTTATTTAGAAATAGATAGATCGAAGTAGCTTGGTGACTAGGTGTAATACTTCGAAGAATAAAGGTATAGAATATAGATATGTAGTGTACTGCTCTGAGGATTATAATTACTGAAGGAATAGTGTAATGATATATCATTACCAGTACAGGGCGTTTAGCCCGCCAAGGACTTCAGGCACCCCATGATTGAGGCTCCTGCGGTACGGGCCGATAGGCAGCATCTAGGTATAGTTCTCGTTCAAAAATCATGGGACAACGCAACCGCGAGTTGCTACGGGGGCTTGTCCCAGGATTCTTGACATGGAGTTATACATACAGGGATCAATGCTACCCCTCATCTTCAACCTATTGCGAGGGAGGTTCAAGAGGCCATGTTTCGCGCGCGTATAGTGCGCGACTTTTTGGAGGTGCAAGCATCACCATAACAGGAAAGACTATCCTGCGGCAGAGTAATAGTAATTTTTTAGGCGCGTATTGCCTCTCGTCAGGTTATGGGCGGTGAAACACAAATTGATTTAATTGGATCGTAAGCATAAAACCTTTATCGATAATTGACCTATAATACCGGAGAATCCCGGGAATAACGAAACCAACTGGATTGGAAAGGTGCACTCGTCAAGACACTACGCGCTCTGGGCCGATTCAATTGAGGCTCTATGCTATTAATGGTTGAATGAGCACAATCAAGCACTCATGGCGCACCAACCCCAATCAAGTTTGTCGTATTATTCGATTCCACTCCTTGGCATGTTGCAGTGCATGGTGTTATTATGCACGTCAGCGGTCCCCTTCCCTTAATTATCCTATAAGAGCTAGCGTGTAGACGCCTTCAGTCGGGGGCGAAGGAGTTATAGATTGACCTGTTGAAGTGGAATACCTATGGTGCCGGTCTCGATAAACAGACAATCCGCGCCAATGTCCCAGACGAAGAAACAATTTATTAGGTGGATATAATCTCGTTTCAGAGGCAACTAAATTTATTTTAGTAGAATATCAGGTTCCAGGCGGGTGAATTGTCAAGAACCCTTGTTTTTGGCAGGCGACAATAGATATTCAGACCCTAGTTTGTAATCCTATATAGTCCTTCAGAAAAGAAAAAAGAGAAAACTGGAAAATAGAAGTTGTAACACTGGTGATTGCCTACAGATTCTATTTCTTAGAATTTCGACTTTCTTATTTCTGGAGGGCGAGATAGATTTGGTGCGGGGAGTTTCTGCATGCCAGATGTTATCCTGGGCCCCCTTCCCAACAGCAACCAACGTCGCTTATTGGAAGGTAGGTATTCTATAACCTTAAACCGTCAGGCCGAATTGAAATCACCAGAACATGAACCCAATACGGAAACGTGATAAAGGGTTTGAGTGCCTGACGGTTTAGGGATAGATTACTATCTGAAGACGTTACAGCCAAAACGACACCAGCCAAGCCATGGAAACTTTAAGGTCTTTCTACGACGAGGCGAGCAGCAGGTGGGTATGGGGGAGGTAGAGGGAGGGTGGCGAAATTCCTCCATGATATACCGCCCTCGCCTCCATGTCAAACTGTGGTGGGACTTGTCTGTACTAGCACGTAAGCGATTTAGTCCATTGTCATTTCTAATTGTTGAACTGGGTCGGTTGCTAACAGAGGATTGTTGTTTAATTGAGCTAGTGTTGCCATGGACCAAGACCATTGTACCATCGACATGGTCAAACGCGGAATTGCGTTGCCAGGCTCTTTATATTATGAGATATGTGGGAGGCCAGGTATGTCTTCCCACTATCAGTAGCCAGCTGTCTTGGGTGCCTACCACCAAGATGGGGAGGCTATGTCACTTGCTGACGTATGAAGCTTCGTACAAATCTCTCTCACTCCTATCTTGTTACGAGGCAACGTCGAATATTGATGCGCTTAGAAAATCGCCAGAAGTTGCAAGGCCTCTATTGATAGGTATAGGTCAAAGACCTGGTTTGAGGATTTCCTAGCGCCTCCGAGACTATGGACCTCGCTCCATAGGCCATTCCCCTTATATTATTTTAGTAGTCTTGCAATACTGGGGGGGGGGGGGCGAGGGGTGGGATGGTAATATGGATAGAACATACTAATTATCGAGCAAGATTTCTGGTCTTTTTTAATGCCTGCGATGTCTGTAAGGGTAGTGTATAGCAGCAGCCAGAGTACGCAGGCAGAATTAAAGGATGCGTAAGAAAGAGCAGAGTATATATGGGGCCAAGTCATATTGGATGAGTAAGGACAAGTGTTAGTCTCGCACTAGGCCAATTAACATGCTGTATCTCCAAGCGAGGATAAAGAGGAAGAAGGCTCTGCATTCCCCCCTCGTTAAAATCATTATCAATAGAAGTATATATCATGTGCGGGGGTACTTTAATGTCGCTGAGATAGAAAGGGAAGTGACATTGTGCTTTTTGAGAAATTTCCAGAACCCTCTTGAGCTCCGGGCGCAAACCCTCCAAGCAAACCTCCACCTCCCCGCCACCCACACATTCCCTCCAACGTATCCCGGCCTCCACCATCCTGCCCCCACAGACACGCCCACCACTACCTAAGTACATGTACTCCTCCACACCGATGCCGCCCCAGACTCGCGGAAGTGAGGTGCGTCTTTGTGTATCACTCGATGCACCTCCACCTCCCGACTCCGCCCCTTTTTTTTTCTCAATTCCCCGAATACACACCCACCTCCACCACCACCGCCTCTACCTCACGGTCGCACTACCTCCGCACCTCTCCACATATGCACGCCTCCACGTCGCCACAACCACCTCTCCCACCTCCACCTCGCCCCCGTCGGGTACACCGTCCACAAACGGCTAGGTACCGCTGAGCCACCCATCACCTCGCCCACCTCGCTCACTACATCTACATGTCCACCATGTCCACCTCACCCACCCCCCCACCCACATTACTAGCCACACCTACCTCGCACATCCCCGATTACTGTCTAACAACTCCATCTCGCTCACCTCGTTCACCCCCCGCATTACTAGCCACATCTACAATGTTCGCCCCACCCCGCTCACCTCACCTCGCCCACCTCTACCCACTTTCCACCTCACCCACTTTCCACCTCCACCACATAAAAGACTCATTTCCCCCCCCCCCCCCCCCCGCGGCCACCTCACCTACACCAAACGCCCTCCCCCTCGATCTCACCTTCCACCTCTGCCACCACAGTCGCACGCAAGGTGAGCGAGTGCGTCATGGTGTATCACTCGGTGCGCCTCACCTCGGGCCATGCCCACCTCTTTTTTTTTTTTTTTTGTTTAATTCATTAATTGCATGCTATGCCCCACCTCAATGTTACCCCACCCCCTCGAAACGTTCCTCTCCACCACCTGCTTGATGCCACACCCCCACATCCACCTCAACTCCTCCACACGTCCGCGCCCCCATGCCTCCGCCTTTACCTTCACCTCCACCTCCACGCCTCGCTATCTCCATGCCTCTAAAGAAAGCCCTCCCTCCTATAATATCTCTCTAACTCCATCCCCACCAACCCCCTCATACGAAAACTCGCCTCCGATGCTCACCTTACCTACCTTACCCACCTCCACTTCACGCTTCCACCTTTTCTACCTCCCTAGTTCGACTCTCCTACCTCAACACCACCCAGAGCATTACAAGTAAACCTTTGTGAGCGCGTCATGGTATATGATTCGGTAAGCACTTAAGCAGCTCGCCACTACCTTCACCACCCCACCTTATTGCCAAACCCCTGTCTCCTATCTCGCCCATGCCCCCTCCATACATCCCCTCCTATATGCCTCCAGATACTCCACCGTGAGCCCCACCCCCCCCCCCTACCAGCTATGTATGTAAATGAATCAATTGATTCATTTCCCCCTAAAGCGAGTTGAGTAAACGAATCAATTGATTCACTTCCCGGAGAGGATTGTGGAAATACTCGCCAACAACCGCTGGCCCGATGGTGATTCCGATTTCCTTATCAAGACTCACGTTGGCGAGAAGAGTATTTCCCTGGTGACCGATTGCCAGTTTCGATACAGCCGACTTAATGAGCAAATCTATCGAGAGCTAGGTATTACCAACAAATAGAGATCCATAGTAATGCAGTCATAGGTCATCACTCGTTGATCAAGTTGGCCACCACCGTCCCTCGAACCGAGACACCCGGTTGTGTGAGACAATGCGGCTAGAATCTCTCTTAATCACTTAATATAGATATGGCTCTGGCTATATTTGAGCCTGGGATCGTTCCTAATATGACCCAAACTTCCAATTATCACCATATATTTATTGATTGCATCATAGAACCGCACTCGGTCATGGAGTATCACTCGATCGCCACGTTTCAAAAAAAAAATACATTGCTATCCCGTTTTAGCTGTCGTGCATGTGATAGTTTCAGAATGATATGGCATGTTTCAAAAAAGCGCAAGCATATCTGCGCTATCATATATCTTGCTCGTATTAACCTTACCACCTAAAACACTACAGGAGTGCATCTTTTGCTGCTTTTGTAATCATTGGATTAGGATGATTAAAATTCATAATTTGTGAGTATCTATGAAAGGACATGCATCTTACGACCGAATACTCAAGGAATCAAACCCGTCTTTCCGTTAGATTCTTCAAGAGTCAATCATGAATTTTTGTTTCGTGATGGGCACGAGACGAGACGAGACAAGATTAAGCCAGGTCTCGTCTCGTCCCGCGGAGGTCCTGGTCTCGTCTCGTCTTGCACTTTTAGTAGACAAAGTTCAAGAAGAGACGAGACTTGACAGGGTCTCGTCTCGTCTCGTGGAGGTCACGGTATCGTCTCGTCTTGCTTAGTCTCGAGACAAAGTCCCGAGACGTCTCGTCTGGTGCCCATTACTAATTTCGTTCCGCTAGCTTTTCCAGGCTACACCTTTCTATATAGCCTCATGACGGGGATTCTCAATACACGTCTCCGCACATAATGTATAAAATGTACTCTATAGTGCTTTGGTGTACTTACACGTAGATACTTACACACCGGTCCTCTTTGTTTGTGTAAACATGGTCTATTTGTACAAATGTGTGTTACCTACTTAACATTGAAGATATGTAGTTTAAACTATCCTTTGGTGTAAAATATCCACATTGGGTACGGTTCGTGTAGCCATAGTGACATCAGGATTTAAGTCGGCCCCAATCTATACTTTGTATCAACCTTTCTTCCTAGCATATACTTATACCCGTGGCAGCTATTCGTTGAGCAAAGATGTGTCTAGATATATCGGCATCTAGGTGCATCATATTATGTACCGATTGGAGGAGGTTAAGGAGACTACCGGCAGTGTGGGGCTTACATTAGAACTACAGGGAGAATCAAGCCTAATATAGTTCGGCATCGAGATTCGGTTTCCTGGGGCTTAGAGCCCTGCCTTCTATAGCAAGAAGAAGACTAATATATATCTTAAGGACACGATTCAGTAAAAGCTACAGATCAATTCACGTTCCCCCATAGCCAAAATGGTTTTCACGAATGAACAAGCTCTCCTCAGCCCTCTCAGTCTCCGCTGGGCCGTAACCTGCCAGCTGTAGATAATTCCTACCTTTATTAATTGGATAAGCGATGATGAGCTAGGTTTATATATCCAACTTCCTGGAAACGTCCCCTGCAGCTGAAACCGGGTTTCACCCACCACCTGTGACAATACAAGCGATTACTTGATGGGTGTGTTATCGAATGGTGGATACGTGTTGAATATCAGCTTTTGTCTACACTATCTCTATAGATAGAGGGGTCTTTCATCTTCGAATTTCATTGATTAATGGGATGTTACTCCCTACCCACCTACATGCAAAAATAATAATCGTAATGGTCGCGGTGGTGGGTTCCCATCTTACAAAAGAAAAGCCGATATCAAAAACACGCCCATAACCCAACCCAGAAACAAAAACCCGCACCAAAGCAACACCCACCACGTTAGCTATTTTATCACCCCTCCTCCCGCCGCCCAAAAGCGTCAGATCGAACTTAAAGCGCCAGACCCTCCACCAGGCCCCTAAAATGACTCAACGCAACCACGTTCCCCCTCGCGGGGTTCGTCCACTTGACATTGAACAGGGCCTCCTTACCCCCCGTGCGCTCCTTGTACGTAAATACGAACCGCCCGTCCTCCCAGCAGCTGATCTGGTTATTGTCTGACCGTGCACGCGCAGGCGGTACTGCGTCATGGTGAAGGAAGTGTCGGCAGTTGAGCGGGAGGTGTTGGTCATCCCCGCGTTGCTGATATTCGAGATTAAGATAAACTGTGTTCGTAATGTGTATATTATATATATCTATGTCATATCCACTTCCACTCCCCCAAGGAGGGAGAGGAAGGAGAACATTTGGGGGCGGGGGGGAAGTGAGAAAGAGAGAAAACATAAACTTACAGGGTGATCTTCTCATCCTGAGGTACAACATGGCGCATTTCCCCACCCTCAAGGACCGGCTTCACCACCGACCCCGAATCACTCACCGTCCAGGCAGCTCCCTGCAGGCCCTTCGAGAGCGACGTCTCCACCTTCCTCGAATCCCCCGGCCACTCGAGCTCCCCATGGAACGCCGTTGGCATTGTTACAAGCCCCCGGATTTCCACTCCAACCTCCCCAGTGGCGCCGGCACAGTTCATCTCTATATGCACGGCATCGAACGGCAGCATCGGCCCCTTAATCAACCTGGTGACCACGGCCCCGTCCTCCAGCACCGTGACCGCCCCCTCCTCATACTGAAACATTATTCTATGCCACACGCCGTCCGCCCTGATGGCCGAGTTGGCCACGCTGCGGAAGCCCAGGCGATCAACGTACGTCGTCCAGGTCGGGGCGGTGCCCGTGTAGCGCAGCAGTAGGGAGGTTCCGTCTAGGAGTCCCGAGGGCGTGTGCAGCTTTGCCTCGGTCGTGCTCGCGAACCGCGCCTACCGGAGGTCGTAGACGACCGTGTAGCCCGGAGTAGTGACGACGGACGGGATGCGGCAGGTGGCTGTGGACCACTGGTTGGCTGCGCGCTGGGCGGTGGTCTTTGTGAATGTGAGGAGCCGCTGGTCATCACTGATTCGTGCTTGCAGTCCAGCCTGGTTGACTATGTCCCATGCCCGAGAGGCGGGTGCGCGGCTGGACGGCGGTAGGTAGTGCGTGAGTGTGTTGGAGGCGTCGCTGAAGTAGACCGTCCAGGGGAGATGTCATTATTGGGCGGTGGGATAGTGACCCCGCCGTACTTGACGCCGAGTGTGATGGCCCCCGTATTTTTGTGGAGAAGGTCAGTCATGATATATCACTCGGAAAGCAGGTGTCAATGATTATAACCCCCGGTATGAAAGGAACAAATGATATAATGGGGAGCGAGAAAGAAGGAAAATCGAACTGACCTGCAATTACGGGAATGATCTTTACGATAATTTTCCTGTCCCCAGCAACCGCAGCGTCGATCTTGTACTCGAAACACGGCTCAAGCCCTTTTGGCGTCTCAGGGTCTGTCTTCACTGCTTGGACTAGCAGCTTGTCGGGCTTGAGTTTGAATTGGGATGATGTTGGAATGGCTACGGTGAAGGTGCCTCCTCCTACTACACCTCCAGCAGCCCCAGTGCCAATGTAGATAGGGAGACCCTCCACCTTGAATTTCTCCGGCGGGGGCAGCTGCTCCTGCTCCACGACGACAACTGGGAAGAGTGGCAGCTCTGGTTGTGGTGCCATTCCGAAGATGAACAGTTTTCCTGTGTATTCCCCCACTGACACACAAATACAGTCGTTAGATTACGAGGGAAAAAAACGATAAAGAAAGCCACATGCAGACTCACATACCTGGAACAGTCTTTGGAACAGTGAAAGTCCCACTCCGCAAGCCCGCTGTATCCTCCGCCTTTACGGCCACATCCAAGACTATCGTTATTACGGTCTTGCCGCTTGCGACGGTCATGGGAGCCAATTCCGCTTTATACTCCTTCCCGTCCTTTACCAGGCCCTGAATTAGCACCGCCGCCGGCTTGTCAATTTCGGCCTTTGTCTCCTGAATCATTCCTACTGCCGTAACCGTAGCTCCCGGAGGCTTGAACAGCGGCGAAACTATACCCTCCACTGTCACTTCCAGTGCGGTCTCATCGCCTCCGCTCTCCAAGGGTTGGTAGTACTCGATCGCATATGTCCCGTCGCCCCTGTCCGTAACACGCACCACTGGCCCGCAACTCTTACTCACCGGACGTACCATGTTCTCGCCGGTGGATAAACGGTGGCCCTCGCCATCGATGGCAGTGAGGAGCACGGTGGACAACTGACCGGGCTTGTGGGATTCTGGGGTCAGGATGCAGCGCGTGGGGTCGATGAGGGATGCTGCGGGGACGGTGGCGACTAGGAAGGGGCTACCGGGGACGTGCTGACTGTTTTGGAGGACGCCAATAACGATATCGGTGGCGGGGCGGGGGTAGAGCACGGAGAGGAGGTTATCTGTGGTCACCGTGATCTGCGGGCTCCTCCCCACACTGTTCTGTGGGAGTAAGACCTCAAAGGCGGCGCTGGCACAATATGGCTTATGACGTGGAAATAGCTATCCTGCTTTGTAGTTCCTGCTGAACAGGATCCGAACCCTCCGATCAGCGGGGTGAGATTTTGAGTACTAGTGTAATCCGATAAAACAGGGACCTGCTGGATAGTGTGTCCGATTCATACTTCGTGGTGGATAGGACGCTCTTACGGCTCCGTCAGAACATGCTGCAGGGGGAGCGCAGGTGTTGAGAGAGCTGCTGGACCCTATGGTACAACCTTTTAGGTGTGTAGCGGTAAATCATCCGTGCGGGGATGAAAATCGACCTCTTCTTTGAAAGTGTGTTTGATCATCCCACTATGCCGATATATGTTGGAGTCATCACCTAGGAAATATGATTAGCTCAGGAAGGTAATGATTTATTTATTGTGATTTTGGAGCTGTCCGAAAAGGGATAGAACAAGCGAGGATAGCAAAAATAAGCTAGCTACCTGCTATAGTAGATGATCATCTCCTGTGGGAGGTAACTAGCTGACTTTGCCAGATCAAGAAATGTGAAAGGAATAAAGAAACTGAGAATATAATTGGTAAGATTCCGAGTAACCAGTCAAGATGATTGAGGTTCGAATCCCTGGCACTTGATCTTTTGAATAATTGTCCTAACATCTTATCATACTCAGGGATTGCAATGGGCCATGTGTTATGACGGGCAGCCCCGGCTTATTTTCGGCAGGCCAGGCCAGGCCACTCTTTCTGCATGGTGGGCCAGGCCAAGCGATGACATGATTTTAACCCAGGTCAAGGGTTTTAGCCTGAGCTAATACAGTTCTCAGAAATATAGGGAAATGACGCATGCGCAGGGGCTGGAAAGTCAGAAGGAGTCCGTGATCTACAATCGTTAAGGACAGTTTGTAATATAATTCACCGGGAATAAGATTCCCAGGCATCAATGAAGAGACGAGCACCAGTTCTGACTGACGAACTCCTTGTCATATCTCTACCCGGGCCTACATGATGGCCCAAGCCATGACCGGGCTATTTTGTCTAGGCTGGGCCTCAAACTCACCACCAGGGGCCAGGACAGGTACAAGAGCGGGTCGATTTGATGATGCCAGAGACGCATACCAGAGCTGGAAACCTCCGGCGAATTCGGCATTGCTATGTGAAAAAAGTGTCGGATTTGTTCAAACTTGGTCTGGGATATATAGCTGGTAAGGTGGTGTGAAGGCTAGAGCACACTATGGCGCTAATAGTCATCAATAAAGGGCATTTTGCATATCCCCATAAAAATTAGAACTGCAAACCAGGCCGTAAAATCAGACACGCCAATAGGACTCCAGTGCCATTAAGAAGCACTGCTATCGCTTTCTGACATTCTCTTTTGTGCATACAGATTGGTATTGGTAGCTATCAGCTCAAATAGGGGGTCATTCATGAACAATTTGAACACATGAATGAGTTCAATTGGCTCCAAAATAGCTAGGAAAACCGGCAATTTGCTCGACTCTGCATCCAGAGTGCTCCCGTGTACTAGGGGTATAAAGTAGGGAACAGCAGGAAGCTGGTTATGGGGTTGAAGTTCTTTAGAAATGTACTTATTCGAGGGTTTGGTAGAAGTCTCGGCGGCAGAGTGAGATTTCATGATCCCGCTTTTTTTTCCCCTTCAGAATGGCAGAAGGCCCAGAAGAGGCGGCGGAGGTCTCCTCTCGTTCTTTTAGATAGGATCTACTGGGTTTTCTGGGGCGCAGCTCCCTCTCATTCATGGTGGGAAAACAGAAGGTGGTACTGGTTGATTTTTATGTGATTTTGAGAGGTATTGCCTGCTGGGTTCTTATACCCAAAAACTAGCTATAAATAATATTCCTCTTACCGGATGGATCTTCTATATATGACCTACCAATTAGGTCATTAATGAGGTTGGGGGGGGGGGGGGGGTAGAGAAGGTTGATAAATAATGACAGCCCAGCGGAAATTCCCCCCAAAATCGGGTGCGGTAGCGTCCCCAAATCGCCGAGTTACGGACCATGGGGTGCGGGTTGGGTGCGAAAGCTGGGCCACATTAGTTTGATTCATAGATCTTCCTATAGATTGTAATTGCTAGTGTGGAGACGCTATGATTGTTAAAGACGGGTTACAGGTGGTGGCCTCACAAAACAATGTTCGCGGAGTCAAGGATAGCGTTACTGCACTCAGGGTCATATCTAGGCCGCAGAACCCATTTGAAGACAGGACAATTGATATGTATATATATATATATAGATCGCCGCTTGGACATACATGAGTAGGTTTTTTTTTTTTTTTTTGGTTTAATTCATTAATTGCATGCAAGTACGTGACTAGGCTTAAACTAAACAAAATACTACTCTTCGGCGGGCGGATAGGACATCTCATTCTCAGTATCACAAGAGGGAGGAATAATGGGACATGAGGTCGATAAGCTGGGAAAACTCGGGGGGCTCGGGGGTGACAGCAAGTCCGAAAGCTTGGGTCCCAGCCCATATTTCGCGACCGAGACCTTGCACTTCCGGGCAATCATCTAAGTGTGCAATGATTAGGCATTGAAAACGAAAGCGGGAGAACGGATGGGGTGCTACCTTCATACGCCATACAGCCTCCGCGGCTCCATAGTGGTTGGCACACGCAACAGCTGGCCACGACTAAGGATACATACATGGCCTTTCGCATAGGTCATTCGAAGTACCTGGCAATGCGATCCTGCATTATACCTGTCAGGGAGACTCATAAAGGAAATGGATCCATTACCTGCGCTGACGAGACCCGCCATATGCATCTCTCTCAAAATCACCCCATCCTGTTTGACGTGACCCTGTAAACGGTACAGCATTCCATGAAGTGATTTGGCCGCCTTCTTAGTGTCACAGAGCCATTTATTGCTCGTCCCGCCCTCAAAAGTTTTTGAAGTTTCCATGGCGGGGTACTCAAGCTGCCCGTTGTTGTCCTCAGCTAGTCCATCAAAACGTGCACCAAGTCTTTTGCGTCTTGTGGTGGTCACCCGGTCACGGTTCCTTCTTGCGGTGCTCTCGATACTCGTCGTCTCACCGCTACACCGCTGTTAGATCATGATAGTACAGGGAGGTAAGATGGTAAATATTGCCGGCGAAGCGTGATGCCGCTAAGAGTTTGGAGACAACGGTCTACGATGACGGACCATATATTGATCGTGCACAACTGCTCGTTATGATCTTTGAGGAGTATTTGATCGGGATCTTCGTATAGAGGTAGCCTGGGGGTCTTGGTAAGCCATTGTACGCATAAAGTCGGTCGGGTCGGCGAAATTGGTTCCATTGCAGCTCGGAACGGGGAAACAGAAGCAAAAAAAGACGACAAAATCGCAGGCCTTAACCCTACCCGGCTGGATGTACCATGATTGATTTAGAATTTCTCATTTGTCGTTGACACACCAAAGATCCGAAAATGATTTCAGAATTGCCCAGTACTTACAGCATTCGAAAGCATAGACCAGTCAAATCCAGGTCATAGTGCTCCGCTCGATTATATTGTTCATTTTCCTTTAAGAAGGAAGTACTACGCAAAATCTTGCGGACCTGAGCGGGAGATTCGGCCTGATCAAAATCAATATACAAACACAAGGGTGCTAGATCAAGAGGACAAAAACATACATCCCAAAACCGTTCCATCGAGGTCACAAGTTTCTCATCAATATCCGGCCAGGGGGGCACCTACGCCAGTATTTCCGGCCAGCCATCCGGGTCAAAGAGCTTTCGACAGATGGATCAAGAATATCAATTACAAAGGACCGTGCTAGGCCCGGAGCATTCCGGAGTACATCTTCCACATATGCGCCACTAGGCAGTTTCCACATGGAATCGGCGGTCATCGGGCGATATGTATTATTATTATCCATCGATTCCTGCCTGATCACCGCCTTCCTTCTTCCTCTTCTTCTCTTCCTTTCTTCCTCCTTCTCCCTCCTCGTTCCCCTCCTTCTCAAAACGCGTCTGCTGATACGTTAACAAAGGATAGATAGGGTTGGGTCTGACCTTCCTCACCTGCTGCTTCTTGCTTGCCGCCACTGTTGGCGCAAGAACCCCGATAGCATTAACTGATTCCCCGAGCATATCACCGTTGATGGCCACACTTGTCGAATGGTTTGGCGGGCCTGTAGCCAGCGCCTAGCGAGCTCTGTATCGGGTCCCTATACACATTGTTTCACAGAGATAAGCGCAGATTCGCTAACCGTACCGCGTACCGAAGGATATGCAGCGCACGGTGGGAAACCAGCGCCGCGTGGGCAAGCAGCCAGAAACAGCCGGACCATGCGCCCGCGCTGGTATCAAGCTCGATGCAATAAACCCTTTGGCCGGTCGGTAGAATAACCAAGCAGGTCATGTACCGAAACAACCAAACAAGCGCCGAGTGGGCAAGTAGCCGTAGACACAACCGGACCAAGTAGGGGGGTGTGCTCCAACGCTGGTCTCTAGCTAGATGCCACGAACTTCTGCCAAACCAAAGCAGTTGCGGCGATCCAGCAGGGCGGGCGTTCGCATCTTGAGGTAAGGGAGGAGAGCATCTCACAAAGTCTGCTTTCCTGCCGTTGGGAGAAGGGACACCCACACTTTCAATGAGAGAAAGCCGAGGGGAGGTGGGACTGTACACCGTACGGTACCCGTCCATGCATGAGGGATGCTACATGGTCCCTAACACTCTTGGGGAGGTTCTCGACATCGACTAGACTATTCAACGACTTGATGTAAGAGTCGATGGCCTTCTGATAAGCGTTGACGTCGACCAGTCCCGGGGGCGCAGGCGGCGTTGAGGAATTTGACGATATCGACATCTTCCACTCGCTCGTCATGGTGAGCTGGCTGGCACCGAGGGTGGCGTATGATTGCAAGGGGGTGGCTTGTGGCTGATGAGTCAGCTGTGTGGCTTCCCTCGGCTAAGTTCCTAGACGCGGGGGTTTGCGTCTACGAGACTTGGCGAGTGTTGGTGAGATAGCTGGGCTGAGCTAGTGTGGCCAGCAGGACCCCCAGCATATACGGTTTTTCTTTTAGTAGTGGTGATCAGTTTATAATGGTATTGTATTCAACGCCATTACTGGTTCGATATAGAGTAAAGTAATAGTCAACTACCGAACGAGAGTGACTGGCATCGGGTATGTCCCAGTAGGTTCAACTGAGAAAAATCCCCCCGGCCCCTCCACATTAAATTTATATGCACTGAGATAGATGATAGCAGACTGAATCCAATCAACACAAATTAAGATAAGGAAAAAGAGAGTCGTAGTTCATACAAGGCGCCGCAATTCCCCCCCCCCCCCACAAATAATACATACGTACCTAAATAAATATATCCACATATTCCTCACTGCCTCGCGTCATATGTAGCGATGCGAGAGGATACTACTGGAGGATTTCAGCGTCTGGGGCGTTCCCATTAGAACGATGAGCCACATGACCGACATTATTTTCGGTATCGCTAGCATCATTACCTTGCTTGGCCGTCGGAATGATTAAACGATGATTGCCACTAGTTTCATCACGAAGAACTTGCACACCGCATTCAAATCTCTCCTCCTGTCCTTTCATGAGCTGTCGATACGATAGTCTTCCCATCTCAGTAGCAGTGCTCTCTCCTAGCAAGAGATACTCGGGGAGAGACGACCAAGTTACTTCCGCGCTGCTACCCCTGCACAGCTGCCATATTGAGCCACAGCAAGCAACAGCCACGAACATGGTAACTACGGTCATGGCTAGTATTATCGTCGGGCTAACTGAGTATCCGTAAAGGCGGTGGTAGACAGAAACTGGCGAATACACAAGATTCTTATAGTTCTGGATTGATTGAATAAGTACGTCCGACTTCGGTGACGTCGGTAGAAACGCATACTGACTCTGAGATTTGCTGTTTAATAATGACAACAGGGTGACCCAAGGTCCGCCAACTGTTACCTCAACCGTTGAAGCATCGATTATGTGTGTCAACGTTTCCAAGTGGTTTTCCGAAAGCTGACGGTTCAATATGTCCAGCTTGGTCTTATCCGTAAAGGAGTGGTCCAGAGGTCTCCATATAGTATCCCCCATTTGATTATTAGAGTTTACCACCTTTTTCGCCCATGCTAGTAGTGAGGGATTCATTGTTTCTCCACGTTTAGAACGTTCTTTACTTAGAAAGGCCGTCGTGTTTCCACCGCCAGGGTAGACATTGAAACCTCCTACGTGCTCATAGTCTAGCCAGCCTTCTTGAAATAGGAATGTTGCAGGTGGGTGTGGAGTCCTTGTCTTCGCATCATAGGAGATTTCCTTGTGATACTCTGCTCCGAAGACCTCATACAGCCGACCGGAAAGGGTTGCCGTTGCCGACGTGAGCGCCGCCGTGTTAGCGCAGACGATCAAGTCCTCTTCGAATTCGAACACAAATTGTATTGAGTCGGTAAAAAGATTGTTGGATTGTAGACGGTGACCTTCGGTGATATAAAATCTGGGAAAAAGGAAATAATCATCCACGCTACCGCCTATCGTCCGCAGCGTAGCATTTCGATGGTCCACAAGTAGCAGAAGATCCCGACTTCTAAGGACTTCTTTGCTTGTTGTATTATTCGGGGCGACAGGTTGAAAGCACCACTCAGTGGAATTGCTGGCGGGTGCTATTATCTTAGATGAGTCTGCGCATGATAACCTACGTTCGCGTCGACAAACGGTTGTTGATCTCACGGCCCTCATTGTGGTTTTGAACAATGTCGGCGTCGGGTTATTCGCAGCAGTGGGCTTATAGGTGAGATTTGCTTGGCCCCCGTATTCAACATCATCCCACATTAGGGTTGTAAAGTTCGTTCCTCCGATCCATTTTTCATCGATGTTCAAGAAACGAGGCCTGAGCAATGTGCTGCTATTCACAGTCACTGGATGCATCAAAATGTCGAATTTATGAGTTTCAGTTGATTCTCTCTGGATATAGGCATTACTTGCACCCAATATCTTCTCTGGCATTGGCCAATAGTTCCCAGTGTAGTTCCACCACATCCCGCCGGCGGACATATTGTCTTGTACTTTTTTCATGTCGGAGTCAAGCGGGTTAAGGAAGATGTAAGGATAACCCGGGGAGCGTTTTGATAGTAATGCTGAGCCCGAACTTATGTTCCACTGTTGCAAGATTTCATTGGGCTTCAAGTCCTTTTCGAAAAACCAGTGCCGAGCCGGAATCAGAAGTACGGCGCTCGAAGGGCCCACTGATAAGCAAAGTAGACCTGCAAGAAGAAGAAATGCCGATATCGTTAATACACCTAACCTCCTACCCCTCCCTTTGGGGTCTCCTCCACTCGATCTCCCAAAATAACCTAACCCAAACTTCAAAGCGGACATGTAACCTCTGGAAACTAGCACGGTCGGGGAAGCAGTCACTTGTTCCGCCCCGACAAGAGCAAGAATCGTGCCTTTCTTGCTGATCAGTGCGCTCTGGACTAATTGGCGAGCCAAATTGGCGAGGCAGAGCACCATGGTGATCTCGAGGGCCTTCGACACGTATTGAAGTATGTTGAGTACGGCCTCTGTGTCGGCCCTTGACCGACCAAGCTCTGGGCCGACAACCTTCTCATGGAGATTCAGGTAAAGAAGGATTACTGCCGGTGGGACCGAGATAATAGTCCAAGCATGTGATATAATATTGTAGAAAAATGTTTTGAGGCTCGGAGGACTTGGTTGTGGCTCCTCCGGTGGTGAGTTAGGGCTCTTTTGGGGGATAGGGCCCGGAGAGGGCGTAGAGGTGGCTGTGCTTTCCATGGGTGCAAACTATGGTCTATATGAAGAGCGTTAGTTCAATAGCCATAGAGCATGAGCTTAATATGTAATCCTCACGTTTACGTCCACTTCGGATTGGAGCGCCCGGGTCTGAAAAGACTGGGGGGGGGGGGAGAATAGGAGTATTGCAGTTCCTTGGGAGATATCTGATAAAAGGTGATGTTTGCAGTAACAGTGGAAAAGAGATTGCTGAGTATAGATATCGATGAGTGGAGAGAGGGAATTCATGAAGATATAGAGCAGGGGGTTATTCCCAGCGTGTCATAGTCGTGTGCGCAGTATCTTCTCCTTACTCTAGGCTATTGGTCCTTTCTCGTGATGCGCAAGACATAACGAGACGGCACTTGCCCGTGTCTCCTTTTACTTTAAAAAGACAGCCCCCGGTCTAAATGTCTCGAAATCAAAGCTGAGCTTTGTCAAAGCTTCGAGACTTTGTGGGGGAATCGCATCCTTAATGTTTTTCTCCAGAACCGTAGGTAAAAGGGCTTCAGTATTATTGATCTCAACCTTCACACGCTGCTGGAGATACATGTAGGAAATCAAATAAAGTCAAGACCTTTTGTCTCCTCTTGTCTTACCGTAACCCAGGCTTCGGCTTGTCTTCCGACAGGCCTGGAGACTACTGTCGTTCACGGGGTATTGACGGGCACTGGGTGTTGACGAACAAACCAAAAAAGAGACAGCCAAGCCAAGTTTTGCCTGCAATCCGTCAACACCCAGTGTCCGCCAATACCCCGTGAACGACAGTAGTCTCGTGATAAGCTGGCCCGCGCCAAGCTCTTTCATTATAGCATCAACCGAAAAAAAACTAAAATAAACTATATCACTACATAAGGGCCGTCTACGCGCTAGGATGTTTATAACACTAACCAAGCCTGGTCTTAGTCCAGATACAATGGCACCTATGACATCAAAATTATAGTAGAGTATATCAGGTTCAAGGGCTGTGTGCCAACTCGCTGTGGCTTTACTGGTTACCTTTGTTTTGTGAGGAGGGTGCTCTCCGTCAGAATTATTTCATTTGCTAACCCTTTACTCCCCCTCTAAGTCCCCAGTTACAAAGTCAAGCAGATTAAGATCCCAACAAATCCCTTATGCTAGGCAAAACTTCTTCACTATCAAAGCTTGAAAATAATTCACTTCCACTGCACACGCTGTTGATAATTGTTGATATCCATACTTAATTAATCCAATGGCGAACAGACATGGATAGGATGATCGCAGTTTGGGTGTAAAGATAGGCGCCAAACTCCTGAAGAATAGGAGTATTTTTACATGGTAGTTTCCGTGAATTGTAGATATTTGTACTTCTTGTTTACTTATATAAATAAGAATGTACCGTATGATATTTCTTCAATCTTAGGTGGCCAATCAGATGTGTAAATAGAGGAAGGCAATGAATGATCCAAAGCCAAATCCGTCACTGCGACAGCTGGACTCGTTTCCAAATAAGATCAGGAGGGCCTGGCACCCATGGGCAGTGGGTGCTCCCACGTGTCGAACAACTATGTTTTGATTTTTCTCCGCCGAGATCTACAGACCGGGGAGTATTGGCCTAGGTAGACTGGCGCTCCGTTTCCACCTGAACGGAGCATGACTACGCTTAAAATGTAGGTACTTGCGTCTGGGAAAAAGAACCAGAAAATGCAAGTGACGAATACAGCGATTATTTGTATGTAGTGGCGCCATACAAAACAACCTTGCCCTAATAATTCGCATGTTTTTGGTTCTATATGCCAGACACGAGTACTCACGTCGGAGATTGTAACCCATCTAGGAAGCTTACTTTCTACCAATTTAGTTGGGTGGGCTGTGCTGTTGGCTTTCAATACGAGTCTCAAAGCTTCCAACCTGCTCTGACCAATTGCAAACCCAAACCATAAGCCCTGGGGCGTGGGCCTCTAGCTATGTAGGCCACGTAGCGACAGAATTTAAGCTTAAATCTACAAGTCTTAGCGTGGAGTGCCCCTGCTGCATCGAACCTAATTTTTCCTCGCTTAAGGGATAGGTGAGGGGTATGACCCACCGATCCTACCGATCTTCAGATGCCCGATTTCACAATGCCGATCTATTCAGGGGCTGCCCAAGAGACTCATGGATAAACCAATTTAGGGCCCGTTCGGACAACCTTAGATTATTTCTTCGGATTATTGGACAGACTGGATTATCAGGTAGCGGAAAAGATAATCATAATACTCATAATAAGTGGATAATCTACATGTCCGGATAACGTTAGCTCTCAGGATATCTGTGTTGTGTGGGAATAATTACCTCCGAAGGTGATTGTTTTCTTGGCGGGTTGTGGGGATAATCAGGAGTTCCGAATATTGGATTATTCAATTGCACGAACAGCATAGATTATTGGGTTGTCCGAACGGGCCCTTAGTTAATCACTGATCATCACATGGGTTTATAATTTAGTTATTGGGATCTCTGCGCGGCGGCGGCGGCGGCGGGCTGGCAAATGGCTGAGGTATATACAGGGAAGCACGAAGCGGTACCCGTAAATTCATGACGTTTCCGAACACGACTGCTATTGCATACCATACAAAAAAGCGCCAAACCCATCCCTTCGCACGCCACGCAATATTGGCCGTGCCCGGAAACGCTATGAGATTACGAGTAGGTAGAGTACATATCGCATTATATGAGTGGGTAGGTGTCGGGGGATGGTTCACATTCGCTTTTCTTGTAGGTACTCTAGGCTATCGTCATGTACTGTAATTCACTGAGTATTGACGGACACTGGACCGTGTTGACTTTTTAACCAATAAGAAGGAATAAACTGGGCTTGGCTGTTTCTCATTGGTGTGATCTGTCAACACCCAGTATCCATTATCACCCCGTGAACGATAGTACATAATTAAACATTGAATACCCTACAATCAAGTAGGTATGTAGCTACCTAAGCCCTGGAGAAGTGTTTTATCGGGAAGACCGCAGGAGATGTCAGACCTACGTTGACCCGGATAAAGTGTAACTAAGAATTCCTACCAGAAACCCAGCTGTCACCGCTTTGCTGGCAAGAAACCTCAAGGCAGCTTGTAATGTTTCTCATCAACAGTATGCGGGGAGTATGTACTTAGACGGATCTCTGAGTGAAGCCATCCTCGCCGCCCACAAGTCTCATTCCTTGAAGGGCTGAGCAACTTGAAGAAGCAATAAAATTTAGACAAGCTCCGTTCCCTTGTCCGCAAGTGGCAAACTTTCAGATTCTGAGTCTCAACCGAAGGGGGGAGGGGTCTATACACATTTCTAAACGCTACAAATCTGGAAAGGAGTAGAGTAATTGGTTGTATTGCTGGTGACAAAAGTTCCCAAATCGGCCAGCTCTCAAAGTCAGCTCTAGAAATTTATAATCAGGGGGTAAGTTCTATCTGCCTTCAGCATTCTAGTTATGTAAATTTTTTGTTTTCTATCTCTCGTGGTGATGCAGTGGTACTTGCTCAATAGTGCATCCCATAGAAAATTTGGTTGCAACCCAAAACTACGAGAACTTGTCACCCAGAAACATGAACAGCCACGGGAAGGCGTTCTTATCTAGTCCGAAAATCTGGCTTCTAAAACTGTACTCTATAGATGGATCTTTTTTATGCTTTGGTAAAGTAACCCGGCTTTCGTAGGTAGATGAGAGATCACATTACAAGCACACCAAGCCCTATTTATATCCCGACAGTTTCGGGGCCGAGATTGAATTGAACACAATGTTATCAATCCTTGCTGATAATATTGTCAACGGGGCCTGCAAAAACAGAAGAACGCCAAATCTATCTCTTCACCACAAATCGGTGATGTTTGAATTCAACAAGCTTACTTCTGTAGAGAATCAATGTCAGGAGAATCAAATTACGGTGTGTACATTAAATTAGGTTGTGTTGCTGGGGACAAAGGATTCGGGAACAATGTTTGTTACCCATCTATTTTCACCATCCCGGTTAGCCTCCCTGGAACAACAGTTAAATCCATACACCATCTTGTCGTCCAAGGCCTTCTCCCTACAATCCTATGGGGATCGGAGGCATGGTGGACAGGAGCAAACCACGCTCTCAGATCGCTACACCCACTCTACAACGAAGCAGCCAGGGTTATAACTGGCCTGCCCCGTTGGACAAAAACCGAGAAGCTACTAAAAGAGGCAGCACTCCCTCCAATGGAACACCTCCTCACCCATAAAACACGAAAATACGGTACACGGATTCTTTGCTATCCGGCGGACCATCCCCTCAACGAAGAACTCATCCAACTCCTCCCCAGCAAAACCAAGAACACCAAAGTCACAGGACTCCACCGAGTCGCAACACTCATGCTTCCCTTCCAAGAACCAGGAAACCGCAGAGAAAGATGGATATAAAACGACCTCATCACCAAACGCATGCTGGAGGAATGGAACACCACACCGAGCACCAACTATTACGAACCAGGAACCCTCAAAATCAACCCCAAACGAGCAAAACTCCCAGTCTCCAAAGCGAAACTGATACACCGCATACGGTGTCAGGTCACCAGACTGGACAGACATGCAGTATATACAGACCCCGAGCCATGCCAGTGCGGCTCAGAACAATCCTCCAACCACACCATAATGGAATGCCCCCGATGGACACAGATCCGAAGGCCACTGATGGATAACATCCCAGGACCACCCACCTGGGAAAACTGGCTCTTTACGAACCTCAATGTAGACCTCATATTACAATTCGCAGCTAAAACAAACCTACTTGACTGGTACGAGATGGACGAGGAGGACCCGGAGGACTAAGGCGTTTCTTCTTTTTTCTGTACTCGTTTTTCCGTATCTCCTTGCTTGATTTCTCTTTCTTCGTTTTTCTTTTCTTTTCCTTTCCTTTCCTTTGTTTTGTTTGTCGGCGGAGCTCGATGGCGTGCGATAAGTCTTGTACTTCGAAGCAACATAAATTATCTATCTATCTATCTATCCTGTACCTACCCTCGCAACACCAAAACTTTCGATCAAATAACTTTTG